CGCCGTCAGGTACCCGGATCCGGACCCGATGTCGAGGACCCGCGCGCCGGGGTAGAGGAAGGGGAGCAGTGAGGAGGCGGCGAGGGCGTGCATGTGTGGTGCAGAGATGGTGGCGCGGTGGCCGAGGGGTTGGGGGGTGTCGGCGTAGGGGGTGGTGGGGGAGTAGTGGGCTCTGTCGACCTGTTTTGTTGGATGTCAATAACGAATTCCTCTTATCAGTACCTTTGAAATATGGTTTTGATTATGGTGAAAAGGGGATTGGAAATGGTGATTGAAGCTGAGAGGAGAATAACAAACTTTCAACATGGCATCCCGAACTTTCTCATCGCCAGTCTGTCCGTTCTTGAATAAATTCTCAATGAGTTCCTCGTTCGTCCGCCCTGAGCTTCTCCACGCCATTGTGGCAGCCCGACTTCTCGTCGCGAAGAGTCTGGTGAAAGAAGAGAGTAGGGGAGACACTTTGATAAACTTCCTGGACTCTTATATCGCTGTTCCTTGATGGTTTCGTAGTGATGAGGTCGTTTATGTAACTCGTCAAGCTTTCGAATAGCTTGGACTCTTCGATATGAGTGTAGATGAGGAATCAGGATATGAAGTGTGGCAGTCTTATAACTTATATCACTGTACGACCTTGATTACGAGTACGCGGTGCAGTGAAGTGAATGTGATATGTAAAGTAGGTGCTCGTTCCTCCCAATAGTAAGAAAAATGTTGTCAGGTCAGCCTGATGTGACATCAGACCTCAACAAATGAAATGCGGGGTCCCCTCCTTTCCCCAGCCCAGCCAGCCTCGTCCCGTCGTCCGATTGTGGAGGCGATAGATCGGCTTCCAGGTTCTTGTCCCCTGAGACTGTATTTTTAGGTACTGGCTGCTCCTTCTTCAAGTCGCATTTACAATCGTGACAAGTAAAGAGAAAAATCTACTCCATTAATCCACACCCAAGGCCACAGGAGTGAACATGAGTCTCTTAGAAGTGAAACACCAGTACTACGGGTCCCCCAAAAAGCCCTAATCACTTGCAACTGCCAAATTTACAATATCTCGTACATTCAACTTTATTCCAGCAATCTCAATTCTCATCGAGCAGCTCCACATTTTTCCTGAATTTGCCCTGGCAGCCGCCTTTGGCTGTTGTAGAACTTGGAACACATTAGGTAATGAACGGAATCTGAAAGAAGCTCTAAAGACGAGAAGATGCCAAATCTGACTGTTAAGCAGAAAGTAGAAGGGGGAACAAGAAAATGAGGAAGTGGAAGAAAGTAAGAGAAGTGATGAGTCGTAAAACCCCTGTTAGCTTTACATAGTGTAAAATGTGTATTGGGGATGAGGAGGGCCGAATGAGACAGAAACTAGAGATGTTGTAAATTTCAAGTCTATATGCTTCTATGCTCAATTCTAAACTTATCTAAATCTGTAGGGGTATATTTTCTTTCGCAGGCTTTTTCCTCGCTGGGTCCAGCTCGTTCATAATCCACTCGTACACCGCCCACTGCGCAGCATTTACAATGAAAGCTCTAATACTGCATACTGCTAACCCTCGAAAAAACACGTTTGCGCCTTCGCTTCTATATGCATTCTTTGCCACCTCAATAGCCCCCAGTCGTCGCTGTGGTGGAACCCCTTCTGTGCTTGCAAGTAATGCCGAGGTTTCTGATTGTCCCATGGCTTGTGTTTGAAGTCGGGTTTTGATAACATCCAAAGGAAATATGCTGGCCCAGGTGACGACTCCAGCCAAGCCTCCACATAATAGGACCTTTGCAGCTTCTTGGGAAGCCGAGGACTCGACTTGGTGACCTTCCACCATTTTTGGGATCATGAGGCGTGTGCTGAGTTCGTAGGACCAGAAATAAAAACCATAGCCTATGCTATCCCTCAAAGCTGTGACAACACCCCCAAAATACAAGCCGCGGACCCCTTCTGTCCGTAATATGTCTTTGGTAATACCCCAACTGGTTGCTGGAACTGTTGAAGACGACAGCTGAGCTCGACATTTGATGAGTTCAGTGGGTGTGCTAACAACCCATGTTGCAAGTCCGCCAATTGCTCCGGCTATCCAAGTTGTCCATAGGTTTGGTGGTACCCCAGTTGGGTTTGTATTCGAAATGTTTGATGTGCGATTATAAGTCATAAAGAGTAGAGCGTTCAATGCTCCGTATCCAAGAATTGGAGCCGTGGATCCGCGAATAAGAGAGCCTGCAGAAGTGAATTGTGAAGTGTAGCTCGATGTAGTCTTTATTACGCTGGGACTTTCAGCTTGTAGTTTGACTTTGATGACATCCAAAGGATTCCCGATGAGAATACCAACGGCGCCTGATATGTAGCCTGCCCAAAAGTCGGCGGACATGATTATTATTCTATTCGTTCGGTTCTAAAAAGTGGAGATGTGTTGATGCTGTTGCTATGTCGAAATATTGTACAATATACAAATCGGTTTCCCGTTGCTGAACTTGAGATCCTTAAAGTCTGTCCTCGATGTTTCGTTTCCAAGGTTTCCTCTGCTGTGCATGCGCCAGCACAGGATCGGCGTGGTTTCTCACGGCTTGCTTTGCGATTGTGATCTGTGTCAACAAGCCGATGAAGACAACCCCCCAACCCAAACCTGCTTTGAGCGGTCGGGTAATGTGGAATGATGTATTGATTGAGGCAATCGCCGGCGCAGCCTTCTTGATGTATTGATGGTGAGCAACTTGAGTCGCAAAAGCTCCAATCAGTATCGAAGTCTGATTATTTGCGCAGAACAGGTCAAATGCCGAGGGAGGGGCCATTGCGAATACGGCGGGGTTTTGCGGGTCCAGTCGTTTTAGGCGTTTGTATGGGGATGGCGCAGAGTACTGATTACTGAGGGTGAATTGAGTGTGTGGAGATGAGACTGATCTGCCAAAGAGAGCAAAGAAATCTAGAATACTACAATAAATAAAGATTCTATACAATTGAGGGAAAGGGGGGGAGGAGTAGAAAGGGAGAAAATTGTCGATGTCATGGACCACGATAATGGATCGGAGAAGATGCGTCATTTCTAAATATTTCTGCACTCTGGCTTTTGAGGCAGGCGGCGGGAGGCGGACAAGGGTCCCCATCACGTCTACTGGTGCCTCGCGTCCAGTCGCGTTCGCCTAAGCCGGCGCGTTTCAATCAACATTTGTACCCAGTCGCCACCATATCCTAGTCAGGACTCACTCAATCACCTTTTCCAAGATTACTCGGATTAAACATGAACGTTTGATAGAAGTTCTATATCAATCAAGATGATGATCACTCCGCCAGACGCGGCAGACGAGGCTCCGGTCTGCACACCAGTCGTGCCACGGAAGCGACTTAGGACGGTTGCAGGAACGCCCCAGAGTATTGATACTTTGAAGAAGCCCTTCAAGATCACATTGAGCGACGACAAGGAAAACACGCCAATAAAACGACCGGCATCAACACAGTCTGCGACGAGACTATATGGTAGCACCCCGCTATCCGGCGATCGACTTCATAGGCCCTTCAAATGCCCTGGTTCAGCGACGACTACTCGAGTATCTGCTAAACCGGCAAGAAAGAGGAGGAAAGTAGATTATGGAGGAGCCGATGGGGAACAAGAAGATGGCGACAAACCGTGGACGAATGAGGACCGACTGGCCCTCGCGAATAGGGATGCAAATAAATTCCCAACATTCCAAGTCAAGGATAAGGAGACCATGTTCAGGAAGCGTTTTGCTGTTCCTTTGATCAATAAAGATTCGACTGCATACAACCCGAATCGTCCACCTCCTACGCTTGGCTTGCGACAAGGCGCAATTTTTGTTGCAAAAGCATTGCACGATCCGAGCGGGGAGTTCGCTATAGTACTTTATGACCCGACGATTGATGAAAAGCCAAAGGTTATCGAGGAAGTGAAGAAGGTGGAAGAAGCAGACATCCCAAAAATCGATGCGCCATTGGTACATAAAAGTCTGGCTGAGATATTGGGAATCAAAAAGAAGGTGGAAGGCGAACGACCGAAAGTTCCTGTAGTTATTGACCCAAGACTCGCGAAGGTTTTGCGACCTCATCAAATCGAGGGTGTCAAGTTCATGTACAAATGTGTTACGGGAATGATTGAAGAGAAGGCCAATGGATGCATCATGGCAGATGAAATGGGTCTTGGAAAAACTCTACAATGTATCACTCTAATGTGGACTTTGTTGAAGCAATCTCCAGAGGCAGGCAAAGGCACGATCCAAAAAGCAATCATTGCTTGTCCTTCGAGTTTGGTTAGAAATTGGGCGAATGAATTGGTAAAATGGCTGGGTCCAGATGCTATTCAGCCTTTTGCAATTGACGGTAAGGCGTCCAAAGAAGAACTCACTCAACAATTACGGCAATGGGCGATTGCTACTGGTCGTTCTGTTACTCGGCCAGTTATCATTGTCTCTTACGAGACGTTGAGATTGAATGTTGGCGAGCTGAAGAACACCAAAATTGGTCTCATGTTATGCGACGAGGGTCATCGATTGAAGAATGGAGAGAGTCAGACATTTACCGCGTTGAATGACCTCAATGTAACTCGAAGGGTAATCTTGTCTGGCACCCCTATTCAGAACGATCTCTCAGAATATTTTGCACTCGTCAGCTTCGCGAATCCTGGTCTACTTGGTACACGCCTGGAGTTTCGAAAGAAGTATGAGCTTCCTATCCTCAAGGGCCGAGATGCAGGAGGTAGCGACAAAGACCGAGAAAAGGGCGACGAGCGTCTTCGCGAACTCCTCGAGGTTGTAAACAAATTTATTATCCGCAGGACAAACGACATCCTTTCGAAGTACTTGCCAGTCAAGTACGAACATGTTGTATTTTGCAATCTTGCTCCCTTCCAACTCGACTTGTATAATCATTTTATCAGCAGTCCCGACATCAAGGCTTTGCTTCGTGGCAAAGGAAGTCAACCTCTGAAAGCTATTGGCATGCTTAAAAAACTTTGCAATCATCCAGATTTGCTAAATCTGCCGGAAGATTTACCAGGATGTGAGAAATATTGGCCAGAGGACTATGTTGCGAAAGATGCTCGAGGCAGAGACAGAGATATTAAGCCCTGGTATTCGGGAAAGATGCAAGTCCTGGATCGCATGCTTGCTCGAATTCGCCAGGACACGAATGACAAGATTGTTCTTATTAGCAATTACACTCAGACTCTCGACATGTTTGATAAGTTATGTCGACACAGAGGATACGGCAGTCTTCGCTTAGATGGGACAATGAACGTCACCAAGAGACAGAAACTAGTGGACAAGTTTAACGACCCTGAAGGCAGCGAATTCGTCTTCCTCCTTAGTAGCAAAGCCGGAGGATGTGGTCTCAATCTGATCGGAGCCAACCGCCTCGTCCTCTTCGACCCAGATTGGAACCCAGCTGCGGATCAACAAGCCCTGGCACGAGTATGGAGAGATGGACAGAAGAAAGACTGTTTTGTCTACCGCTTCATTGCCACCGGCACGATCGAGGAAAAGATTTTCCAACGACAGTCCCATAAGCAATCTCTCTCATCGTGTGTGGTGGACTCGGCGCAAGATGTGGAACGACATTTCACGCTCGATAGTCTCCGAGAGTTATTCCAGTACCATGGTAAGACGACGAGTGACACACATGATACGTTCAAGTGCAAACGCTGCAAGCCCGACGGCAAGCAGTATATTAAAGCCCCCGCGATGATGTATGGTGATACGAGTACGTGGAACCACTTTGTCAATGAGACGATGAGCCCGATTCAGGATTTGTTGTTGAGGCAGGAGGTGGGTGATAAGGAGGTGTCGGCCGTGTTCCAGTATATTTCGCATTGAAGGGATTGCCTGGCATTTATCATACTGTTTTCTTCTTCGTACACTACTTGTCACTTAGCGTGGGACTGGGAATTTTTTGCTCTTCGGCGTAGGAGATGGATGAATGAACAAATGGAATGGAAATGGGATTGACGATCGGCGAATAGCGTATACAGAAGCTCAAAGACAAAGACCAATTCGGGAGATGGAAAAACTTCCTTTGCTAGATCCAATAATATTTTATTACGGACTGCAGATATTGGTCTCGGACTCTTTTCTCCTTGGTGGTGTGAAGAAAACGGATATATTGGTCTCGGGATTTTATCCATAGGTGTAAAAATTCCGAATCCGAACGGCAGTAGATTATGTGGTCGTGTCTTGATCGTCAGTGGCTTCCTGGTATTGTACTACGTGATCAAGAAGGATCGTGTTACGAAAGCAGGGGACTTGCATTCAACGCTTTCTTGTGGGGGATAGCTAGCTGACTTACAGTACCCTCCTGTCGTTTATTTGAGCTCTTTCTTGTTTTCCTTTCCTGCGAAACGAAGAAATGATGAGGGGAATATATAAATGACGCTGTGCGGACCATACTGTCGGAACCCAATGTCGTATCCTTTATGGGAATTTGGTTCCTCCTATGTTGCTTCTCTGACCTCATAATACATATTCCTGGTGCTGTGAGGAGAATACTCGAGTAGTGGTACATGTAGCACATCTTGATAATTTCCGAGCATGACCGTGATCGGCAAGGCGGGGTGATACAACATATCAAATACCAAAATCAGTTCGTTTCTGCGTGTTTACAGTAAAATACTCATTTCAAACAAACAACTCATCAAGGTGGAGATACTTGTAGTGATAGAGAATAGCGAGGTTATGAAAATCCATATTTTTTGACTAAAAAAAAGTTTGGGTACAGCAAATTCCATATTTCTCCATCTCTCTCACCAACCACGCATTTCAAAAGTCCATCTGCTCTATTAACTACTGTAGTAAAAGCATAGCAAAGACGAGAAAGAGTAAAAAATTGTAGGACAAAGGAAAAAATACCAGTACTTGTATCAATCAGACCTTGCGAACAAACTGCTTCCTCCACTGCGTATTCCCTTCCCGCTTCAGTAGTAATATCAATTTCAAGTCCCTCCACTCATACTCTCCTTCAATCACTTCGATAACTCTATTCGTTGGAGGCGATCCACAATAAGACATATTTTCACATAGGAACTCATCGTGACTCGGCTATCTCGATGCGAAGATCCTTCGGTCATGGAAACCCCGTAGAAATAAGCGAGCGAGCGAGCGAATTTAGAGGACATTGACTGGGACCACGACACCACAAACATTGATAGGCACATTTTCGAGGATTTGGAGACCGAGGAGCTACACATATCTCTCTTTAGCTTCTCCCTGTAGGTCTTGGTTGGGGGGACGGAGGGGGGAGAGAGAGGGGGGAAGGAAGAAAGAAAGCAACTTACACCACCAAGGGGGTTAGCACTCTGCACCTTCTGCGTGTTGCCACAGCAGACATTCACGTTATTACAATTCGTCAACGCGAGAACATTGCCTAAAAGTCAAATCCCCATTGATTAGACGCTGTCACTTGTAAAACAAACATATGTAGATAGAGTCAAACTTACAATCAAGTCCAACCTGTGCGGTGGTATCCTTGATAAGCGCACCGATATCCAGGTTGACGAGGTTCGTGAGCAGACCACCCGGTGCGGTGAGCTTCTTGATCGATTGTGGATCATTGGGGTTGACGGATTCCACGCGGGAGCAGCAGCTTGTGGTTCCACCTGCGGCGGCACACTTCCCACCGTCGTCGGAGCGTTGGGCAATGAGGGTTGGGGAGGCGATGACGGCGGCCGTGAAGGCGAGGGTGGAGAGGAGAGTGAACTTCATTGTGAGGGTGTTTTGGAAGAGGGGGATTGGGATTTGAAGGGCGTTGTGTGAGAGTGAGAGTGGGAATGGGAGTTTGAAGAAGAAGAGAAGAGAAGGGTGGGACTCTTGTTGTTCTTAAGAGTGGAAGCTGGAGTGAGTGGTGGAAAGAAGAAGGAAGTTGCTACCCAGACACTTTATAGGAAAACAATCAGGCTCTGCCAGAAGGAGTAGTTACCTCCCTTCGACACTTCCTGACCATTTCGGATTAAGGTACGACTCTGATTTCCCTTTCTGGAAGAACGTTACTCGTAGAGCTTTGGGCCAAGGAAATAAGTCGAGGGGCCGAGTCTCCACCCGTAGAACTAGAAGATTGAGGTGTTTGCTATGACTTCGACCTGCAGAAAAATATCAGAATACTTTAGCCTATCATTGTGTAGAACCCCCGAATGTGCAACGTCCTATCAAATACATGGCGGCCACTTATGAGCTGTCTCCCCGTACGTTCCAAAGCAGTCAGGTAGACCTTCCTTCTAGTAATAATGGTGTATATCACAATCACCGAAAATAATTCAGCCATCACCCTTCGGAGGAAAACTTTCAGCTGGTTAGCAACACGCGCCCATCAAAAAAACAACTACGACGATATAAACATCACCTGATATACGTCAAAATTCTCCGGGCTACCACACGCCGACACTCGATCACAAAGATCAACAATATCGTGTTCCAAGTTACAATGCTATCGGGATGCCAAAAATTTCAAGTCCCCATTTGACCATGCCTGGATGCGAGGCAGAGCCCTTCGAGTATTGATCGGCGACGAGGGAATTCCTGATCCCCACCGCCACAGAAGGCTACAACGTGGACCTGAGGCTATGTAAGGTAGACGAACCCGGTATTGTAACAAACGGCCGATATGAACGCGTGAAAGGGAGAAATCAGGATTTGTTACACGTACTACACTATTGAACACAAAATGAACATACGTATGTTATGCAACATTTGCAGGAAAAAAATCTAGATCTTGATCTAATATCTTGGGAAACATCAAATTGTCTCGGTGTGAAAAACTCGCTTAACAAAGTGGAAAAACTGAAAGATACCAGTACAAAATAGCAACTGACATGTCTTAAGGCCTTCTTAAGTGGGTCGCTTCAACAATATGACAATGAATCGTGACTCGTAAGATTGTGTAGATATGCTATCGTATGCGAGGATCTGAATGGTACGAAACAATCAGATGCATGAAATCTCATTGGAATTCTCATCTGAAATCAGATTCCCAAACACTCCACCAAATTCCCATATTCGAGGCGACAACAAGATCTAACATCTTAAATCCTTCATCATATACAATGAGCTTCCCGAGTTTTGCCCGTTTCCCTCGATTGCCACCTCCGGCTTTTTCTTGACCGAGACTGATGCCTAACCTATCATCATACTCGTCATCACTCAGATCGGCTGCGTGGGACGAGTAGTTTGGTCGAGGTGGTAAAGGTGGACGATTTTCTGCGTCGTTCGGACTTGATGCAGAGGCTGACTGTGAACCATACGAAGCACCGACCCCCGAAGTATCAGAAGAGGACTTATTTCGAGTATGGCCAAATTTCGGTATTGAAAAGTGTTTGGGGTGTTTAGGATTTGCGCCATCTTTCAAATTTTGTGTAAAAGAAGCGAATATGTCGGATGAAGGTAGATTGAAGCGTAGCTCACTCACAGCCGCAGAAGCTTGTGGTGCGGCCATCGAGTCCGAGGCACTGTGTGTAGTTTTCGGTAAGGTATGCTTGCATTTCAAGGATCTTCCTCCTCCACCCGTGGAAAACTTGCAACGTCCTCCCCAAGGACTGATGAAAATGTATCCTTTGGTTGATGACCTTTCTGGAGATAATGTTTCCCCTTCATTGTCATTATCAGTGGAACTGCTACCGTAATCTCTACCGTGTGCGGCAACGCCTTCGGAGCCATTTTTCTTATGTTGTCTCGAATGCCAAAAGCTGGACCCTTCCATAGTAATTTTACGATCAAAGCTCGAGGCAATAGATGCTCCTTGATGGCTTTCATGATTTTGTGAATGGTTGCCTGCAAGATGATTGGCTAAGGGGGCGTTTCGGAACTTCGTATAACCAGGCGCTGTAAGGTGGACTGACATGTCAAAATAAGGCTTCTTAGATTTCTGTGGTGATGCTGTTCCATTTTCATTGCGGCCAGCATCAGTAGTGGGATTGCCAGAGACAGTGCCTATATTCCATTGAGCACCAGAAATCGGATCCCGCCGGATGATTGTTATTGAAAATGAATTTGAGAATTTTGACAACGGTTTGTCATAATTATATCCAAATGGTTCGGGTGTAGAGCCTCTCGTTGTCTCGGTGCTCGCTCTCGGAATGCTGGTTCCCTCTTGTAGCGGTCGCTGAGCTTCATTTTCGATTCCGGGTAACGGTTTGCTTCCAGGAAAGGAGCCTGTAACAGGTGAGGTAACAGGCGAGCGTGGTGCCAAGGGTTTTCTTGAAATAGACCGCAGGCTCGGACTTTTACCGAGAAGCTGTGTTGAATATAACCCGGAAGTTCCTGCTGAGTTTTCCACTTGACGCGGTATGTCAAGCGAAGCTCGTGCTGATTCTGGAAGGGGCTTTCGTGTCAATGATTTAATTGTGTCCACGCTAGGTCGACGATTGTCCTCATGCTCTGTTATATTTGCTTCTTCTTCCTCCCGTAGTTTCAAATCGTCTTCCGAGTTTAGGTGAAGATAGTATAATGAGCTCGCAACATCATGAGCAGTGACGTTTTTGAGTTGCGGCTTGAGTGTTGAAAGGATAATATCTGGAAACACATTCAGTACCTGTGGAGAAAAATGTTGTGTAAATAAACGTGACCTACCTCGCGTACCAGGTACCCGCGCAAGATAGAGGGTTAGGGGTTCTCGTTTCTGCTCTGTTGGGTTTCTGGGGTACTTTGGGGGGTTGGAAGCCAGTTCTGTAATATCAGAGAGTGAGCTGGCTTCGACGAAGCCAAGAGGAGACATGGCCGAGGGAATGATAAGGAGACGAGCAGAGTGAGGTCTTGCTCAAAGGGATAGGGCCCTGGAGCAAGTTGATACTTGATGGTGGTGGCTGTTGGTGATACTCGTAGTATAAATTTGAAAAAAATCAAAAGAGAGCTCGTCAACAATATCTTTCTGGCTGCGTGCTAGAAGATTATTGTGTTTTGGTGTGTTCTTGTATCAAGCGATCGTTTCTGCCGAATGTGGTCGTTGGCTTCATTCACAGACATACATATGGCGATTATGTGGTGGAGAAGAGTCAGTGATCTGGCTAGACGGCCCCTCTACATTGCAGAGGGTGCGGAGTCAAAGGAGTGTCAAGAGGGTCGTGTCCATGGGCCGGCCATCAGCCATCAGCCATCAGCCATTCACAGATGTTGGGTGGACTTGTTGTTGCTTGCGTGTGTTGGGAGGCTGTGTCTGATTTGGTTGGACTAGGTTCCCAATATGTCAGTGAGTTATATTTCAGCCTCAGAGACCCGCCAGGATATCCCTCAAATGTTCTGATCGTTGCCAAGTCAATTTGCATGCATTCTAGGGGTGAAGCTGTAGATAGATTTGTCTTTGCCCTTTCTGGCTGGTGGGTTGCTCAGTGACTTTCGCTATACAGCACATACTTGTCAATGGCTAATGTTCGGGTGAAATAATACAAGTGGCAACGATAACTTTAGTCTTTGGATGTTCTTAACCTCAGAGTCAAACAGGATTCCAAGGAAGGTTCAAGGTTGCAAAGGCTATTGAGACTTATCATAAAGCGTCCAAATAACCTCTTTGAATAGCTAAGCAACAGTAACAGTAGGACAGCAAATGTGCTGTCATTCTTATAGTCTGAGGTAATCAATAGTGGACGGCAGATGACAAGGGTCTTGATTGGCTGCTTGGCCCAGCTAAGGAACCAAAACGCCGACAAAAGTTCGCGGCCCACAATCTTTAGGCTTGAAGCAAAAAAACTGTTGCTGCACAAAAGTTCACCATCAGCACCAGCACCAACACCACTTTCTAGCCACCTCACGCCACCCCAGAAAGGACCCAAAGCTTGTACTTTTGAATCGCAGGTATAATTCAGCCGACGAAGATTGACCTCTCAATTCAAATCATCATGGCGGACAGTACTCTGGAGGTATGTCCTTGACTCCCCGCCTTGACTTTTCCGCAGTGGATCGCATGTACTAAGATCCCATAGGAACGACTACGGGAACACGCAGAGTCCTTTGATGGGTTATTGTCGCTCATTCCAGCAAAACATTACTATGGTGAAGACAATAGTGTACGTTGAATTCAGGTCCCAGTCCAGGTAACATGTTAGCTTACGGACCCCGCGCAGGATCAATGGAAGAAGAAGAAACAGACCAAACAACAGGCTGCTGCTGCCAGACGAGCGAAACTAGATCCCGACTCCGACAAGCTCAAGAGCGCAAAGGATATCATGGACGAAGGACTGCGAAAAAGGAAGCTCGCTGAAGCAGAGCTTGAGGCTGACGACGAATCTGAGATGGAGGGCGTAGAGAAGGAACAACCAAAACAAGGCCTGATGGTTGCCCAGGAGAAGAAACAAAAGAAGCAGAAGATCTCCACCGATCTAGAGAGCAAAGACGACATAAGCTCAGCTGAGGCAAAATTTGCTGCCGCCGCCGAAAAACAGGAAAAGCAGCGATTGAAGCAAGAGCGCAAGAAGGAAAAGAAAGCAAAGAAGGCTGAAAAGGTGGATCAGAAGAAAGAGAAGGCCAAGGTCTCGGAATCCAAAATTGCTGCAGAACCTGTACTGAACCAGGCAAATGCTGAGGAAGCTGGTGATGTGGATGTGGAGGAGGCAGTGGATGGTGAGATAGTGGGGTTTGAGGCCGAAGGGTTAGAAGACAAAGCGGAAACAGAAAACGCATCTACGTCGTCAAGTCCTGGCTCGCAATCGCCGATCTTTGACAGCAATTCCAAACCACCAAGTACCACAAATACGTCCACATCTTCGACAATACCTCCTGCCACCGCACCTAAGCACATCAAACTCCCAACGGATCCAGAACTACTAAGAGCAAGATTGGCTGCCCGAATAGAAGCCCTTCGAGCCGCAAGAAAAGCAGATGGCCCCGATGGAACACCAGCACGAAATCGACAAGAACTTATGGAATCACGAAGGAAGAAAGAGGAGCAGAGACGAGCGCACAAAAAGGAACTTCGAATGAAGGCCAAGATGGAGGAGGACGAGCAACGAGAAGCTGCACTCGCATCAGCTCGAGAATCACCAGCGTCGAGTATGATGAGCCCTTCAGTGTATTCGCCACCACAAAATTTCTCCTTTGGACGTGTAGCATTTGCGGACGGACAGCAACTTGGAGATGATTTGACCACTACTCACGCCCCCAAAAAGAAGGGTCCACAAGATCCAGCCACCGCTCTACAGGCAACGGAAAATAAGCGACTACGATTAGCAGGTCTCGATGAGAAGAAGCGTGCCGACATTGAAGAGAAAGATCTCTGGCTCAAGGCCAAAAAGCGAGCACACGGCGAAAAAGTCCGAGACGACACCTCCCTACTAAAGAAAACCCTCAAGCGAAAAGAGAAGATGAAGAAGAAGAGCGAAAAGGAGTGGAACGAGCGCAAGGAAGGTGTAGCCAAGAGCCAAGCAATGAAGCAAAAGAAGCGGGAAGAAAATCTCCAGAAGCGCAAAGATGGCAAGGGCACGAAAGGAGGAAAAGTAAAAAGCAAGGGTGGGAAACCCAAGGTCAGAAGTAGGCCTGGGTTTGAGGGTGGCGGTTTTGGGGGAAGTAAGAAGAAGTAGTTGAGAGAGCAAGAAAACGGGCATATCTTAGGCGTGAGGAGGGGTCAGCGTTGCATTTTCTGTTAATAGTTCTCGAATGTACATGTGTGGTTTGCTTGCCACAATGTTTACGAGAAAGTGTATGAAATTTAATCCAAAATACGAGATTTTTCATGTACAGATACACTCACTTTCAATGGTTTCGTTGGGCTAAAGGCGCTTGCGGCTCGCGTAAACTGCCAGGTACCTTCACCTCAACATCATCCATAGGGAGTGCCTTTGTAACTATCCGGGTGTCCCGAGCCACTTCACTTCCACCACTCGTAATCTTCCCCAACTCTTCTAAAAGCAATCAACATAAACTTACTCCAGTTATCTCGTCGTTGGAAGAATCAACTGAACCGGCCCTTCTCCCTACTCACACAAACAAACCCATTATCGTTGAGAAAGTACGGACAAGGTACGTAGAAAATATTCCTACTCTTACAGTAGTAAACTACACCCGGGCAAATCCCTACCCTCACCACAAGTTATAGCTAGCTATTTATAGATCCTAAAATTAATAACATATCCCTCATACGATAAGGAGGATGGATGAATGACAACCAAACTACTGCACTGGGTCGATCCAAGGGTACTGTAAAGATGACGGAATGATTTTTTGTACTACCAAAGTAACTCCCATTCCCAACAAAAACAAACCCATCAAGCATCGGGCAAAAAAAAGAAGAAAAAACCGCACGCAAAAGCTACGTATCGTTTTAAGGTACACATTCCCCTACAAACACACCAGGAAACCCCAAGATAATTTCTCTCTGAGTGCGTGGGAAATCAAGGAAGAAAAAAGAAACAACTGAAGATTTCATTCATCAATAAAAAATAACGAGGAAGAAGATAAAGCAGACGCAAGAGAAACCCAAGACAACAAAAATGGTTTCACACACCCAAAAACCCAAAAGCGCCTGTGTGCAAACGTAACTACTTTTCTTCAGAAACTCGATACCTTCCTGGTATTGCGTTTTGTGTGTTGATTGGTTTTTTGAGGGCAAGCTAATATGACAGTCAAGAAGGGTTTTCTTTCTTTCTCGCTCAGACGAGAGCTCTTTGGTATGCGTGTAATCCTCTTCCCTGAAATGGTGATGAATTTCTTCTTATAGCAAGGAATCCAATCTGGTAAAGACACTGAGACACGCTGCCACAACCTACACAAGTGTTAAGACGAATGATGATATTTTCAAGAATTGAGGAATGGATGGAGTTTACCTCGAGTTGCAGTTCCTCATCCTTGCCATTCGCAACCTCATCCCCAATGAGCTGTCCTAGATTTGCGCCTACACCTCCCGATGCTCCACCAGCCCGTTTTCCAAAGGGCCACTGACTGTATTCTGCTAGTAACTCGTCCACCTGAGCGAAGGCCCTTTCCCGGGACTCGTGTCCCAAACTCGCAAGTGCATTCTCCAAAACGTTGGCAGCATAAGCCGCACAAACCATAGCGATGGTACGAGTGTATCTAAATTTGAGATTCTCTGGGAGGAATTGACTTCCCGGCAATACGACCGTTCGTTGCGTCAAGACATTTCTAACCCGTCGTCGGATTTCCTCCTTTGCTCCTCCGTCTGCTACTGGATGTGTGGCCATATCGAATAATAGAAAGTTTTTCTTTTCCGTTCGAAGGATTCCCTTGTCAACGAGGCCTTTGGCTAATCTTTCTCGGACTTGTTTCAATTGATATCCGATCTTCATGAGATTCCATGTCTCACCTAGTAGAGAATTAATATAAGTTGTGGAAAGAAAATGCTAAAGAGATGGCTCACCACTCATCAAATCAATCCATGAACTGACGCTCATTTTCTCGCTGGCCTTCATCATCTTCAAGGCCTCGTCGAGGAGAACCTCACCCGTTAACGTATCATCAATAACCTCAATAACCCGATCGGCCAACGGAAATCGTCTCCTCGACGAGTCCTTCTGCATGCTCACTCGTCCGCGGAAGGCCAGCTCGATAACGATGCATCCTCGAAGGGCGTATGATATATTGTCGTTCCAGAAAGATAAGTATCCCTACATTACAATCGCATTAGTTCATTGCGCACGTCAAACCGAGAGACCCTCTGAATAGCTGGGCAACTCACTTGCTTGTCCTTCAAGCCCAACAACAGCACCTCCTCCATCAACGTAAGCTTTGGTTGCTTGCTCCGCTCCGCACTCTCACTAATATCCCTCGGATCAAAGGCGATCTTGTGTCCATTCTCGCCGTTCTCATACGACGTCTCTGGTCCACCGGTATCGCGAGAACCGCCGGCCTTGGGCGCAGGTGAGGCCACACGACTAGAATCTGCTTCCTCGTTCTCGGCTCCTCCACCGCCGCCGCCTCCACCTCGTCTTCTTGTGAGTCCAGTAGACATGGCGCAATTTTTATGTAGGTTTGTATATGTTGAGTTGGATGCGAGAGATCGAGCACAGGGGCGTCGAGTCGAACCTCAGATGGGGCGTAAGTTGGCTGGCTGTAAGACAGATTTCTTTTCGGATCGCTGCCCGCACGCGGACCCTCAATTTCGCGACGCTGATCAACCTGCAAATGTATGTGGTGGATTTTGGACTGGCAATAGTCTCAGGATCCAATGGCTCGATTATCTCGAGGTCTTCAAGTGAATCGCAATCAAGTGTGGAGAATGGATGAGGTTCAAGCTGCCTTGCTGTACCTATGAATGGAGTTGCAGGGATGTGGGGGACTTTAGTGAGGCTCCGTCAAAGACCTGACATGCGCCTTCTGTCATACCTACGGCACTTTTGACAAGAGAACTAGTGAAAAGTTACAACTACTAAATCACCCATCGCAAAAGAATTAAGAAATATGACATCAGGCATTAAAAGTCTTATTTTTGGACTTGTCGCTTCGGCAAGGGCGAAAAAAGGGGTTTCCAATGCTGCGAATATTAATAAACCAAACCAATCTGATTTTAAGTTCGGTTACAGGCACATAGCATCACTCCATACATCATTGAGACCGGGACGAAGAGTAGATGGACTAAACATTGATACACGCGCATAGAACCCATACGTCTTTCGAAGGAAAATACAGATTCTGTGCTGCCGATAGCCATTATGAATCCTCATTCAAAGGCCATGTGACCCCCTCCAAAACCTTCATTCCCTTCCCCTAATATACAATTGATTTGTCTAGTGAGCTGTAAGGCAATTAGCAGATGTATCGCGAGTTTTATATGTGAATACCTACCATCCGGTTGAGCCAGGATGTATTGCACTGCCTTGTCAACTATTTTAAAAAGTTAGTTCCCGTGCATGACTCCAGATCTCGCATATTTGTTCTATACCACTGTGGATAGCATCAGCCTCCTTATCTGGGATCTCGATACTGAACTCCTGCAAGTACGTCAAAATCTATCTCGAGCTCTAGGCTTCCCCAATCGACATACCTCCTCGATAGCCATCACAACCTCAACAGTGTCTAAGCTGTCCAACCCAAGGTCATTCGCGAAGTGTGAAGTTGGTGTGATCTAATTGCCTGTTAAACCAGTTGTTTCGATACCCATCCTGGCTTCATTATCGCACCTTTGTAGGATCGGAAACCTGCGACAAACATTAGTAAATCTTCCAATAATTCGTCCAGCATAACATGCTCACTTTATCAAAGTTTTTCAGTAAATCAGCTATTCTTCCTGTCACGGTAGCCTCGTCAAGACCACCACCTGCGGAATAGCATCGTACTGCTTGGAAAGCGGACGGGGCGATTTGCGATTTTGTGAAGAGACCGGTGGAGGCTGGACGAACAATTGGGCTCGATTTTCGTACAGCCTGGCATGTAGCGCTGCGCGCGGATCTGAGAAGAGCTGTTCGGAACATGGCGGGGGATGTGTGAGGAGTTGAGTGTGGTAGAGTTGTGGGGTTTGGTTTGTATAATCAAGCTTGTCACAATTGGAACTTCTTTAGCTCGGTAGTCACGTGACCTGAGATCCCTATCGCTCCGAGCTCACCCTGGTACCTACTTTTAATAATGTCCATAAGTAAGTTTCAGATGATAATAAAATTAAATAGTGATTATGCTTATGTAATCTTCCAGGTTCTCTTATGATATCAACAGCTCGTTTCTAGTCGATTTTGTGGCAATTGAAAGTTTCCCATACCGGCCAATCATCGCTCCTGGATTTTGAATCCTCGACTGGGCGCCGTCCCAAAATTCAAGACCACCAACCCACCTCCACCAGAGTCCAGACACACATTATTGCCACGAGCAACAACATCATGGCATCTGCGAGGCCTTTAACGATGCTCGTGGCCCGAAGCCGACCAACGGCTAGGCTCACGAGTTTTGCGCGTACTTTCAATCCACCCGCCGCCTACAAAGCAGCATTCTCGACGACCTACCTTCGCGCGTACGCCACTCCCTCTGGGCCACCTCCAGCTGGCTTTAGACTCCCCAGACCCGAGAGATGGGACGAGGACAAGGAATCGTCGTTTGATAGGGCTGGAAAGTACTTTCTCTTGACCGAGATGCTCAGGGGAATGTATGTCGCATTGGAGCAATTCTTCAGACCTCCGTAAGACTTGCCATTGAGCTTTTAGATAGCGTGTTGGTAGATGCTAACCAAGTTGTAGTTACACAATCTTTTACCCATTCGAAAAGGCACATATTCCGTACCGAGCTTGCTGGACGAGAATTAACAGTTTCTAGGGTCCAATCTCCCCGCGGTTCAGAGGCGAACACGCCCTACGAAGATATCCTACAGGCGAAGAACGATGCATTGCTTGCAAGCTCTGCGAAGCTGTAAGTAGAACCCAACTGCTTTTATCGTGCGCCTTTCTAATCACCATACTAGATCTGCCCCGCCCAAGCGATCACCATCGAGGCCGAAGAGCGTGAGGACGGAAGCAGAAGGACAACCCGTTATGATATCGACATGACTAAGTGTATTTACTGCGGTTTCTGTCAAGAGAGTTGTCCGGTTGATGCCATTGTCGAATCACCGAACGCTGAATACGCCACGGAGACAAGAGAGGAGTTGCTGTACAACAAGGTATGTTGGGTTAATTCGGGACTTGGCGGGGTATCACTAATTTTATGTAGGAGAAATTGCTTGCGAACGGAGATAAGTGGGAGCCAGAAATGGCTGCTGCTGCTAGAGCGGACGCTCCTTATAGATAGATTGGTTTTCTTTGTTGGTATCTTGTACATAGGGAATACAGTTCATTTTGAACGTACACTTGAAAATTCACAGGTTTCAATTCAGGGTGATTCTTTCAGCGGCTTTGCGGTATTTTCTTACTGGAGGTGCAGAGCTGATAGATGATGAATATTAAGATATGTCTTTACCTTGCGGCTCTAATCATTCAATTTGAGGCCCAGGAATTAACTTAGCAACTACTCCAGAACGCTCGGATATTTCGAATGAAAGCATCTTGCTTATTATACAATCGTAGAACCGATGAGATGGCAAAACGCCTTGACACTAGACAGACACTAGTCGCGATACCTCAGGCCCTTAGCGGTGCTTTGAAATACCCCATCAACTTAAAGGCAGTCTGGTCTACACCCAGGGACACCTTAGGGATACTACAGCAAGACATCTTTGGTGTTCATAAACACGCTGCTGATTCCTACAAAATTACATTGAACATGTAAATTTGCTGTCCTGCATGAAATTTCAATTGTAGACTCACAGAAGTTAAATCGAAAGTAAAGCTACTCTGCTTGAGCAAAGTGTTTTACAAGTCTCCTTCTAAGAGGCACCAGGGACGCAGAACTGGAAATTACTAATAATAGGGTTTAATTTCTATCAAATGAGTTAAATGTTATTTAAGATTAATCAGATAGTTCTTTCGTAGATGATAATATCTTGATAGACTCGAGTATTCAAATATTATATAAGTGTTCATACTATAATGCAAACTTGGTATATATGTATATATAAACAAGAACTACTGGTGTTATATCTGATAAGTGAAGTATAATAGTGTATTTATATATTGTTTTCTGTACGCACTAGTATAAGACGAGATAAAATTAAGCGAGCGGTAAACTAATATTCGTTACTGCCGCAGTTACACCTGTTAACCACTACTTTGCTCTTTGTAATCCTCCTATTACAAGTTACGAATGGATGACAGGATGTTAGACATATAATCTACATCTATTTTTATCACGGGCTACACAACTCGCGACATTCGTAGCGCTATTATCTCTTCTATTAGCTGAATCATTACCGGTCGTAATACGTCTAGGGTCCCTAAGGATTCTTTCATTTCTTCAAAAGTTAGAGTGTTCTTGTCAGGTGTATGTTCCGCGGAATCTGTAATCCTGGGCCGCAATCGAAAGTAAAAATCGACTTAATATACTCCTAGATAATGCTACTACCGGTTTTGCGAAGCCCATTCCTCGATGTTAACGTTGATAAGAAAGAGGGAGGTGTTATATAAAGCTTATTCCAAGGTCTCATTCGGTCGATCCAAGCTTTCTCTAACCTCCTTAATTATTCCAGGTCGTGCTCGAGTTGTAGATATGAACTTGGTTAGGGCGCCTTTGAACACTGTTCGCCTTGAAAATAGGTAGCTTAAGAGAAGAAAGACGAGCAGTAGTACTAACATTTTCCAAAATAATTACCTTCGATATTGCCGCTGGTGTATAAAATATTAACAAATAGTATTAAGGATAAAACAGGAGACTGTTAGAATAAGCTGTAAAAAGCGGAATAAGAGAAAAAGCCAGCTTTAGGTAAAGTAGTACCCTAATATAACGGCATCCCTAGCCTATGGACTCTTCCCGGATGAGATTAGTGACTCGTAAAGTGAGACTAGCGTGACATATATGGATCCATATCCACCGTACAAGAAGTCTCGCCTATTACAAGAGTCATATACTACTCCTACTTCAGCGTTCTGTAACAAATGAGAAAGTCAACCAAATTTAGTAGGGAATTAAAGAGCTTCGCGGTAATTTCGTTAATTCTTATTACTCACTTATTATATTTACACATCAAAGTTGTTTTAAAAATCCAGCATAGTATTATTAGAAATGTGATCTTCCTAAGATGTATAGATTATTGTTTTTTTATGGAAAAAACCTAATTCAACTATATCATTTTAGAATAGCTAAGTAATGCAAATTATTAAACCAAGTCTATGTCTATGTATATTGGTATTCGGGATTTAATATGTAAAATATATATAGCAGCCCAAGTCCTACTTTTTTCTCCCATGAAGATTTGGTTCGTCTTTCATTCTCACGCTATTAGGACCAAAGAAGCCATTGATTTAGATAAGCATGTCGAATGGTACGAGTCTCCCTAGGGTTATCGCGAGGCATTACTAGATCTTTTCAAAGCTACTCTCAATTAATCATTCATATCTACCTATTGCGGAGTATTTGTGCTTTAGTGGTTATTATTAATCTTTAATGGTCGTCTAATTCGTTATCCCTGCATTCAGCGGCCCTTGAAGGTTGCTTATATCACATATACTACTTATAGAAAGATATCTATGGGCATACTTTGTATGAACACTAGCACAATGTCAGATACTCCCCCTGCTGCAGTGTATGTATCACAGACTAGTCCAGGTGCCCCTTCTTTTAGCAAGTAATTAGACGAATAATGAGAGGAGGAATTAATTCTTGATAATATCGTGCATCACAGGGTACAATAATGAACTGTCCGGCTTCAAATATGCGTGGATAGCTAGCTTTAAAGTTCGCAAATAGAAGAATAGGTCACTTTCACAGCTATCAGCGCAGTTGAAGAAGAGGATCATAATATTAAAAGAAAAAGGGTTATATTTTTAGATGGGTCAGAGGTCAAATCGAAATTGAATTCAGGGACCGGCCCTGCAAGAATGTAAAAACATATAGGTGCTAAGGTTCTAGTAAACATCGCTAGAAAGAAATATTTGTGAGAACCTTGATGATTCTACCCTGGAATACATATGAATAAAACCAGTTATTCCTAATCAACACCGTAGCGAAAAGACTTACCCCTTATGCTCCACCCCGAGGCTTCAGATGAAGTCTCGAATTTCCCCAACGGCGGAATGCCGGAGCCGGGGATGAAGAAGTAAAAGAGTTATTCTTTTCTTGAGGATGACTGTCCTGAAGAGGAACATCAGGAAGTTGTGCAACCTCCATCCAAGATGAAGTTTTGGGAGCCTCACTCTCAGCCAGAACAGAATCTTCTCCATCTTTGTGGGAAGACGAGCTGTGGGAGAGAGAGACCCAACCACTGGTTGGTCGCTTCCTACTTACAGCCGGCTTCCACTGAAGTGGACGGAAGACTGAAAGGTCAGTAGTGGAGGTAGAGGCCTCAACCTCGCCAACACTATCCATATCACTATCCACATCACTGTCGACTTCCTTTTCGACTTTCTTGTGGACTTTCTTGTACTGTTTCGCTGCTGTCGTGAGCGTTGTTCCAGCTGAGAGGGCTTTCAAGGCCGCGTCGTGGTGGGCTTGGGGGTCCTTGGACTCCCAGGCCCAGCGAGTGTTGTAGTTGGTAGACATTAGTAGTTGGTAGAAATTATGAGTTTGGGTTGTGGGTATGGGTGTGTGAGAGTGTGTGAATTGTGGGGGATTAAGAGAGTATATTACGCTCAATATATGTTTCTTCAACTCTTCTGTTTTCCTCGACTCCCAAGTAAACACACAGACATAATGTCGATGGAGCACAAAAAACATCACTCTGTTCATCAATAGTGATTGTAGTTCAGATAACGAGAATTCCTTGTCAAGTGTGAACAAGTCAAAGACAAAAGGACATGCAGGTGAACAATTCATGGTGCACCGATTCATTTTCTTTCAAGTATATCGCTTGTTTGACTGAACGGTCAAAGAAGCGAGCCCTAAACGCCACCAACCACACCCCTGCTATCCCCTCATTCTTCCTGCTTACATACATTTTCCCACGCCTTACTGCAAAACCCATCTTGACATCACCAAAACCGAGTACGAAGTAAATTACGTTTCTCCAAAACGTAAACACCGCACTGCATACCAAAATTCCCATGAGCACGGCTCGTATCCTTCGTTCCGAATCCCCTCGCATGCTGTACCAATAATCCATCACACGCACTACCATGCACACCCCCGTCAACCCGCTTAACTACCTAGAATATGCACCACGTAACGGACGCACCGAACACGAGAGCGAGAACGAGAAGTCGCGACGTGCAACAAAAGATATTTTCCTCTTCCTATTGGAGTAACAGTGGCGAGATTTTTGCTTATGATTGGATGGTGCGAGTCGGATTTTTCGAATCGTATGCGTGTTGTCATTGTAGAAACGAGACTGGGTACGATAACGTAAAAAGATGAGACAGGGATCGCTCGTTTAGTGTAACACGCATACGATCATGCAAGCGAGGGGCTCACTGGGAATCTACAAGCAAAGCCTTCTATCATTAGGTACTGGTGGTACAAATTTCATCATGAAAAAAGAAATGGCTACTGAGTTTTCCGAGTTCACAATAGCTTTTTTCTTTTTTGCCTTCAGAAGATTTCTGTCTGTTGTGTATCCAAGCCAAGCTCCCCCCCCATTCCCCCCACGGGAATATCCACATCCTCCGTGTCCACAGGTGGGTCGTAAATCGTATTCACCCCGGCGTCGTTGACTAGTGATTGACAAATCAACTTCTCGTGCCACGTTACGGAGATCAATTCCGCACTTATCAAGATTTTCGACATTTCTACTGAGGTATAAAAGGCTATCAAAAAGAGTTTCAAGTCAACTCGAAGTCCACGCACCCGGGAAGTAGAGATGGGATCTACCTTGGCGTTGAGGGAAAATACCCATTCCCAGCCCCATGGTAGATAACATTCCAAAATGCCCTTATCAGGTCCTCTATTAGAAGTACCTTTCATTAAGCGAGTACCACGTCCTCGGCACAGAATCCCTCGATCGAATCCTTGACGAGGTCGTGCTTTCCTGCCTTTATCCCTTCTCCTCGATGGCTTCGGTTATTTTTGCGTACACCGCATAGATACTTTGTAGGTGACACAAGGCTACGAGCATGAGGGGTTGAAGCCGAGTATTCGTCCAATTGACTTAGAAGAAACTCTTGCTCCTTCCTATAAATTGGGTGTTGATTTTCAATACTCTCGCTTCTCACCCTTCTTTTCCTTGCCCGAGAGGCTGATACTTCATTCCTAACTTGTACGATACACGAGTTCGTCGCTCTTTCCTTCTTTAAATCGCGTTTTCCCATCGTCAGGGCCGAGACCACAGCAAGGGAAGGCACAACCTAGCTCCCTCGTCCGCCTCATATACCCGTTTTCTTGTGCGAGGGAAGTGCTGGGGAGAAGGTGCGCTGGCGTTACACCATGACTCTGGATAGCTCAGGTTCGCTCTTCCCTGCATATGAAGCATTCCGTTATAGCATATGACCCTACCGATTACCCAGAGCTCGGTGTTCTGATCCAATTGAGTTCTGAGTCGTGTGGAGCGATACTTGGAGCCCGAGCTGTCCAGACTCTCCTCATGACTAAGCTCGGAGTTTTGGTAAGATGGGTCGAAGTCGAAAGCTTATCATGACTTCTACGATAACCCATCTTTCATATGCCGTTGGGAGAATTTCATTTTATGTGGTATAATTTATTCGTCAATTATAATATTACTGTAGTCAATTCTGCTTAACGCATACTCCGTACACATTCATTTTGTTCCTTCTATAGCTACAAGGATTTTGTGACATCATCCAAGAGTAATTTTATAAAAGAAAAGCTTGTAGTCTATTATTAGCTACTTATGTTCCTTTGATTTGTCTCCCGGCTCTCCACAAAAAAAATAGAAAAAGATCTGCTCGGGTTTAAGACTTTACACAGAATTTAAGCTAGTCTGGGTATTCAGGAAGGGATGCTTAGCCTAGCATCACTGCGGGTTATCGCTTAGCCATGCAGTGGAGCAGAGTAGATAAATTTGATCGTTTGTGTGGGACAAGGACGAAATTCTTTCCTGTTCGGTATCCAGAGGGAGTCCAGTTATATTGATCAAGTAAACACGTTGGCAAACACGAGTTCTACCCAATACTCGAGTATGGTCCCGTTACAAGGTTGGAGTATATCACTTTCTATGGAAATCCTTTTTTTTCGTTAAATAGTACTGCCATGCTCTTTCGTTTCATGCGGTGATTGTCAAGAGGCATCGAAGTACAAATAGGCAGGTTCATGTAGAATTCCGTTGTAGGATGCAGAGAGGTATTGTATTAACCATTACAAAGCCTTGTCGTAACCTCATCAACAAAACCCCCACAAGAAATCATTATAACCCCGTTTTCTTCCCACTAGATGAGAACCTAGTCATAATCAATAAACAGGAAGAAAAAGAGGAAAACAAATCTCAACCTCGCTCATCCAATGCCAGAACAAAAAAATGATGATGAATCCCATGCACCCCTTCCAAAAAACCCAACAATCAATCTGTAATCTGGTATGGTATGCCCCATTCCCGCCTCCTAAAAACGCCAGAAACCCATTTCAAAAAATCGGGCTATCAAAAATTACCCCATCTGCTCCACACCAAACACTACGCAATCTTCCCATTACTCTGCCAAACCCCACCGCCATGCAGAAGCGTATGTCTCAGCGCAGGAGCATTTCTTCTATGCACAGAATCTGGGGGGGATTCCAAGCCCCCAACATCCTCGCCCTTTTGTCTAGCCTCCTTAGACTCAAGTGCTAATCTTTCCCTGGCTTCCTTGCGAGCTTGGGCAGTAAGCCGGTCCCGAATAGCAGTGCTTTTCTTCCAATCATCGGCCTGTTTCTGCATGCGAATGGTAGCTCGAACAAATTGGGCGACTATCCGAAGAGTAAACGCTTTGGGTTTCTTCTTGCGCTCAATTTTGACACCCGTAGACTCCAGAAGCCGTAGATCGGCGCGGTTGCTATAGTTAATGGGTTAATATATGCGTGGACGGGGAGAGGCAGAGGTCACTTACCAAGCTTGATACATATCAATTTGCAATCCCATGTATCTCTTTGCATAAGCCGCTTGAACTCTGAATGCCGTTTCACGCGCCGCCTGAGCTTTGAGCCACTGAACCTGCAATGCCATTCCCCGCATTTCCTTAACGTGAACATGTTCCTTGGCAGCAAATTCCTTCTTCAAAGCCTCAATATCCTCGTCGCTATGATTATTGACCGTTGACACTGACGTATTGACGAATCGAACGCCTCTTGTGAGAGCAGCCTTCTCATCATCCCACATTCTCTGGGCTTCTTCGAAACGGCGCTGCAACTTCTCGAGTTCTTTTTTAGCAGAGCCCGATTTGATGCTCTTGGTTAAGGATTTCTTCTCGATGTCCCAATTCTGTTGACTCTCCTGAAGTTGTCGTTCCAGGCTCTCCAAATTGGCTTGAGCGGCTGCCGCCTTGAATTTATGTTGGGATCGCTCATCACGTACACGCTTGAGATGGAGTCGCAGTTCTGCTTCCACAGCAGAGATTGCGGCAATGGTCTTTTCTCGCTCTTCGACTTGTAATTCCAGTGATTCAGCTTGGACTTGGGTTTCTCTGAGCATTTCGTGAAGATCCTGGCGCTCGAGTGCCATAGTGCGACCCCCAGTACTATTAGCACGCTCAGCCTGGAGAGCTTTCTCAAGTCGATCAATCTTTCCTCGTAACAGAACAATTGAGGCTTCCGAAGTATTGTTTTTAGCACCAAGTTCCTCAATTTTAAGCTGCGCTTCATCAATGGATCGTTCAAGTTCGTCTTTCTCTGCTTCCCATGCTCTAGCTTGAGCCTGGAGCTCGATGTTCGCAGAAGTGAGCTTGCGTGCACTCTCCTTTTCGACGCTTTTCAACTGTGAGCGCATTTCCTTGACAGACTGATGAGCTGACGCCAGTTGGGAACGAATCTCAATGATCTCTGATTTTCGCGCGGAGCCATTGATGGAAGATGGGGGCGAGGATGTGACTAAACGAGAAAGTTCTGCATCATAAGCTTTGCGTTCAAGCTCAACTATCTGGCATTTCAAGCCACGAACTGTTTCCTTTTGCGTAGCCTCACGTTGAAGGAATTCTGTCTCCCGTTGTCGCAGCTTATTAAGATCGGCTCGGATGAGAGAAAGTTCATGGGTCGCATCTTCTTCTCCGCCCTTGCCCGATGATACCTGCTCCTCCAATTCTTGTATACGTTTCTCAAGTTGTTGAATGGTTTTTTTAGCAGTTGACAATTCTCTCTTCTCTGAGGAGCCCCGAAGTAGTTTCTCAAGATCGTGAATCTCGGTGGATAGTCGAGCTTCTTCTGAATTGGCCCGGTCGATTTCTTGTTGCAATTCCACTTCTAATGAATCTTGCTGGGAAACAACCGCCTTGTTCTCCTCTTTGAGACGCCGGACTTCAGCTTCAAGCTTAATCTTCGAGGTTCGCAGGTCAATACGTTCTTGATCAAACCGGAATGTTTCTTCATCGTGCTGCTTCGAGGTCTTAATTTGGCTGTAAAGCTCGTCGCGCTCAGCTTCAGCTTCGGCCTTGGAAAGACGTAGGGTGTGCATCTCAAGGTTCAAGCTGGCCAGCTCGTCTTGTAAGCCCTGCTTATCCTGCCGAACTTTGGCAAGCTGGGCCTGGGCATCTCTAATAGTGGATATCAACTTTTCATTGTTGCCATTTCCGGCCTCGACATCATCTTGAAATGCTTCAAGCTGAGCACGAGCAGAGTCAGCAAGAGCTTCGGCTTTTGATACATCTTGTTTCAAAGTCTGAATCTGCCTTCTAAGACTTTCGGCTTCGTGCTTTGCGGCGATCAGTTCATCGTTGGCTTGAGTGTCGTCGTCGAGGCTTGATTGTAAAATCTCTACCTCATCTTCCAAGCCCTCAACCTTTTCCAATAAACTCTTCTGCTCTCTTTGGCTAAGTCGCAGTTCCTCGCGTGTGCTCATTAATTCGGACTTCGCTTCCTCGAGGGATTTACGTCGGTTGGCTATATCGTCGTTGAGCTCCTCAATTTGGCGCTTGAGTACTGATTCCTGGATTGCGTGTCGGTCTTTCTCTGCTTCGAGGGCTTCCTTCAGTCTGGACTCCTTGCTAGAAAGGCTGCCCTCAGTCACTTGAAGTTTGTCAATAGTCCGTTGCAAATTATCGGCCTTGTCCTCAGCAGCGTCTCTTTGCGATTCTAGGGTTCGCTTTTCACTGTCCCATTTGTCGCTGTCGTTGTCATAGAGTCGTTCCATTTCTCGAACCTTAGCACGTAAATCTTCAATCTCATCATTGAGTCGATTGATCTCATCCTTATATTGATCTCGGACTTCTCGCTCGTTGTTAAGAGCTACAGTCTTTTCGTGCTCGAGTTTATCTTCGAGGTCCTCAATAGATTCTCGTGCTTTGGCGAGTTCTTTCTGAAGACCCCCCGATTCTTGGGTGAGAGCATCGTACCGTGTTTGCAGAAGATCCTTGGCTTCGGATTTCTGCTGGAGTTCGCTACGGGTAGCTTCGAGTTGCTGGGAAAGGATTTCCTGTTGCTTAGAAGCATTCTGAGTTTCATTTTTGACCAAAGTTAGGCTGTTCTGGAGTTCTTGCTCGCGGGATTCACTTTGCTCTTTCAGGTCCTTAATTTTCCTTTCGAGCTTCTCGCACTCGGTCTCCTTCTCTCCATAGTCTTCCTCGAGAGTGTCGTATTTGTCACGGAGAACCTCGATTTCATCTTGTAACCGGTTGGCTTTCTCTTCGACTTGACGGCTAAGACCCTTGGTGGTAATCGATTTATTGGCCATCTCCTCTTGAAGCTCTTCAAGATCGTTCTGTGCACGTTCTCTTTCCTTCACTGCTTCCTGGCGGTCCTCCTTCACCTCATCCAACTCATCTTTCACACGTCTCAGGTCACGCTCCAATTCTTCGATTGTTTCCTTTGCTTCCTCAAGTTCGTCATTGGCTTGAATCTTCTCCTCAAGTTCGATGTTTCGACGCTGCTCCTGCTTGACAGATTGCTTCAGGGTAGCAATACTCTCAAGATGCTTCTCTACTTCGTCCTTCAAGTTTTCCACCTCATCTTCACGATCCTCGATTACACGAGTCTTCTCCCGAACTTCCGCTTCCAAATCCCCGATGTTGTCTTTCAAGTCTTCAAACTCACCTGCTTGGAGCTTCAGCCGGTCAACTTCTGCTTCACTTACCTCCAAGGCACGACGAAGTCGATTCAATCCCTCTTTCTGGCCCTCGCTGGCATGTTTCTGCTTCATTTTGTCGTGCATTTCAGAGACCTGTTGTCGAAAAACTTCTACATCGCGTTCAGCGGCGCCCAATGTCTTTCGGTATCGAAGCAATTCCTTTTGCATTGTGACTTTGTCCACCTTGAGTTCCGTATTCTCCTTCAAGGCAGCTTCACTGAAACCGGGGCCGGCTTTTCGCAGAGCTTCCTCCAAAAAGTGGATTTTTAGCTTCAGCCCAAAGTTTTCCTTCTCGATCTTGTCTATAACGTTTTCTTGTTCCCGTAAGGACAGCTGATTTCCGTCCTGCAAAACTCCTGGACCTTCATTGCGCCGGGGTAATAATGCCATTGGAGTTGACGCATTACTGCTGTCGTCAAGTTGAGGTCCGGGTGTGGCGGCCATGTATGAATCTCCCATTCGTGATCCCCCATATACTGAGCTGTTCAAAGCTGGTAGCACACTCAGTTCAGGTATATTGTCCAGCCCATCTCCTCTCAAAAACCCTGGCGTATGTATCGAGTTCTCTTTCCCGTTTCGCAAGGCACTGTTTCTGGTGGCGTTTTTCAGCAACGGTGTGAACTCTCCTCCTCCGAGTCCTGCGGGAAGATTTCGTCGGTCTGTAAGGGCAGTGCGACTCCGAGGTGTTCTGATAGCGCCGCGTCCACCTTTTTGCATCTGGTTGACGAGGTTATTGTTGTCCTTCGAAGGCGACTGGAACGATGGTTCTTGCGAGATATCGAAGTCGAAGTCCTTTCCATTCCCCAGGTACGTTGCATCTCCCAGATTTGTTCGTGGAGTATCCAGTCCACCCACTCCAGCGTGCACCATGGTTTTTTTCGCGTCGCGAGCCCGACAGCTCGAGGGATATTATAAGGACTTTTTAATGTAGATAAAATTACCAATGCCGTGAAAAATCAAACTAGGATTTCGTAGCCATCAACTCCAATGCGAAGAAGCAAGAATGTTATTGAGTTGAGGAAGTCGGTTGAAGTATTTTGGCCCGTGGAGAAGTCGCGTTGTTTACACTCCCCATTTCAGCTAGTCGTGTTTGGGTCCCCCCTGCAATCAAATGTGCCAAGCCTTTTTGTATCGCGGGCGCGGGGCAGCCGCCATCATCGTGTCGACCCTTACTCGAGAGTACGAGTACCAGCCTCACCCAAACTTACTCCACCACCACTTTACCATCATCACACCGAAATGAACGCACCGTCTAAAGATGACCTCCCATTATTTGGGGACAATTTTGACGGGTTTCCGAAAAGGCTGCCTGACGACTGTGTCGAGTATGCTTTGTTTGTCGTCGACGCGAAGCTGAAGTCACCGAAAGAATTAGTATCGCGATTGGAAGTGATACGCAAGGAAGCGCTGAAGCTGGCAGGTGGCCTCCTGCAGGAATACATATGGCAGCGGGATGGGTTCACATTGGAGTTGGACAAGGAAAAAGGTGCGGGCTGATCCCCTCCACATGTCCGCGCGAGGCTAACGACAGCATTTTAGGGATGCATCTTCGGGGGATGACAAACTTTGGGGACTCAGTCGACGACGAATGGCTTATTGTATATATTCTCAAAGAATTGAGCAAACGATTCCAAGACTTATGGATCAAAATTGTGGACACAGATGGCGAGTTCTTGCTGATTGAAGCCGCCAATGCCTTACCCCGATGGCTGAATCCAGAGATTGCAGATAACAGGGTCAGTAATCTGTTCGCACAACTACAGGCAGGCATGGACTTATTTGGATGATAGGTATGGATTCACAACAACAGTTTGCGTATCATACCTAGGAGTGCAGCTACTTCGACGACCTCTGCGACGGCTCAGATTTCCCGATCTCTCACGCTTGAAGAAGCCCATGAAACCATCTCGAAAACTCCTGCTGTTCTGATAAACTCGCCACTTATCGAAGCAGAAGCATTTTATAGGTTACGAAACTATCCTGCGCAGATTGCTACTTCTTTACACTATGCTGTTGTAGTATTACCCGGAAAACTAGCCTATGTTTTACACGATCGACCCGCGTCCATAGCCCCAGCGACGGAAGCTTTTTACCTCCGAGACCCCATTGCATTAAAGCCTCTACAAACGACGTCTACTAAACTGACATTCATCCCCGAAGACTTAATCACAGTTTCGGTTCGGTTCACGCGGGTTCTCTATGCCCAGCTGAAATCCCAACAATTTTCCGCTCCACTAGCATGGAAAGACTTGTTATTAAAGGCCGAAAAGGAAGCCATTTCATGCGACACAAAGAGGAAAGAATACACAAGACTCGAAATGGGCATGAAGGTTACCTCCGGTTTTGAAATGTTACTCAATGACCCCAAGAACGGAGATAATCGCGCAGTGCGCGAGATCCGAATACTACTTGATGATCTAGAAGCCGGGGATGAAATTCTGCCCACAGACGAAGTAATTGCAAAGTGGAGAGATATAACAAGAGAAGATGATGAGAGATGGCTTGATATTAATTTCGAAGATTTTGAACGGGAGTTAGACGGGAAAAGCAAGGAGAAAAAGGCAGGAGCAGCACGTATGTTTGGGCCTGAATCTTCGGGGGGGGTTGGAGACGCCAGAACCCAGACAGACTTGAAGAAAATGGTTGACCGATTTGAGTCATTTCTCAATGATGATGAAGCTGGTGTTGATGGAGCGGAGGTTGATGACATGGATATCGATGATGACGACGATAGTGACGAAAATAGCGATGAAGATAGCGACGAGGAAGACAAGGAGATGAGTTTTGACGAGAACGAGTTTTCGAGAATGATGAGGGAAATGATGGGATTGCCCGCTGAAGAAGACATGACGACCGGCAAAGGGAAAAGTACAGCAGCACCAAAACCCAACAAAAAAAATCGAGTTAAAGAACTTCTTTCAGATGAGGAAACAGATGACGAGAACGAAATAGCAGAAATCCAAAAATTGATGAAGAGCATGGAAGTGGAACTGAATGAGGCCGGGGCCCTCAACCTAGATCCTGCTCCTGGCAAGAACCCAGCAATTGGAAGCAAAGGAACGTCTAAAAAGACAACTAAAGATACGGACGAATCAGGTGAAGAGAGCGATGACGATGATGTCAATATTGACTTCAACCTCGCGGAAAACCTTCTTGAAAGCTTGAAGAGCCAAGCAGGCATGCCAGGCCCAGGCGGCAATTTGATGGGAATGATGGGAATGCAATTGCCACGCGATGAAGAGGAACCAATGACTGGGAGGAAATCATAACATTAATTTTTGACAATTGTATACGGTTTATTAATAGAGGACTGGATAAACCAATCGGGGTATCGTACTTCAAGATCACAACCAAAGATGACCAACGCCGAAACGCCCTACAGTGACCCTTTGCCAATCCTACTCCTTCAACTTTGCCTTCTTCGGACTCTATACCATCTCCTCGCCAGATGGCCTCCGGCCTCTCTTCAGCACGTCACATGGGATAAGATCCACCTTCTCTAGTTCGGCTAAAACACTCGTCAACTTTCTCCGACCATCGAGTTCTTTCCTACTGCTATCGATTTGTGGTCGATAGTGCTCTGTTACTATGCTTACAGCGGCGCTGAAGACCCGATATAACAGTAATCGTATTCCGACATTCTTCTCATCCTCCACCACGCTTTCTCCGCCTCCATTCCATCCTTCTAAAAAGCCTTCGGACGGCTTGTCAAAAGCGTCTGCAATCAGTGGATCGCCGAAGGCCCCCAGACTCCAACTACGGAGACCAGTCATCTTGATCTCTTTGCCGGAGTAAGATGCACAGTCCTCACCCCCTCTTTCCACCATGACGTTCCGCTCACTGCTCACGTCGAGCACGACCAAACGAGGTATTGTGACGGCATCCAGATGCCATGAGAGTCGTCGACAGTGCGCTCGGATGATAGCATAAGGAAGGAGTACCAATACGTCTTCGCCATCTCGCAGAATGCCTTCTAGTAACAGATTAAAAGCTTCCGACCACTTTTTGCACCCGACTGGTGGTGAAGGTAGTGCTGCTTGGGGACCGGAATTCTTGCCATATGGATCAGGAAGCACATGACTAACAGTGCCGAAAGTGCCAGTAGGGGATGTGAGCGAAGCAAGTGCCCGAGCCATGGACCCAATTTGTTTGTCAATCTCCCGACGCTCAGGAATACTGAGATATACAGATAGTGTGGAAAGTGGAACACCACCAGTTGGTTCGGAAATTGTATAAGGATATGCCAATTCCCTATTATTCGAAGAGGACTTGAGAATCTTGGGAATCAGATTTGAAACTGTTTTCGAGCCCGGGGTATCAATCTCACTGCATGGTGAGACCGCCCTTTCCAAAGTTCTTTCTGTTCCAGCAATGAAGTGGACTAGTGTCGCTTCAGACGAGATGATTGCTGCTTCTTGTCGAAGTAGACGTGTCATGAGACTTGGTGCGAACGAGAGAAGTAGTTTGCGGTCGTCGGACATATTGAGCTGGTATAGTCTCGGAAGTTGTGTTGATGAAATTTCTTCGACAGGACCCAGATTTGCGGTTGGTACCACATGGCTGAGAATCTCTTTCAGCCTTCGGACTGGTAGGCTGTACATGTGTGAAGTTATTTGCGGTCGAGGAGGCACAACTGTCCTGGGAGATGACATTTTCGATACAAGCAACTCAATACTGCGGCGACTTTGTATTGATAAAGACATGGGAATATTTGGCCGTGATGTACTGCGAGAGAGCGGAAAGACACGCTTATGGCTCAACAAGTAGCTGAACCAAGGATGCAACAAGATTTTGCAACAAAGTCCTTCCCGTCGATTGTGGTCCTTGATGCGTTCGCGTGTTGCGTTTGGTGTAAATTACGAGATTTTTGGTCTCCTCGAACAGATATCCTTTATCGAAAAGTGGACGGGAGCGAAAAACAGCTAAAAGGAACGTAAAGCAGGCGGGCGAAGGGAGGCGATTCACATATCAGAAAGAGTATTTAATATTCGATCAGACACCTTGAGCGGTAAGTACTCGTACATCCACAATGCAAAACCGGGACAAACCAACAAAGCAAGGATACGTCTATAAGCATGTTCCCACCCGAAGGAAAGCGATACGGTACTTTCGGTACCTTCAGCTTGTCACTCCCAGAGATGTGATGAAACTCGGTCTTATCCATGACCTTGGAGCCTTGAGGGGAAGAGGGCCAGACCGATTGGGTACAAAGGAAGCGAGGAAGCTGGACCGATTCATGGGGAAGAAGAAAAAAAGTTCTACTGTACCGAAAAAGGCACAATTACTTGAGTGTGATTGCTGGTACCGTACCAGCAGGTATCCACTACCCTGACAGTTGGGCTCCCGGAATCTTACGCTGTGCCGCCCGGTGCGCATGGGCGGCGGGGGATCGTACAGAGAAGCGGTGGGGATGGACATTGGCTTCTTACCTCATCTACCTACGCGAGAGGTGGGGTTAATTGGTTTATCATTGTTCGTCAAGTATTGGACGAAATATCAAATTGCCCTCCATGACTTCTGTTTTCCCCCTCTTACAAGCCCGAGGAAAACGTTCTCAACACTAGACTTTTGATGTGAAAAAGAGGTATCGGGGGTAGTTCCGCCGTAAGGCGGGGTTCCTCTATTCCTGGATACGGTGGTTTTCTCCGGGGCGGACTCAAGACAGGTTCATGGGGACAGGCTTGAAAATCTCCTGCTGGTCACACTTTGGCCAGATGGGAAGAAACCTTGAATGCCATGAAAATCATGAAGGGAAAACATGGGGGTTTAAGACAACGTCAGATCGTTCGAATGCGGCTTGCATCGGTTTTTTCTCGATACAACAGATTTGCACTTCCAATTCCGACTACTCGTATCCGGTCCCGTCGTGGGCACAAAGTCAATAATATCCCAAGGACGTGGTTCGCAAGATAAAGCTAACAAAAGGGCATTGGGTGGGCCGAGGCTAGATCAGCCAGTTCGATCATCTCAAAACGATTGCCCTAAATTTTGTCCAGAATTGCACTTTGAACCTCTGGATAAGATGCTGCAACTCCAGCTCGAGGCGACCAACTCATCAAAGTTGTGTCAAGGGAAAACCAAGCCAAGACCGTTTTTCCCCAGCGACACCATTTCGAGAAGAGGTCTCGTTAATTTTGAGCTGATGTGGTTAGCACGTTGAATATACAGACTGAGGATCTCCCGATTGGTAGCGAGTTAGCGAACTTGCTGTCTCAGGGGTGTCACGGACGGGAATGGATAGAAGTTGGAACATGCAATTGGTTGAGGGCAATGGAGGGGTACCATCACAGTAAGTAAAAGGGGAAAAGCCACTAAATCTATTGTTTGTCGCAGGTAAAAACAAAGGCATCATGAGAATAAAATCTTTTGTGAATATACTGATGGTACAGGTTTTGAGAAACTTGGGGAAAACTTACTGTATAGCAGGCGATAATAGAAGACGGGTTGCCAAATGTCGAATCTACTCCGGGGCGGGCCGCTACATACGAAACAGGCAACCGGGTTCCTTCTTGCCTCAGCTGAAGATATACATAAGTGCAAAGCGACAGTGGTTTGAGGGGTTTAATTTTGGGAGTATGTACATGCGGCACGGCAATGACGCTCGGGAAAGATTGCTACTCTCCGACCGCATGAGGCTCATGCAACGCACCGAAAAGATCTAGAAAAATTGCCGATATCTCCTACTTCGATTCCGAGGAGTCGGCAGTGAGGGTAGCCGTATCATTGGAAACCTCAGCCTTGGGGCCCTCGTCCTTAGCAACCTCGTCTTTAGAGTCCTCCTTTCTCTTTCCGCCTCGCTGCGCAGTTTCAGACTGAGCTGCTGGTTTTTGAATGGGTTGGTAGAGCTCGGATAGATTATATCGTTTAAGTGATTCCCAATCACCTCCTACGACGCTCATGCCGCATACAGTCTAAGTTTTGTGTTAACAGATGAATGCATTGAAAGTACAACGTAGCACTGCATGTCGCTGAAATTGGAGAGTGCGGAGGATTGAGAATTGTCTAGGGTAAATCCTTACCTGGTAAATTTCGACTATAATCACTTTGTCAGGTTTAGTGAGGTTGACAGGATGTATATCTTTGATGGAAGATGCAATTTGTTCGATTAAAGGACCTCGTTTGAGAGATGTGTGGTTGCGAATAGTGGGTCTTATTGCATACTGGTTTACAGTTAGCGCCCAGAAGTAATCTAATATTCTAAAGAAGATGCATCTGCATAGCAATTTTGCTTCTCAATTCTTTTACTTACCGAACAGGCAGCTTCCTTGGGTTTGCCTTTCCCGCCATCGTTATCTTCGTCTGCATCTTTCGGTGTGTCGTCGATATTGAGTTGAAAGTGCTTACTCAGAACGGTATTTCCTACTTCTGCAAGACCCTTCTCCGTGGCTTTCCCGATTAGCGTCATTGGTGTGAGTCTGTTCACATATCTGGTCAATCGGACCTCAGGCTTCGAAGCGATCTCGAGGCAAATTCGATGTACGAAGTCGACAGGATCAATTGGTGGCTGAACTTTGAAAAACAGGACACATTCAATGTCAATACGCACGGAAGAAAAGAGCTTCGGTTTATCTTGAGTCTGGGTCAAAGCTGCTGCTTCTTTCTGAATAGAGGCCTCGATATCGACTTCTTTTCCGTCCTCGTCGTCATCTTCGGGCTCCTGAGTCAGGCCGTAGAATTTCTCGGCGAACTATGAGATATAAGCACGATCTGCATTAATTTTTATTGTTTAAACACAAACCTGATATAGAATGCTTTTCAGCTCGGTGGTTGCTTTTCCTTCCTGGCCTCGCGCGCAGGTGGCCCAAATCCCAATGTCGCCAGTTGCAATTGTCACCCGCACTTCATCTTTTGCTTTGTGATTTGGAGTTTTCCACTTTCCACCGGATCCACTCTACAACAATTAGCTCTTTTCTTTGACTTGAAGTATGATTGGCGGGTAATGAATGACGTTATGGATTGCCCGGCAGGACCATAATGGTAGAACGATGGCCAAAATAAGAAGAAAGAGATCATTCAGTCCAACAAGAGAAAGACACACCAGAATGAAGTATTGGAAATCAATCGTGAATCTCTTGCGATATTGATTCATCCGAGCGGGTAGACAGCAAAAATGAAACCAGCGTCTACGTATACAACGTATACACAAAGACGGATCAATGACGCACCTTACTTCTCTTGAAGTCTTGCTTTCCACCACTGCCGTTTGGGCCTTCCTTTCGCTTGTTAGAGCTCATTGTAAGGCGTTGCTTGATATTTCAATTGTCGAGGAGGTTTAGGACCAAGAAACCTGGCTTTGAGAAAATAATAGGTGCCGCTTTATTTAGCTTAGCGTTGTGGCCTTGGGTCTGAGGCAGCAATTTGGTTTTCATTCACTCCTATGGCCAGTCGACCAACACTTATTTCAAAAATTACTCTCGCTTGAATAGCTCTCGTTCGATTGTGGGTCACAGTGGGTGCCATTGTATTGGAATTGATTCAACTATAAACTACGTTTCAATCCCATCAAATAAAAAACGGCAGTAAGAGTTAACTGGTACTTTTTGCCACCAATTGTCGATCCAAGCAATCAAACTACATACATATAATGTCTATATGTGTATAAAAATTGCAAGGGGTACTTGGTTGATGGACATCTTTCTTTGGTACCAGTATAGTTCCTTTGTAGCCCTTGTCCCAGGAAAAGGTAAAATCTGGCATTTCGCCTCATTTATTAAATAATACTAATGAAGAGTATCTTATACTAAACCTGGTATAGTGACTCAATTGTGAATTTAACTTTCAAATATAAGGATTTGCCGAAAAAAATCACTCAAGGAAAGTCTGAAGATGAAGTCAAACTATTTCAAGCCAAACGACAAAAGATTGGATGGACAGCTTTAGAGCCTCGCTTGTTTGTTTAATTCTTAATCTATTCGCTTCATACAAGTAACATTAACTTCCTGTCTCTCCGCAACCGGCACCAAGGAACTATCAGAAACTGAAGTTTTTAACCATTTAGTCGTTGTTGGCGTGTCCTCTGACACCACCGAATTGTTTGCAGAATCCCTCCCACTATTAAGAACGATTAGTTCCTGTTTACTCAACCCTGCAGGGTGCTTAAGAAGGAAGATAGTTACCTCTTTACCACCAATGCTCTCATCTGGACTGCCGCAGACTACTGATGTACCTGGAACTATATTGTGGATTACAGTGCAATCGTTACACTGTTCTCCATCTTCAGAGCCTGTGACGTCCTGTCTGTAGGCCTCGCATGCCTTGGCGGTAATATCATCGTCGAAGATTGGCTAAGGCGGTTTATTAGTTGCTGAAAGATATTGGATTGGTTCAAGAGACTCACTCTGCCGGTTTCTTGGTTGAACCCAGTAGAACAGGTTGCTTGTGAGTGCATGTTTCGTCTTTGCACTCGCGTAGAAGGAGTAGGGCTTGAGATTACGCTAATAACAAGCGTCAGTATTCACATTCTCTTTCCGCATGTCGAGGAGACATACCCAGTGGCCAAAGCGGCAATGACGAGGATTGTTGGGAATTGTATTTTGTTGTATGGGTAAATATTTTTTGGATGGAATTATGAGTTGAAAGATTGTGAAAGATCAAAAGAATGAATGTTTCCAACAAAGAATGTCTGGGAAAGAATGTGATGTGATTGTGATCTGGAGTTCGAATAATGGGGGAACCGCAGCGGATTCATATATTACTACCACTGACTTACAGTTTCCAGATAGGCGTGTGTCCCACGATCTTGCCAAGTGACAATCACACTTGCATAACTCGAATTCCGAAGAACATCCACAACTATTCTTGCACAGAATCTGAAGGATGTCTTCCATTTTGGACACAGGGTTCCTTGGCCGGCCCGCCTGAGTTTAATTTCCCTCAAAGTTGACGTTGAAAGTTGACCGCAGTACCTAGGCCCACCCTCTTTTCCAGACGACAAGTCCCCAGGATGCGGAGGCCATGAGGCCATGAGGCTATGAGGCTATGAGGCTCAACTGCTTGGCGAGTCACTCTGCAGAGCGTAACTTACACATGTCCAAGATCCCCTCGAGATCAGCAAGTTTGGTTGTACTTCGTAAATTTACGATACTCGGGGTAAATGTGAGAAGTAGCATTTGGATGAAGTCATACCGGTACTTTCCTATCCGTATTACTGCTTGACAAAAGACTAAGGAAAAAGAAGAAAGTTAACCTTCATAGAATGATAACAAGACCTGTAAATAGTAACAAGTAACGAAGAATTCAATGCACTTGAAGTTATAATTACGCGCATTCCTTATAGTCCGTTGCTTCGAAGTATATTTGAAGCAGCCCAGAAATTAAAGTGCCATCTATTCAGACTTAGTCTGCACTCAAGCAGTAAATTTACTTCGCTGAAGAGTCCCGAATATTTTTGGTATGGAGAAGCCCACTGAAACCATCCAACTCAGATTGAGTCGATGACGAAGTTCGGCAGACGATCATGGGTTTTGGTATTTCCCGCCAAGAAAGAATACGGTATATTTTTATCATCCCCAACGTCTGATCCGCGACCTTATACTCGAGACTGCAGCAGTGTGCCAAGTACTTCGTAGTTTAGATCTTCATACTTGCAAATCAATCGAATACCGATGATCGGGTGCGTGATGGTCATCGACAAGATTTCCGAGTCAAAAGTGCCTTCGAAGTTCGCTGATCTGACAACTTCACGCGTTGGACCCACTTCCGCTTCTTTTTTGGTGGCTGAGGGCGTGCGTGGCAGGCATGGAACATCGAGAATATTGGAATCCCAAGAGCCTAAGCTAGTAAGTCGCCAACATGAAGATGGCACTCATCTATTGTAAACTCTCAGACAGTTCAGCTGCCATTCAACTGAACTTGCTTCGAATTGAACTTGCTTCGAACGTCATTTCAAGACCCCATCAGAAGAACTGCCAGGACTCTCCACCGCCAGAAGTGTTTTGGCACAAGTTCTCCCGCGATGGATAGGAAATTCAGTATCAGATAGTCTTATGGGCCTGATTTTGAGTAAACGCATTAAGCGTGTTTTCCCCATGTTTCGAAATAGTCAAGAGTTACCGTAATCTAGGGTCGTTAGATTAAGGAAGATGAAGCAAGCAAGCTGCGAGAATACAGTTTGCTGCTGCTTTTCTTGTCTGCAAGAACACATGAGTTCTGGTGAGCTGAGCCAGGTTGCGCCAATGAAATAGTTTATTTTTTGAGAATGACTAAAGATACGAGAATGGCAAGATGGATCCAAGATCAGTCAATTGCATTCAAATTCTACTAAACTAAGATACGTTGACTTGAATGTTGCTTTACTTTGGACGAATACTGCACTACTGGGGTATTACGAGTAAGTAATAACCGGAACTAAGCGCATTCGTGGCAAACGCAAGTAAGATACAATAAGAAGCCTGGATTTTCTGTATACGTGCTTGAGGTTATTTATCTGGCACTTGTTGTGTCCAAATAAATATATACTGGCACAACCCTTCATAGAAACGACTCAATGACTTGGGGCGAACTGAAGAATAAGTGACGTGCTGGTATATTTATAGTTAAGCGAATTAGTTCTGATGACTACTTTCACGGACACCCCGAGAGTCACGTTTTGCATCACAGCCATGTTCCCTGAATTATTTCAGGTAAAAAAAAGTATAAATTAGAAAAGAGCCGCGCTCGATTTACGAATCAATAAATCCATTCCCCCTGCATTTCTCGACAGGATACACCTCCGAGGTACAAATACTAATCGTCCCCTTTGGCCAACTCAATTTATTATACTCTCCACTCTCATATGAATCACTCGAATAAGAAATCTTCTCCCCTGCTTCCCCAACACAACCCCTCATCTTGTACCCCTCATGACGGTTAGTCCATAGGTTGCTCACAACCACCCCATAGTTTCCTTTTGGCACGGTAAAAGTGTATGCGGTCGAATAAGAAGACGTCCAAGTCCTTCCCTTCTCGACCCCGAAAGAGATGCCCAGCATCTCCGAAAAGAAATTGACAGAGCCCGACGTAGAAGTCGTGATCGAATTCCCAATTTCGTACCCGTCTGTCACGGCGATGGTTACGTCTGTAGTATCCGCTTTGATGGCTGTAGACATTGGGACGTCATCCCCAAGAAATCTCTGGATGTTTGTGCTGACTATGATGTGGTGTTTACGCTTGCAACCTCGTTTAACGAGGGAAGAGTCGAAAGTATCTCGCATGTGGAGTGCGTGTGTAAAGTTCGGCGGCGGCATCAGGTTGTCGGTTTCCGTGAGGTAGGCGGCTTTGTTTACTACTTGGATTTCGCCATCGACGAAGGCAAGCATTTCATCCACGGAAAGTGCTCGCGGAATTATAGCGCTGGCTGATACGATGGCACAGGTGCTGACGAGAGCAATGCCTAGGAATGGTGCGAGATGCATGCTTGTGGTATGTAACAGATGTGGTGTATGATGATAGTTGCTTCAAAAGATGACCGTGAAGCAGCAGAAAGGCGAACCAGAGAAGAGTAAGTATATATGGAGGAGATGGTCTGAGAAAGAAATCCGTTTGTTTCGATGATCTAAAAGTGTTTCGCGGGGTAAAGGGAGATACTTATATCACAAACAGAAGCAGGCATTTTTGACATCTCCAATCTCATGGAATTTCTGGGCGGTACAGTTCCATTTCAATATCAATCAATCCTGGAATACTTCAGGATGAGCCCCCCAAATATGAGGAAACATTTCATGGCGTCCTCAAAACTGACGAAACATGACTTCCGCACTTGGGTTTGTGGCTTAGGTACTATAAATCAAAGCTTATAATTATGGGTGGTTGAAGGCGAAGCACTTTCCTAGCCTCAAATAGGCTTCTGCGTAATCTACGGGAACAATCCACTGTCCACCGTCCACAACACGTGAGCGATATGTCCGTTGAAATATTGGCAGAGAATGTTTCGCAATGATCACGTTTAGCTTTATTCCTTCTTGTTTACATATCACTACTTCGCTACTTCTACCTTATTTGCGGAGTATTAATTGACCTTCAAGCAGCATGGCCTTCGAGGCACCCCTCACGCAATTCGCCCTCTTTAAAAAAGATTATTTCCCTGGTGGCACCAAATGAATAAATTAAGCTTTCAACCCCAGTGGCGGGGAAAATATGATTAGATGACTTAGGGAGGGTGGCCAGCTAAGAATCACACCATGCTACAGTATTTCAATGAGATTAACGTACTACTACTATATAGTTCCATTACTGTGCGACATGCCTTTGCTAAAACATCATTTGAGCCAATAGAACGCGTAAATAAACTGCTTTTTGAGTGAAATTTGCCCAAGGAACAGTATGAGAATTACGAAAAAAGACCCTCATAAAGTGGGTTTTGATATGATCTACGTACATGGTATAACTCTTAGGGTCTTAGCTAGGCCACCCTCTTTGAATGACCTGCCGCTGATGCTCAGCCACCATTTATATAAACTACTACTTTTCACAGCAGAGGAGGTCGCGATTTCTAATCTACTAGAGTTCACAAGTACAAATAACCTGAAAAGATAAGTCTATAGGCGAAACTTACGATTGATAGATGAGAGGTTATCTATACTAGAACACCTTCTATTTCCTAAACTTTGTATGTCATCAAGGTGGTTCCTTCTTTCACGGATCTATTTCTGTAGTTTCTACTGTAGAAGGGTTTGTTCCGCAATGTCTCGAGCTAGCTTAAGTCATGAGAGGTACATGATTGGTTATTGATATCATGAATCGAACTGTTCAATAATTCTTGAGTAAACCATGTAGCATGCCATGATGGCGCGGCATTCGTAGTTCAACGATAACCCACAGCATGTGGACGTCTCATCTTTTGTTGATAATCGTCGTCTTCGTTAGTAAGTTTCTTACAAGGATTTTGATATTACAGTTGGCCAATCCAGAGAACCTTACCAAACAATTGAACCTTCGGCACATGGAACTATATTCCACGGAATCATTCCATTCTATTCCACCTGGAATCCTTCCAGAGCACCTTTATAATAGAATTATTCCATTCCGTTGACCAGTTTCCGGAATTCTAGGATTTCCATGGAATTCCACTTATAGTGAATATTAATATAGATTTAAGTGAATAGCCGTGTTCAGGTAACGCCGTAAAGAGGATAGGGGGACTTCACGTGATATATCTAGGACTCTCTCTCTATATATATGCTAAGTACTATTAGTGTTCCTATAGAATTTCTCTCTACTCCCTATATGTAAAGGCGCTCGTAACAGCTAACCTAGGACACATTTTCCGGGTCATGTGACGTTCCGAATGGAAACTCCATATATTCATTCCATGGAATATTTGCCTCGGGAATAGAATAATTCTAGCAAATCCTGAAATGGGATGGAATACTTCCAGAGAAGGGCTCTGGAATCGAATGGAATTCCAGTTGCCGGCAGTTTCTGAATAGCCTATCGGAATAGAGATGCACTTTGTCATACGGATTCCATTTTCATCAAACTAGCTACCTACATAAAAGGGATCGTATTCTTCCAACATTCCCTGGAAATCGGTTTCCCTGATGTCCGGACCAACAAAAACATCGCTAAGCTCCATTTGCATACATTCCGCGAGGAGGAAAAAAAGCACCTCATTTATTTCATCCATTCTCCCATAAGACTCATCTCGCATCCTCCAAGGCAAAGTCCAAAGGCAAAACTACCCATTGCTTTCAATTCCGCCTCCCAATCCCCGAGAATATCCATTCTTCCCTTCAACCAAGCAAGCACCCCTCAAACCTCATTGAAAAGACCCCAATCCTTAATCTTGAAAGTTTCCCAAATCCTCGCCGCAATCTCAACACTGTTCGCAATCAACTTGCCCTGTTTCCCCATCTGCATATCGACTTCCTCCTCCGTATACTCACCCTTGATATGCGGGACATTGATCGTAATCAGAATATCTGTGCTCTCCTTCTCCAGCCGAATAAGCGTTAGTACGATTGCCGTGAAATCAGGAGCCTTGGAACCCGGCGCTGGAGGAGGTGTTTGCGTGGCAATCAATGTGTAGCATGGTGTGTCTTCTCTGATTTGATTTAGTTGTTGAACACGTGATCAATTATGTAAAATAATGAAATGAGGGGGCCGGGGCGGAGGGAAAACATGAAATGACTTACGGAAGTTTGGAAAATTGCGTGTTAGTCGTGCTCCAGACTTGAACTGTATCGTCGTCGGAATCGACGATATCTTCAAGATGCGTGGTCAAGGCTGCGCCGTCGATGGCTGGGCCGCTGCCGGGTTGACCGACTCGTTCTGTAATGTCGAAGATGATGCTTGTGAAGCCATCTTTATCGAGGTAGACTTCTTGATGATCGGGAACTTGTCGGATGGTGCTGCGTTATCGAGTTAATATGTGGTGATGAGATATGTAAAGGCTGGGTGGACTTTACCTGACGTCGGCGAAGTTGGAGGGGAGGTCCACGATGAGAGCCCCGCCAAAGAGGGGTGTACTGCGAAAGGAACCCGACATTTTGAAAGTTGACGAGAGTGTGAGTGTGCTCTTTTCGGAGATTGTAGGATTTGATCTGAGAAGATTCAGATGACGATTTTAGCCGGCCCTTGTTGTGCCCTCTGCTATACTTGTAGCCTTTTGTACTTGGGCGATGATCCAAGGCAGAGTTGTTTGCTCGCTCCTATTTTCGATGCCTAATCTTTCTGAGGCAGCCGTAGTTTCTGAAACGTTTGGGAATCAGAAGTATGTCAAAATGAGTCAACAAGAAGAAGAATTGCAGGTACAAAAAGTAAATGCCTGAATTGATATGGCTCAAATCGCAAAGGCAAGAAAGTTGGCAGATGAGTGCCAAGTTCTGCGTAGCCTTGCCAAATCAAAGATGAGGTGGAGTGGCTGACCATCCATTCACCTCGCTTCGTAAAACCTCAATTGGGGAGCAAGCGATTGACAAAAAAGATCACCAAACCGAATTTCCTGCACTAAACCATGATCAAAAAAAGCATAAAAAAGAGGATTCTGAATACAGAAGATTGGTTGCAAAGATTGAATGAACGGAGTATAATGGGCATGAACCACGGTCATCTCTGGTAAAAGGCAAGAAATGAATTCTGAGCTAGTTTGTCCCACTCCAATCGACAAAAGCTCTTATTTCATAATACAAACAAATTCGGTAGTCTGGCCCACTTTCTAACCATATTTTCCGACTTTTCTCCGAAGACCCCATCCAACACCCACCGAGATACCCACCGAGCCACCGTAAAGCTACATAGGCATTCCTCAAGTATTATAGTATAACTTCAAAAAGAGTATTAATTTATGTTTTCCTTCCAGCAGATATGGTTCTCTTGATCGCTTCAAAAATGTAGGGGTAAACGTGTATTAGACAAAGCAAGACAGAGTATTGGGTACCTATTCATATATTATGTCAGAGCTACTACATACACGATCTTGCAATTAATACCACTGTGAGACTTCTGGTTCTGGGTAGATAGAATCCGAAATGGTAATTGAAATCCAGGTGAGGGTAATTTGGTCATCTATTCAAGAATCGCAATCGCATGTTTTGACCTCCCATCTCCACAATTGGAAGCTCCAATTGCACCTGTTAGTACTCCACATAAACCGATAACCCCGCGATCCAGCTCCAAGCCTCACCAACATCAAGCTCGCTCAACCCCAACACCACAAACACAAACCACGATACCAAACACAATGTCTTCAGCAGCAGCCTGCATATTCTGCAAAATCGTCAAAGGTACCTCCAATCCCACAACCACCTCGCGCATCCCTCAATCAACCTCCCAAGTCCCAGCAACACAACAGAAACACCAGCACTCTGCGCGCAAGCTAACCAAGCCCCAGGCGACATCCCCTCCTTCAAACTCTTCGAATCCGATAAAGTCCTCGCATTCCTGGACATCAATCCGCTGTCGCGTGGTCATGCTGTATGCCCTTTTCCCTCCAGTCCCCGCTGGTTTCCCCCGGTTCCCTTTGGCGCATACTTTATACGCCTGCCGCAAGATAGGTTATAAAACGAAGCGGGAAATAGGATAGAGACGAAAGACAGTCAGCTAACGAGCGAAATAAAGCTAGTTATTCCCAAACACCACGGCGAGAAATTAGTTGACATACCCGATGACCAATTATCCGAGATCTTGGTAAGTCAACATCTTCTATCCCACCTACCTTTACCCCTCTCCCACCCATACATCTATACGAAATCCCCCCACAGTCAAGAAGTCTTCGTGATGAGAGAACTAACACCAGGAAACGCCACAGCCCGTAGTAAAAAAACTAGTCAAAGCAACGGGAGCAGAGAACTACAACGTCCTGCAAAACAACGGCCGAATCGCACATCAAGAGGTGGATCATGTAAGTCCTACCCTTCCCCCTTTCCCATCCAAACACATGAGTTATAACTAACCACCACCTTCCAGGTTCATTTCCACATGGTACGTCCACTCCAACATCACGTCATACACACAATACAATGTAATTTCGGAATCGAGCTTCAAGGAAATTTCAGATGGAGGAAGTGCTGACACCCAAACAATAGATCCCCAAACCTAATGAAAGCGAAGGCATGTCCATCGGCTGGCCACAACAGAAAACCGACATGGAGGGATTAAAAGCTTTATTAGCAGATATCAAGTCGAAGATGTGAAATTCTACTACTCCACTTAGTGAGATACGCATATGGGGCAAGCAAGCAAGCAAATCCCCACGAAAAAAGAAACAAAGGATGGAAGGAGAGTACAGAACTTACGCAAGAAAAAACCATGATGAAAATGAGATTAATGATAATGGTAGTACCTAGTATGTTGATTTGAAAGAAAGTGGTGATTCTCGTATTCCAAAAAAGCTACTTCATATATACTGTAATTCGCTTGAGACGCCCATTCGTTCATTATGCAAATCTCTTTCTTTCTCGCTTTCTTGAGACTAAACCATCCACTGATGAGCCCCCTCGTGCTCATCTTGACTCTTTGAGATACCCTTCTATTCCAAAATACCAACCAGAGCAACGCCCGAAGTCATCAAACATCTATTTCTTGATGCGCATTACTAATTTCGCTCTCCACCCCTCATCTCGAATCTAGTCTCATCCTCTAATCCAGATCCGTCTGCGATGTCTCTGCTGGTTTTGCGCCATTGACAGCAGGAGGAGCAGTCGCAACAACAGGCGTAGGAGAAACCTCCGCCCTCTGTGGGTAAAACGCCGGCCGTTCCCCCTTTTTAATCAGTCCCACACGATCATAATAAGATCTTGCCCTAACATATGGATCCAATACCCAATACCCATCCTTCAGGTTCGTCGCAAGTCTACTTCTTTCCTCTTTAACCTTGGTCGCATCCGCTGCTGCTAGGGCAATCCAATCCATGGTCGCCTTCTCATATTCTTTGACCGTGTTTTCGCGCTCGGCAAGCAGTTTGTCGCGCGTCGCAGTGTCTTTCATGAGGTCGTTTTCAGTTGGCGAGGGCTCTATGTATTTGTACTCCCAGTCTTCGTCGCCGCCTAGCTCTTTGATTATGTTTGAGCGAGGGACAAATTCTTCCATTTCGAGGTTGGTGTTTGTGAAGTGCACTTTGGAGGCTACTACAGGGTCTAACCAGCCACGGATGATTTTCCAGATTCCTAGATTTTTTTGTTAGATTTGAATTATGAGTTTGGAGATTGTACTGACCTTGGAAGATCCAGGGAGCTTTATGGACTAGTACTACACCTAGACTTTCTGGGTAGTTTGCTTCGAAACACTTAATCATGAATTTGACGGGGCCGTAGTCCATATTTGCCATGGAGAATCCTGTTAGGTCGAATATGATGCACTATGATAAATCAGTAAAGCATTGTTTCTGTGGAAATGGACAAAACCTACTGCAGTATCTACAGGAGGCACAACAACCATTCTCCCAATTTCTATCGTGAAGACGGTATATTTCTCCAAACTCTCTTCGCTCTGCTCTCCTTGTTTATGAAGTCTAGCTCGTACGAAACACATCGGTCTTCCCTCCTTATCCAGACCATGGAAAAAGCTTTTTCCCATTCTCATTTGACTCAGGAAATCCTCTCCCATCTTCTTTCTCGCGGGGTCATTACTGTTTGCATCCTCCAAGAATTGAAGTTCGCCATTCTTCACGAGATCATCATCCACATGAAGATCTTTTGACCTCCATTTCATTGTAGATACCATCATTATCAGCGCCCGGTCAACATCCCATTTTCTTGCGCGCAAGAACCTCAATAGAAGCGCATCGGGATGATCATGTTTCACCATACCCCAGAAAGTAGCTCTAAGGGATTCCGGTGATTGACTCGCCAATGCTTCGTGGAATTCCTTCGTCTGCCCGTACTTGTCATCCTCCCCAGATCCTGTAGGAGTTACTGGTCCTGATTCCGATTTCGTAACTGCGCTATCTTTGCCACTTCTTCGAAATAGAGATCTCTTCTTCTTGGGCTTCTTCCCGTTTTCTGACTCCTCTTTGACAACGCTATCGTCCACTTCAACGACTTCGTTTTCTGCTATTCCAAAGACCCTCAATGTTGCGATCCATAGTAACTTTAGTTTTTCTTCCTGTTCTGGGGTCAGGTTCCCCACTCTTCCAGCCTGGTTTTCTTGTGCCATGATGTATTCGCAGAATTCTTCAATTTGTAGGACTTCAGGTGCGGCTTTCGAGTCTGTTGAGGGGTACTTTTCCTCCTTGTAAAGTTCGCTATTGTCGGGAAAGTATGCGTATAATAGCGCAACGAAAGACACAATCGCAACGGCAGACCAGGAACTATAGCCGCGTTGTAAAGGAGCTGAGAGGGTTGGATGCGCTGTAAAGGGCTTTCCAGATGTCTTGATGCTGTAAATAGGTTGTCGCGATACTCGCAAATGAGACAAGGATTTACTTTGCAGGGGGTTTTGACAAGTTGTAGATCGTAGTGATTCGCGCAAGGAGTAACGATGCTGGACCTGGGTGAATGTGGAAGAATGATCACTTTGATTTCGTCGTTGTGTGAGGACACTCAGGTCAGCGCTACGCTTGCAGCGGGGATTGCTGGCAGTGCTGAGGCGCAAGACAGATGTAGGCGCAATGTGATTGCGCAAGTTCGCAGGACGGGAGATGAACAGAATTCCGATTGTTTCTCTTTTCATCGACGTTTCGTGGGAGATCGTGCGAGAGGGCTTGCGAGTGGTCTTGCGAGGTCTTGCGGTACGAGTATTCCACCGAAGAGACGAAGGAAGAAGAAGTAGGTGGGGTGAGGGGGGTAATGCGCCAATATTGGCAGAGAACGATGCCAATTTATTCTCAATGCGATCAAGTACGAATGAATTCGAACACAAGACAAGTGATTGTGCGATCGTCTTGCGCAGTGCAAAAGCGCAAAGAGAAAATGGGTAGAGCAAAGGTTGCGTATACTGAGTACGAGTACATCAAGTCCCTGACCAATTTCGATTCTCATTGCCGAACGAGCCGCTGCCGCAGCCGCTTGCTGTGCCTCCAGCTTTCCTTGGAAGAAGCGTCAACAATATCAATATCTGCATAACATTGCATTACTTTATACAAGTAGCTATGAAGATTGAATGCAGCAGTCTTCGTACTCGAGTACTGGTCAAGAATAGCTAACGAAATAGTTCTTTTATTGCTTCACCCAACCTACAACGACGATTCATTAGGTATAGTTCTAACATTCTGGAATACGAGTAACCAAATGGACTAATTGTCCATCAAGGAAATCCAATTCTTCTGGAGAGTTTACTCATAAGTGAACGACTGAGATTGATTGGCCCGCTCACCACAACGCGGGGTGAGCATTCAACCTCTCGCATAAATAATCCTCGCCCCGCTGAGAACCATAAACACCGCGTCGCAACAAGAACACCCACAGCCTCGCCATCCAACACCGAATTCCATATACAGCACTGTACAAGGTCCAGTCTCTACAATCCAACTCCCAAAATGTCCTCCACAACCCCCCTTGCAACCAGCAGCACCAAACGCTCCACCTCCGGCACGCGTCGTCCCATCTCTCGCCCAACGACCCCTCTCCGCCCCTCATCACGCTCCTCCCTACGCGACTCCCGTCGAAACAGCGCAGGAGGAGGCTTCTCCCATGCGCCCATAGAGACCTTTGAGCCCGCATTTGCGGAGCTGTCGGATTCCATGGCGGATTTGGAGGCCAATTTTATGCATTTGCAGTTGATGCATGAGAGTCTTGCACGGTTCAGTGAGAACTTTGCGAGTTTTTTGTATGGGTTGAATATGAATGCTTTTTGTGTGGACTTTCCCGAGGTATGTAGGCAGAGGGAGGGGAGTGTTTATTTGGGTTTATGGTGAGGTGAGCTGATGGTTACTAGGCGCCTATTTCCGACTCTTTTAAACGGGCTAGGGATCAAGATGTTGATTTAGGTATGCGTGGGAATGTCGCCATTTTTGGACGGCGCTAATCATATCACAGGAAGATCTACTAATTCAGAGAGATTCCGTGGAGAAATTGATGGGGAAACAACATTTATGTATGTCATAAAGTGCTTGTCTTTAAGTACGCTCAATACTAATTCCTGCAGGACTACCGACACATCCTTCGTCGAGAACCCACCTACATCCTCCAAACCCACCCCCAAGTTCGCAACCCCAGCCCCGGCATCGCGAACAGCCAGTGGAGGTCGTGGAGGTATTCCTTCTGCCAGAGGCGGCAGTGCGCGAGGCGGTGTTCGAGGAACTCGAGGAAGTGGTTTGGCTAGAGCTGCGAAAGGCCGTACTGTGAGATAGCGAAATATACCCCGAATTGTGATTTTCCGGTAGCCTTTCATACCAGTCCTCTTTGATATCTCTTGAGTCGGGATTAATGTGAAGTGAGCATCCTCAAGTCGCCGGTTCTTCGCCTACAAGTTCCGAGTCCTCCATTTCTACTTCCATATCCTGTATTTTCTCTTTGGCGGCCTGTCGAGGTCCATTGTCAATTCGCATACCAACTGCAGCTTCTGCCTCAGCTTGTGTATATGCTCCTTCCTTCAACAGCTTGACTCTGGATATATCAATCAGCTTCCAAACACCTGCTTCTTAGCGATTTTCAAGTTACCTTCTCTTGTGTGTGCTTCCCTTTCGGTGGCCAAGAAGACTATGCTCGCTCTCAAACCATTTTGCACACTCGACACAATAGAATTCTCCTAGACCTGGAAGGTCCTCCGCAGCCTTAGTACTTTTGTATTGTTCTAGGTGTTTTGGCGAACGTAAATCGGCCTCGACTTGATCGACATCCCTACATGTGGAAGTTAGCTATGGTGAGGTGGAATGGATGGCGGGGCACAAATGTCCATGCGCCGCACACTCCAACTCTTGAGAAAAAACTAAGAATTACCTCAGACGTCTTCTTGTCTTGGTGCGAGTGGTTTTCTGAGGAATTCCCATGATCGATGAGTCGTGGAATGTGTCGGTAGATGAATGCGCAAATTGCGATTACTGACTGGAATTGGTCGTTGGATTTCGGGAAGGCCAGGAAAAAAGTTTCTTCGGATGGGTGGGATGTGAGGTAGGTCCGAGGCTGAAGTGGAAGGAGGAAAGGCTGAGGCCCACTAGCGAGTCAAGGATGTTTTGAAAGGTCCGATGTTGATTCGTGTCAGTCCCCACCAAGGGTTCCTCAGGTCCGCATGGAATTTCGTTTGTGTGCGGATGGTTTTCATTTGATTTGGTCAATGAGGAATTTTGTTGAAGTGGGATTGCGGTGCTCTGAATTACATAGCTGGTCTTCAGCCACCAATGCAGCACCATTTGTTATTAGTCAACGTCAACCCAAAAAACTCCCGTGGCTGGCTGGCTACCTTAGGTACCAAGTTTGACACAGTGTAACGGCCGAATCACAAGCAAAATCCATCAGCCCTTTCTAAGGGAAAACACCTCAAACCTAAGCCTTGACTAGCGCGGAAATAAAAACTTCACTCTGTCTGCAGGTAAATTCTGAAGCAGTTGATTGGTCCGTTGCCGCGGTCCCACTGAACACAAAATCCCGAAATCGGATTTCTACGACCCCGGTCGGCCGTTCTTGCCTGACATGCTCACGCCCATTGAAATGCACGCACGCTGATTGGCCCTCGGCCCAGTGATAACGCTTGGTGACGGCAGCGGCCACCTCTCCCTCGTTAAGCTGTTCCCAGGTTTAAGCTCGGCAACTTCTTCTCACCTCAACCCTCCCACTTCGTCCTCTTTTCCTTTTTCTCCTCCATATTCTTTTCTTGCGATACCCCCAATTAGCATCTCCTCTCCGTCCACAATGTTGGCTACGCGACAGGTTTTGGGCATGGCCCAGCGGCGAGCAGTCGCCTCGCTGGGCATCCGCCGCATGGCAACCGTGAGCGACCACCCTCTCGACAAGAAGGTGAAGCAGAATATCCACGAGGAGGGCAACTTCATCAACTACAAGAAGATGTCTGAGAACTTGGCTATTGTTCGTCAGAGACTGAACAACCGCCCTCTCACCTTCGCCGAAAAAATCCTCTACTCACATTTGGACGACCCTCACGGCCAGGAAATCGAGCGGGGTGTATCATATCTCAAGCTTCGCCCAGATCGCGTTGCTTGTCAAGATGCTACCGCTCAGATGGCCATTCTCCAATTCATGTCAGCTGGTATGCCTTCGGTGGCTAACCCCACTACCGTTCACTGTGATCATTTGATTGAGGCACAAGTTGGCGGGTCAAAGGATCTTACCCGTGCTATCGACATTAACAAGGAGGTTTACGATTTCTTGTCCTCATCCTGCGCAAAATACAACATTGGTTTCTGGAGACCCGGCTCTGGTATCATCCATCAGATTTTACTCGAAAATTATGCTTTCCCAGGTGGTCTGTTGATCGGTACAGACTCGCATACACCTAATGCTGGTGGTCTTGGAATGTGCGCTATTGGTGTCGGTGGAGCTGATGCTGTTGACGTTATGGCCAACCTTCCTTGGGAATTGAAAGCACCAAAGGTTATTGGTGTCAAGCTCACCGGACAAATGTCTGGATGGACTACACCAAAAGGTATTTAAATGAACTTTCCGGACCTCTTTTGAAACCCACTAAGTCTCCTTCCAGATATCATTCTCAAAGTTGCTGGCATTTTGACTGTGAAGGGTGGAACTGGAGCTATCGTTGAATACCACGGTCCTGGTACCGAGACCTTGTCCGCAACTGGAATGGGTACAATCTGTAACATGGGAGGTATGTTCGCTGTTGAGAGCAATTTTTTATTTTCGGTTTGTGGGAAGTTTCTGAATCCACTTAATTGCTTTGAAATTGGGGCAGAAAACCGCTCCTTGGAACAATTTGCCGCGCCTCGCTCTCAGATTTCTTTTAGCGCAAGATACTGACATTTGTGTAGCCGAAATTGGTGCCACCACTTCCCTTTTCCCATTCAACGACCGAATGTACGATTACCTTGCCGCCACCAAGCGTAAGGATATTGGCGACTTCTCCCGTGTTTACGCCAAGGAGCTCAGAGAGGATGCGGGTGCTGAGTACGATCAGCTCATTGAGATCAACCTTTCTGAGTTGGAGCCACACATCAACGGTCCTTTCACCCCAGATCTAGCAACCCCAATCTCCAAGTTCAGTGAGGCCGTAAAGGCAAACAACTGGCCTGAGGAGTTGAAGGTTGGTTTGATTGGTTCTTGCACAAACTCATCCTACGAGGATATGTCTCGTGCTGCTTCAATTGCCCGTGATGCGCTCGACCACGGTATTAAGGCTAAATCCCTTTTCACCATCACTCCTGGTTCCGAGCAGATTCGCGCCACAATTGAGCGTGATGGACAACTCGCTACCCTCGAGGAATTTGGTGGAATGGTTCTTGCCAATGCATGTGGTCCATGTATTGGTCAATGGGACCGCAAGGACGTCAAGAAGGGAGATGCTAACTCCATCATCTCATCATACAACCGAAACTTTACTGGTCGTAACGATGCCAACCCAGCGACCCACTCTTTCGTCACTTCTCCAGATCTAGTTGTTGCTATGACCATTGCAGGTTCCCTCCACTTCAACCCTCTCACCGATAAGCTAAAGGGCAAGGACGGAAAAGAATTCCTCTTGTCCCCACCAACTGGGTTAGGACTGCCAGTCGGCGGATACGATCCAGGACAAGACACTTACCAAGCACCACCAGCCCAGCGCGATGCTGTCAACGTTATGGTGTCACCAACCAGTGATCGTCTTCAGCTTTTGAGCCCTTTCAAGGCATGGGATGGAAAGGATGCTGCCGATCTCCCTATTCTCATCAAGTGCCAAGGAAAGACTACTACTGATCACATTTCTATGGCCGGTCCTTGGCTCAAGTACCGTGGACACTTGGACAACATCTCCAACAACATGTTGATTGGTGCTACCAACGCTGAAAACGGAGAGGCCAATAAGATCAAGAACTTCACCACTGGAACCTACGATGCTGTCCCAGCAGTCGCCAGAGATTATAAGAAGAAGGGCATCCCATGGGTTGTCGTTGGTGACTGGAACTACGGCGAGGGAAGTTCAAGAGAACACGCTGCTCTTGAGCCAAGACATCTTGGTGGTCTTGCCATCATTACCCGATCATTCGCTCGTATTCACGAGACCAACTTGAAGAAGCAGGGTATGCTTCCTCTTACTTTCTCTGACCCAGCAGACTATGACAAGATTAACCCAACCGACAAGGTAAGCTTTTCATGATCTTTCAAAACTTGATTAATACTTATCAATTGATAGGTTGACCTTCTATGCACTGAACTTGAGGTTGGAAAGCCAATGACCCTCAGAGTCCACCCTAAGGATGGCAAGACATTCGACATCAAGCTCTCCCACACCTACAACGCTCCACAAATTGAGTGGTTCAAGAACGGAAGTGCGCTTAACACTATGGCCAAGGCTAATGCTTCTTAAGTAAAATGTGTATTTTTGAAGCGGGAATGGGGAACCGGAGTTTTGGGGATATCAATCCTTCTGTACTTTACTCATGCAACGTGGGATGTTTCTTTTTTTAGTTTGTGCATATTTGATTCTTTATGCTTCCTAGAAACTCTGTAGTGTTATATATGCGACCATGATCTAAGAAACCAATTGTCAAAATTCAAATGGCCTTCTTACGTGAATCTTTAAATTCATTTCTGGCGACAGTTCTTACTGATATATTCTTCAGACTCGCCAATTGAATGTACCATTGCTTTAGTGTGACATTCAATTTCGAACCGCATTAGGTAGAATTTGAACCACTAGTGATCTGTTTGGTAGCCTCGTCCAACTGTACCGTAAGCTCAGCCTTGCGGACTAGGTAAGCGAGGCGCGCTTCCCTAAAGATGTCATCTCCAACAAATTTCCTGCCCAACACCAACACCATCATCCGAGCAGCACGACAAGAATGCGAGCCACGGAATCGAAGGACGATTGATTTGGAAAGCAGTCACGAATTAACGACCATTCTGTGCCGGATCCGACCGAGCTCTTCCGATCCCTTCACTTCCTCCTGCCAACCAATCACCAATCCCATCCAGGACCAAGGCTTAAGAGCAATCTGCCAGGTAGACAGACGCAACAAGTTACTCGGATCTTGAAGGAAAAGGAATTGGGACGACAGAATGGCACCCAGTCTCCCTCAGTTCTCAGCGGCGCGCATGCGTTCGTATGTTTTTCGACTCCCGCTGTTTACGAGGAGTATCATTGGGGTTATTCTGGTACTTTGGGTGGCTAGCTATCAGGGGGTTTTTGATCTGGTGCAATGGGGGGCTTTGATTCCTAAGGAGATTGGGATTAGCACTAGTTTGTCTACCTTCTATCCTTTTCTCTCTCTTTCACCTTCTCTCTCTTGCATACTCTGGGGTCTTGTTGTCTGTGTGCTTGAGGTTTCAGTGATGCCAGGATACGTGCTGACTTTCGTGTGCCATTACAGTGTATAGAACGAATACTTTCCCACTCATACATCGCGGGGTGTTCCATACGTTTTTCAATCTTATTGCGCTTGCGCCTTTGTTGGAAAGATTTGAAGCGGAGTATGGGACGTTGACTAGTTTGGCGCTTTTTGTTGGTCGTGAGTGGAATGCAAGTCTGACGAGGATTGGCAGATGCTAATGGGGATATACTATAGCGCTTTCTACCATTCCGGCGCTCTTGTATACATTCATCGAAAGGGGGATATTGGGAATGAATACGGCAGTTTTGGGATCGAGGTATGAAGAACTTACATTGGATACCAGGGAAGAAGGACTGACGGAAGTGTAGTATTTGGGTATTTACTCTACTTGCTACGGAAGCTTGTAAGACCTACAAGACCAATCCTAGTTTCCAACTTGGGACGGTGCAGGTTCCTACTTGGATTACGCCACTGGTTATGGTAGTCTTTGTGTCGGTCTTGGTGCCGAATACCAGCTTCTTGGGACATCTTTGTGGGCTGGCTTTTGGATATGGTTGTATGTCCCCTCTGTCCTTACTCAGCCGTCAAGGATAAAACTAATGAATGATAGGGGGCCTGGGATATCTGAAGTTCTTAGCACCACCTGAATGGGCTCTCCGATGGATTGAGGGAAAGCTCAATCTACTTGGAAGACTCCCTCATTACGTATCCGTTGACCAGAAAACTTATGGTCGTTTTGGAGTTCTTCCTACGACTAATGCGTCGAATATCTCGTTACCTACAGGAGATAGGATGCAGGTTGAAATGGGACTCGTTGGAAGTTCCCAGAGATTGGGACCTTGAGAGGGATATATTCTTAGAAAAGGGTGGATATTCAAACTTGTCATTTGTATAGAAAAGGATTATTTAGCATCATTCGGCGTTTTCTTCCTCCCTGATTTTGATGGGTAGGCGGCCGGGCTGCTTTGTTGCAAGCGTAATTGTTTTTTTTATATAGATAAGTATGTGTATATGATATGGTATTAGGATATGGGTTACAATTAGAAGGTTGAAAGAAGAAAAGTCTTTCCTGATGTGCAAAATAAGTGAGGTCTGATACTGTGTTTTGTTTCTTGTGAAAAAGTGACTTTGAATCTCACCTCGGTACGAACACCTTGATAGATAGATAGCTCAACCTAATCGCGTCACACCACATCCCAAGCTACAATCAAATCAACACAACAATGACGGCCCCGCCCTAAAAAACAAAACCTCAATTGCAAACTAGAATGTCCGGGCTCCTAGGTACCTCATCACTTTTCCCTTCCCCTGACTTATCACTAACTCACCCAGCATCCGGCTCCCTTCTCCGTCGCGACCCGCGACTCCTCAAAGTCCCCCCGTACCTCTCCTTCCTCTGCATCGTTATTGGTGTCGCCTGGCTACTGGTACTGCCACTCGATAATTACTCGCGGAAGACGTATATCTCGGAGAATGCGTTGTTGCCCGGGCAGGTGCATACTTATTTTGCCGGGAGCGATCAGAATGTTTTTCGGGGGTATAAGAGGGAGGTTGATGGGATGGGGGAGTGGGGGAATGTGGAGTATGTATACCCGTACTCCCGTGTTGGGAGATTCTGGAGGAGGGGAGTTGGATGGATTGGAGGAATTTGGTGTGGAAAGAGGAGATAGAGGGGAAGGGAAGGGAATATGGACTAGGCTGATTCTTGAATAGGGTGAACGATAAATTGGAGGAGTTCTTCAAGGCCTCTGGTCTTAAGGTTGCGAGGCAGAGGTATGAGTACACGAGTGCGGGGGAAACATACTCGGGAGAGAATATCTACGCTATATTACATGCTCCCCGAGGAGATGCGGAGGAGGCAATTGTTTTGGTAGGTGCGTGGACGAATGTGGAGGGGGAGTTGAATAAGAGTGGTGTTGCACTTGTTCTTACTCTGGCCAGATATTTCAAGAGTAACGTGGTACCATATTTCTAAGAGAGATACATTGGCTTACGGAGACACAGGATGGTCATTGTGGTCGAAAGATATCATCTTCTTAATCACTGCTGATAGCAGAGCAGGACCCCAGGCTTGGGTAGATGCTTATCATGATACGCATCAGAAGGGTGTTCAATCTCTACCCGTGAAGAGTGGTGCTCTTCAAGGAGCTGTGGTTATCGATTACCCATTTGATCACCGCTTTGAGTCTCTTCATGTCGTATATGATGGAATCAACGGCCAACTTCCAAATTTGGATCTCTTGAACACGGTAGTATCTATTGCTAGTGGCCAGATGGGTATTGGAGCCTCCCTCCAAAAAATGTGGCAACATACAGATACCTATAAAGACAGACTAACAACCATGTTACGAGGAATGATGAACCAAGGACTTGGTCATGCTTCGGGTCCTCATAGCAGTTTCATACCTTACCATGTTGATGCCATCACTCTCCAACCTTACGGAGAAGGCTGGCAGGATGAAATGGCTATGGGGAGGGTGATTGAAAGTACCTTCCGAAGTTTGAACAACTTGCTTGAGCATTTGCATCAGAGTTTCTTCTTTTATCTGCTGATGCAGTCGAGTCGATTTGTTAGTATTGGGACTTATCTTCCAAGTGCTATGTTGGTGGCTGTTAACTTTACTATCATGGCTATTTTCTTGTGGGTGAAGAGTGGTTCTACTCCAAGTCCTGATTCCAAAGTTGGCTCAACCAGTGAGAAATCCGGGCCGTTGGCTATTATTAAGAAAGAAGATGCGGTAGCTATTGTTCCAGAGGAATTACTAGAAGCCCGAGAGAGGGATTTCTTCCTTCCACTTGGCGTGGTGGTTGGTTCGCATTTCTTAGGTGTATTACCACTATACGTATTCAACCATACACCTCATGCTGTAAGTCTCGTTCCCCTTATTGTCTCAGTACCAGGGAAATCTCGATAGCTAATTCGGAACAGTTACTCCCCATAATCTTCTACCTCTTCTCAGCCCTCAACCTCCTCCTTCCCCTCCTCATCTCCAGCACCCTAACCCACTCCTTCGCCCCCACCCTGCAACAATACCAACTCCTCAAATCCTTCTCCCTCCTCTTCCTTGGCATGTTCCTGTCCGCGCTCGCCACACTGAACTTCTCCCTCGCCTTCTTGATCGGACTCCTCGCCGCACCATTGACGTACATCCAACCCTTTAAATCGACCGTCATCACGGCGCTCTATGTTGTGCTCATGGCGCTTCTGGCACCGACCAGTGTCTTGTTTGCCGGCACTTGGTATTGGAATCTGGGTGTGGGGGCGGTGCTGAGGGAGGCCGCTTTTGGGTGGGATGTTTGGGGCATGAATACTCAGGTGGTTGTTTGGTGTGTTTGGTGGCCTGGGTGGGTTGTTGGGGTTATACAGTTGTTTGGACGGCCGCGGGTCAGGGAGAAGGGGAAGGCTTGATTGAGTGTGGAGGCTGGAGTGTGGGTGTATGGGTTGGAATTAGGGTATATAGATGAATGCGGATTTTATATCTCTTTGGCTTATATGTGTATGTGTATAAATTAGGGGATTCAAGTACTGGTTCTTACTGCTACGGAGTCAATGATATGGATCTTCAAGGTTCCACATTGCCTATTTAGATGTGTTTTTCATCGTTTTTGATTTGGATGTTACTGTAGCAAAGGAAACAATGAGAGCTTGGCAGTTGGGATAGGAGATTGGGTGCTGAGCTTGTTGTAAGGTCACGTATGGAAATACACCGTCCTTCATGCACTAGTCATGTAGAATAACCAATTTCGGAAAACCGGTTTCAAGCAAAAAAAAGCCCCCAAAAACCAATAATGCTACGGAGATATGGTAGGTAAATTGAGAGTGTCAGATTATACTTTAGAGGGGCCTCGGGAAGTACCTTGGAATTACTGCTGTTATTCAGTAAGAACGGTGGGCCTTCAGAGGAAGGGAAAGTTATTTGGAGGTTGGGAGTTGGAAGGTGTCGTGGTTATAGGGAGGGGCGTTGTATTAGGAGTTTAGGGATTTGAGAGAAGTGATGTGGACCATGTGGTGAGGGATTGAGGGTAGAGTGTGGAAGAATCTCTTTTGCTTCCACCTTTTTGCGTTAACATGTTCGCGGAGGTATATCAATGTGGTTTCTTGCTTGGAATAGGGTGGAATGGAATAGGAGAAAATTGTAGAATTGATAGTAGATCGCTTTTTGGGGGTGAGGTATAGGAAGTGATTTGGATGTATGTGTCACTGTAGAGTCGGTTCGTGTTCGTGTTCTTGTTCTTGCTTTGGAAAGAAAGAAGATATATCAATATTAGATTCTTTTAAGGGGTGCTTGATTTCTGTGTTGGGTTGTTGGGTTGTGACGAGATGGTGGGTGGATGACTTTGGGGATGACAGACTGATTCTGCTGGTGGGCTTGGGCGTTTTGCAGTTGAGGGGTATTAAGATGGAAAGTCTGTAAGTCTGGATCCTAAGGTCTTTGCTGGACAATGTGTATGCTCTTCAAGCGGTGTGTAGGCTTTTTGGGATATGGCGTGTCATATCTGGCAGACTGGTAGTAGAGACTTGTTAGTTTTGTTGGGCATTGGATGATGTAGGGAATTGTCGTCTCTTTTTTTTTGCTAAGAAGAGTTTGGTATGGGAGGTTGCTTTGTATCCTGGTATTGGGATCATTGGTTGGATAGAGGAGAAAGTCGGCTTTATGGTACTACTAACATGCCTAGTGGTTTTCGAACACATTCCCCATTTCTTCGCCAACAAGCAATAAGAAATGCCCCATGATTTTTTATGATAGAACTACTTATTCTATAGTCTGAAATCAATTTAATATACCAACTTGCCAAGGTTAGAGTCATTCTTCGCTACTAGGTTACAGCGACTCGTTTTGTGTTGAAAACAGCCTCCTTTCTTTGTAATGTACTTATCCTTCTATTGTGCCGGAAGACTGAGAAATCGTCAACAGCGAACCTTTTAGGAGTGGATGAATTTGAATATTGTTAGAACCAGGAAAACAACTTCTGGAGTTCTGGTCCAAAGCAGCCCTGAGGTTATATTGTACGGCCTAGCGGCCCCCTTCATCTCAATGTCATTGTTTTCATCTGCATTGTCAGGTCCAGGTGTCTGCGCTGCCTGAATAAGTACAAGAGACGGATTTTAATCGCTATTGTGTTTTGGATGTTGCGCTTGAATATGCGATACCCTAGCACATGGGTATCTTAAAATGCTGAATTCTACTAGCGTTTTGGTAGGGGGTGCTTACTTGAAATCTGTTAGGTTTTCCTTAAACTTACGCTTAAAGCGGCAGCGTATCTAGTCCTTATAGACACACTTCTAGGCAGGAAAATTTAAGACTAGATTCAGCAATATGGATCACAAAGATCATATGAGAACGGTACATTGAGATAATGTCCGGCACAAGTCGGTTCCCCTCTGCTAGGCACTTGCTGTAAATCTGTGTGCCTTTCCAAGTCTTATGCCTCACCTTTTTTTAACAATGTCAACGTTCCATTGTCTTCCAGAATTGATGGTGTCATACTTTTCAGCTGCGGGAGACACGCCCAAAAAGGCTAGATCCGTATTCACTCTCGCATAAATATACAAGAGAATCAAAAACGTGGAAACTAGGGGAACCTTGCTAGCGCGCACGATAATTCACAAAATTTATGGGAGTGAATCCCCTCTGATACTGTAAACAGCCACACTTGCCTTTCTCACTTTGAGTAAAAAGTAAGACGGTTTTGTCCTCAATCCATAGAAAGTAGAGAGCTAGCAGAATTAAAGAGTCTCAAAATGGTAGCCTATTATTCTTTCTACCTTTCATCAAAACTCAATGATGTATGTTGTGCTAAGTAGATTTGGGGTTGCGTAGTGAGGCTGTCAACTTTTCGGCTATTTTCGGTTACGCATCCTCCCCCCTATTTATCTAACCGACATTGAAAACACTTAGCAGCTACAAGAATGCCAATGCTGTATGAAGATAACATTTGTTTCTGAGTTGCACACTGAAGGGTTTGCTTGCTTTGAATGTGTAGGTAGCTGGATAGGCGCTTTGCTTTATAGTAATGGTCTCTTTCCGTGTTGCTATACCGATTTGAATCTTAGCACATGGCTCCTCGCAATGAACGAGGGGGCCTTGCACAAAAGCAGGGCCTACAGACGTTCATCTTCAAATCCACGCCAGGCTCTGCTGCCATATTTATTCAAGTCTGAACAAGATCCTTTCCTAAACTCAGGAACAACAATCGCAACACAACATAGCAAACTTGGTATGACCACCGCACAACACATACTTCTGCAATGTTGCGAAATCATTGCAGTCAAAGCATCGCTAACTCCTCCAACAATAGAACCATCAAAATTGGGACCATACCTTATTGCCTCGCGCCAAATTACACGCAAAGATGGTATGTCTACGCCCATTTTGTACCAGTCTTTGTTTTCTAAGTTGATGAATACTAGCTTTGTACTCACAATCAGTCTTCCTCTTCCACTGCCGGTTTGCGTATCCAGGGTCTTGCCGCAGAATTGCAATAGATGATCTTTCATCTGGCTACAACACCAGAAGTCATTGGCCTCAAGCTGGTTAACACTACTGCAATGGGACCAACTGGAGTGACCACACACATTGGGCTCCAGAGAACGACATCGTACCCTCCCTGGGCCACAAGCTGTAGTAATGCCTGGTTCATCTATAGGCGAGAGAAACCCCTTTTTTTGAACCAATCTGCCATCGGTGGACCAACCATTCGTTACGAACCAGGCGATACGCCTCTCTTTTGGGTCGATGATGAGAGCAGATTACGCCTTCCGACAGCTCCCCTCCAACCTAATCCGTTCCTCCAACAATTGCTCTCACTCTTACCCACATCATTGTTGATACCCAACAAAAAGGCACAACTGGAAATGCAGCCTTCGGAACTCAACAATGGCTTGAGTTCGTGAACCAGGTTTCGAACCTAGGTTCTTGTACAATTGTCTGGGATGGTACGACGGCTGAAAAGAAGGAGATGCTGAGAAGCGGAAGAGGATTGGAGATGCGAGAAATGTTCCCCAACCTCCCTACGGTTCATATTCCGTGGCCACCAAGGGCGCTCCCTGCAATGCCTATTCCTGCTACCCACGAATATCTGGAGTACAGCTGGTAGTGAGCTTCTCTTCTCTTGCAAATGGAGTTTTGGGGGTATTGGGGGAGGGTACAAATGTTAATTGATGAATTAATACGAGAGAACTCGTCTTTGGGGTATATTTTTCTTCTTCTTATGAAGGAAAATCGAGAAAACTTATGAAAAAGGGCAATTTCTTTTCCTAGTGCTTACCTAATTATATGAATGTGAAAATATCGTAGGTAAGAATTGAACTAATTTACCGAGGCGTTAGTCTATATATCCTATAAAAAAGGATATTATTCTAAATTTTTAGTATAAGTAAAATAATTATATTAGTATACCTACGTTAATTAAAATTAAGTATTAATATTTATTCTTTATCGTTTTTATAAGTAATCTAGTTACACGAGACTTTTAGAATAATATTATTCTAAGAGAGATTTATATAAAGTAACGTTAAAATATTTAGAGATCTATTCTATTCTATACTCCTTTACTAAGAGGATTTTATTTTATTTAGTTAAAGCTTTAAAATAACTCTATTATATACCTTCTATTCTAAAAAAATTCTACAATAAAATTCTATAACTAGAAAAAGATCTTCTAGTTTAATAGATTAATAGAAAGCTTTATATTAGTATAACAATATAGTAGTTATATAATATAAAATATTCTAGAAATAATGATATAATATTATTAAGTTTATTTATTAAAATACTTGAAACAATTTAATATTTCTCTAGAATTTTAGAGTTTACTTAACAAAAGAGATTATTTTATTTTAGTAGTACTCTAATAAGTAAAGATAATAACTAGGTTATATTAACCCTTAAATACTTAATTCTTATTCTAGTTAGTCAAATAAATCTATTTATTAGAAAGATATAGTAAAAGTAAATAGCTTTACTTCACTTTAGATCTATATTTATTTAACTATTTACTTTAGAAGGAATACTACCTAGTATTAACTACTAGTATATATACTAATTATTACGTAATAGGTTACGAGTAGCGCTCTACTCCTTTATAGTAGAGCTCTTTTAGGTATTTAGCCGAGGAGTATATACGCTAGTACTATATAAACTTATACTCCCTTCTATATAATTAGATAAGCTTTATACTTAATTCAATCACTTCTCTTATAAGTATATACTTCTTTTATACCCCTATAAACTCGTTATAATTCCCCTTCTTTTTAGCGTACTATAAGGTAATATTGTCACGAATCACGTGCTCACGTGATACTTGTCATAATAAGAGGCGCAACCCTCGACAGGCACATCCAGGTTTCTTATAGCAAATAGGGATCGTTTGGGGTAGCTAAGCGATCCAGGGATTTCTCTTGTATATAATCACGTGACTAAGACTGGACCGTCAGCTCGACAGGCGAGTTGACGGCCTAGGGAGAACGAAGGTTCTATATAAGACTGGCACGTCTGCCATTAGATAGGAGCTTCGTGCTCAACTTAGTTATCAATCTTATCATATTAGTTTGACATCTTTGATACAAGTAACGAGTTCACTTCTGTTATGGTGGGGATCAAGGAATAGATTGTTCGCAAGGAGGGAAGAGAGACGCTCTTCGCACTCCTTAGGTATTTGTCTATCTGCGGAAGGGTACACCCGCAACTTCGCTAAGCGAACTCTTATTCACTAAATCAAAAACTGTCACAGCTCTATTCTAGTAATACTCGAGTTAAGTCAAGTTAAGTTAAGTAATAGGCTTAACTACTTACTTAGTACTCGAGTAGTTATATAAAAGGTAGTTAAAACTTAAGGAGAGTGTTACGATATGAGTACTCTCGGCTCTAGTAAATAGTACTGTCTAGTAGTAGTGTATTCTATAAAAGGCGCTAGTCCTATATCCGAACGCTTCCATGCCGACAGATAGCTCTTATATGAGAGCCCTACTCGCCCCCTAGTTAGTTCTTTATCCTCTATTCCACTTTTCACAGCTTATTCTAACCGTCTCCTGTTTGTCCCTGACAGAGGGCCTGTTTCTATTCTTTGGAGACTATGTTAGCTCCGGGGAAAGAGTATTCGACGAATTTCGAGCAGGCGAACCGACCGTTCGAAGTACTAGCGATGTCCCTGGCGTAATTGTGACAGACGTGCTTCAGGTAGAACTCAGAACAATTAACACTCTATTCTTAGGACAAAAGACGAGGAAAGAAGGAGAGCTCGAGAGAGCTGGGAACTAAATACAGGTCGTGCGCGCTAGCGCCTCGCTAAGCGAGCATGTGACATCCAGCCCTCGTGACCATAACCGTCACAGTAATACGGAAACTCAGGCCGACTTATCCCGGACTACTCGAATAACTCATGAGTTAAATGGTCTGGACAACTCGGTTGTCCCCCTCTATTACTTTCTGATATACCTTCACATAAATCGGACAATAGAATTAGCTTAGAGGGTTATATTATAGATTTATACCCTGCCTATAACAAGTCGTATACAGGGGAGGGGGCGACGCGAGCTGTCTAGATGTCAAGGAGTCAGATCAGGTGACCTGCGTTCATTCATGAAGCTATTCACAATTATGGATAAACCAGCACAGACCAGTGTCAACCGATTTAAAAGATAGATCTCCTTAAGAATCTCTTCTCTCCCTGTAATCAATCTATTCAACCAAGTCGCAATTGTCCTCGACTTGCACTTGTACCGTGACACTAGACCCTTTACTTAAGTACTTGGCGACTTAAGTTGAGTTAAATGTTGGTTTAACTTATCGTTAATAAATGGGTGATGTAAAAGACCTATATTACTATAGTAATAGCTAAGTCCTGTGTTACATTGTCCGAGCAAGTGTAGCTAGCTAAGTGCCTACGTACTTATAGATGCCATAGTACGCTAGTCCCAAAGGAGCGGAGCACGCTAGTCCCGAAGGAGTAGCTACGCTCGAAGCTAGCTAATAATCATTCACTATTATAAAGCGACATTAAATAAGTATCGCTACCTAAATTAACTACTCGAATTTCGAACGCTATACTAATTTCATATAACATATATGCACGTTCGCGACAAGCGATAACTGCCATAGGTAAACAGAGCCTAAATCTACTATATATCTTATCGAACTCTAGCTAATTAGACGCTAGCAACGCGCACTAATAAGTGCTCAGGCTTAGGCAATGCGCAATTGTATTTGTTTTACATATCATTTTTACATGTCTATATCTACCTAGAATACAATGAATCTAAGTAGGAAAAGTAACGGTTTTTCTAGTACACTTCTATTACGCTTCTTATATATATAACGAGATCTTCATCTAGTCTATACCAGTTAGGGTCAGTGGAATAGATTTAAAAAAACAGCCACGTTTTCAGGGACAAAATGCGACTTCACTTTAGGTAGTAGAGGGTAGTTCTAGCCAGGGATAGAAAAGCGCGTACTTGTAGACACTTTATAATATTACTACCTAAACGTAGTTATTATTGAACTATTGATTAGTAGTCTTATTTCTTAGAATTAAGTGATGCTTCTATCACAAAAGTGTTGCATTTATAGTGTGTGGTTTTTTTGATACTTAGTTGTTAAAGTAGAAGTCGTGCTAGATTTTTAATAGGGTACTAGCACCAGGGGGCGTCAGAATTCCGTGCGCAGTCCTGGATTTTAGGCGAAAACACACCAAAAACCACGTTTTCACAACCCTATAACTTTATAAATTTATAATAAAACTATAAGCAAGACCTCCTATATTAATTCTCTAGGGTACTTAGATAAAGTGCATATACGAAAGTTTTCTGATTATCCTAATACTCTAAGAGATATTCTAGTAGAAAGTTAGTCCTTAGTAAATCCTCTAGTAAATCCGCAACATTTATATTATAATACAAGCAGCTCTCTTATTAAAGTTCCAAATAGTACAAGTTAGAGCTAGTATCTGTCTTATTTAGAGTTATTAATACTAGAAAATATAGATTACTTGTTAGTTTATTATAATTTAGTAAAGTAGGGTGTTTTTGGTGTGTTTTCGGCCAAAATCTGGGGCTGCCCACGGAATTCTGACACCCCCTGGTGCTAGGCAACTACCTAGCGCCGATTACGCGCGATCACCTACTAAAAAAACACCCGATATATGCTCTACATGTCTTATAAACACGGAATATTAAATGTGCGAACACTTGAAATCGGGTGCAAGTTCTTTTGGACGAAATATCTAAGATAGACAGCAAAGGGCCGTCTCTCTACGTACAAAGTTAGGTGCTTGAAAAAGGAAGATCTTGGCGAACTTGGCATGCTGCTCGGCTAGCTAAGCGAGCGATTCTCGCCTGTCATATCACGTGATTTTCACGTGGGTGATGCAGGTGGTCCAAAAGGACTTCTGAGTTAAATGGAGATGCGAGAGACAAGGTATTGTTCACAGCTAAGATATACTTAGCCACAATTTTATGTAGCATGACGTTGATGCAGAGAGAAGGCTGAGATAATTTGATATCATATGTAAGAAATGCGCGCGTTGTATTTAATTCCCAGCCCCCAAAGCGTTCCTTTGCTCTTTATCTATTGTCCCAAGAATAGAATGTTGTCTGTTCCGATTATCCGTCAGTAAATTCAAACCACGTTTGTCATACGAGCGTTGGGGTAAGCAAAATTAGCATATCTATATTTACTAACTTTGCATTATTCCTAGTGATTAGATCTCCACGTTCCCACTTTTACCCCACTCCAGTCTCCAGGGACCGTAGCCTATTCGCGCAGAGGGACATGATAACTTTCACCATTTCGAAATAAATTTGTCTCTGTTCTACAAGTACTATTTGTAGAGAGAATCTATCGGGTAACTCCGTATGCTCAGAGGAATAAATCGTCAGGTAAATCTACTTTGATAGAATAACTTCGCTTCACTCTCCTGTATAATTTACCTCTGCTAGATACCGTCAAAACTTAAGTAGGTGGCCCAAACTATCGAATTAAGGTATTGGATGGTACATTGGAGAAACTGCACTGAGAAACGTACTTGCTACGAAGTATACTTGTATTTAATCTTCTTGAGAGCCTTTCAAGGTAATCAAAAACTACGTCAGAACTCGGAGTACCCTCCGTATATCTACATTCAAAATAGAAGTAAAAGGTTCGGCAGCGAGCAGAGGCCTTTCAATGGCACTTGCGGCATTGATTCCATTGATTCCATTGATTCCATCGGATATTGGCTACCCCTGCTACACCATGGGCCTTCGAGTCAAGATTTACTTCTAACGCTGAATTTTACCAGAATGCCGGGGGAAAAACCGTGCACTTCTAGAAGTAAGTGGAGTCAAAGAGGTCCACTTTGCAGCACTTTCTCCACAAAATAAAGGCGTTTGGCCTAATCAGTATGCGTTTCCAAGCATTTGAACCTTAATTCAACCCCTACTTCTATCGCATTCAGGTCATGGTCGGTGTTTCCTTCCTCTGCGCTGGACCCACCGGCCGGCCATTGTATCCACTTTGTACGCACGATCTTTTTTTTTCAACTCTGATATCTGGAGGGGATAAAATAGACGGATCTTTTTAAAGTATAATGAATACATAACTACTTCAGATTCCGATAGAACATTTTATTTCTCTTCATTGGCTTTTTTTTCTTTCATTCTATTCTTCATGAAGTTGAGTTACAATTTTCAATGTACACTCTCTCGACTTTAGTACATACTTCATTTCTTTTTATATAATCCTATTACCATGCAATTTTTCAACCTCTCTACGGGGGTTCTCCTTCTAAGCGCTGTTTTATCTACAACGGCTCTTCCTACATTGTAAGTATTCTCCTCTCATTCGATGGCCCTGAATGATAAACCATTTTACCAGTACACCTAATGCTATCGCACTTCAAGCTCGTGATGAGGTGTCGGAGGCAAAAACAATCTGGCTCAGGGAGAAGGCCGCCGCTCAGCCAAAAGTCCACCGCCGCACATTTGGAATTTGGGAGGGTATGAAATCGGGATGGAAGGCGGGACTTGCTCGTGAGGAGGCGAAATATGTTAAAAAGGTCCTCTTGAAAGCCGACAAGGACTATCAGGCCCGCTTAGCCTCTGGAGCTGTCAAGAACCCCGCCGAGAAGGCCACCAAGCCAACAATACACCGCCGCATGTGGGGGGCACTGAAAAATGTATGGAGGGTGGACCGCGTGCGAGGGTTCGCCATGCGATGGGAGAGATATGAGGCCAAGAAAGAGCAAGAAGCCCGCGTCAAAAACGCCGCCGCTCAGGCGGCAAAAATAACGCGCCATACACCTATGTCGGGGGCCGTTGTAAAGGGATTGGAGGAGGGCCTCGCCGCTGCAAGGAAGAAAGAGGCCAATCGGGAGGCCTTGAAAGCTGAGCAGAGAGCCCAGGCCCAGCTAGACCGGCAGGAGGCTGAGGCTGAGAACGCTGCTTTGAAAGAGTGGGCTGCGAAAGCTGCCTTGAGAGACGCGCATGAAGCGAAAATGATCCAGAGGCATGGATCAAGGGAGAAATGGCAGAAATGGGAGGCTGATCGGAAGGACTTTCGTGAGGATCGGAAGAAGGCCGGCCTTGACGCATCAGATATAAAGATAACCGCAAGACCCGCAACAATTCAACGCCGCACGCCTATGTGGGGGGGCGCTGTAAAGGGATGGAAGGAGAGCATCGCTGCTGCGAAGAAGAAAAAGGCTGATCAACAGGCCTTGAAAGCTGAGCAGATTTATGACGCCCGCACAGCCCTTTAGGTAATCAGAGGCAGTACTACCAAAGGCAATATATAGCGATGATTTAGTTAAAATGTTAGCACGCTAATTTTCTGATTTCGAGTTTTCAAGATTATTAATATTAAGCAAGTAAAATTACTCTCATGGTGATGTGTAACGCTTCTGTCTATTACTATGTCATAAACCTAGCTCCTTGGCTGCGACTCGCTTAATTGACTCGCTTAATTCGCGTGCCTTACCACACATCCATACTAGGAACTTCTAACTCTCTAGCTGTTCTCTTCTTTTCTTCTCCCCTTACCTATGAATTATTGATATAGACAGTTCCACAGTACCTAACAAATACCCGAAGTAGCCGTGCATTCGTGCGCAGTCTATTAGCTTCCTCTCCCGATCTAAGGACAAGGATTAGTTAGTGGTGTGCCTCGTGGTAACAGTAGTACTAACGGGACAACTACTGTTTCGCACTCAATTTTTGAAGCAAAAAAGGGAATATATATAGCGTAGGATATTTAGATATATCTTTGTACTTCTAGATCTTAATAACCCGTTTTATACTTGATTTATATAACTTCCCCGCGTGAAGATTTTCTACCTCCCCAAAAGGTATAGGGATATCCGATACCGACTAATTTATTGATTTACCTGTACTTTAATATCACTACATGTTTAGAAAACTTACGAAGCTATAGAGTGTAATTAAAACATAATATTATCAAGAGATTTTTTTTCGACAGAAGTAAAGAAAATGACATGACCCATCGAATAACAAGTCGAAACAAAATTTGTACCCTAATAAGCCTTTAAAAAATATCTAGTCTAATACTAAATATCAAGGATTTCCAGTAAGCAATTCAAATCCTTACAACTGGTCCAACAGTATTCAAGAAACCCTCTCTTTCCCTTTTCCGTGTCGACTAGAACTCTTTAACTAAGGAATTAAACCCCTAGATTCTATATTTAGCCATCACTTCAAAATTAGCCTACTTACTTACCAAGATACCAAAAGATAGTACCCCTGCCCGCTTGAAAAGACCAACTCTTTGCGTCCACGAAAAGACGATCCTAACAACCCAAACAGACGACGTATAAGTTCTGTACCATGGCATGGTATTTCCGAGGTACAGATATATTTTCGTTAGATAGACGATAGTATTATAACTACCACATCGTAGTCGAGGAATTAGGTTATAGTAGTGTATATATATATCGATCCATTCTATAATACGTCCTTTTGTAGCTTTGGAAGGAGATGTAGCGTATTAATAAAACTAATCAAATACTTAACTCTACTCGAGTAGTACTGGAGTTGAGTTGAATAAGTATGATTAGGTGATTCCGTTGAGTTGAGTTAAGTAGTAGATTTGACTATTCGAATAGTACTCGAGTAACTCATAAATTAATCGAGTACTTGGCGAGTTGAGTTGAATAGCGATTTTCACTACTTGAGTTAAGTTGATTAGGTGCGACTACTGTACTCAACTCAACTACTCGAATTTAATACGCTGAGGAGATATAACTAAGATTATATACCCCTTTTACCTTATCCCGTCTAATATAGCTTTATATAATAATATACTATAATTACCTTCTTAACTCTCTAGTAAAAAATACTTTTAACTATAATATACTATACTAATCTAGTACTTCTTTACTTCTTTAATTCTTTACTTCTTTACTTTCCTACTCCCTCACTCCCTTACTCCCCTACTCCCTTAACCCTCCACTCCTCTCCATTAAAGCAACCCTTCAAGCTTCAATTCCACCTTCCACTCAAAAACCCACACGAGTACACTATCAAAACAATTCCTACCCCACCTCCCCCTGAATTCTACTTCCCTTTCTTTCTACAAGCTCTAAGTTAAACCGTACTCAAGTATCTAGCAAAGCTTTATTATTACAGCAGGTATCCCTTCCAGACTCGAGAGTGCCGGGTGCGGTCGTGCGCATTTGTGGATATAATATACAGGCTTAAGACCTTGGAAAGTGGGTTTATATAGATCTAGGAACGTCAAACCTCAACACGTAAAAACACAGTAATAAAGATATAAGAGTATTTCTCTACTCGGCATACCAGCCACTATAATAAATCGTATAACGACGCGTATAAATACAGAGAGAAATATCCAAAGATTATACAGAAATCATCACTTCTATTTTCCTTTACAAAATCGTCCCCAAATTACAATATATTCAACACTAAGGTGCTCGTATTTGTGATCAGCATTGGCAGTATGTGCACACGCGTAAAGTGCTTAGAAAGTGGATAATTTTACTCCACCAGGAACGCACGACCGCACCTGGTACTCTCGAGTCTGGAAGGGATATTACTAATGTATTGAAAATCGACGGATAAATCCTTCGACTGAAGCTGATGGTAATCTTACTTTCCACAGATAAAGGCTACTATAAAACCATATATATCCGAGAGTAACCTCCTAATACTGTTGTCTGTTAAAGAACTTTTGAACCTTTTCTTCAACTTACTCGGAACCAATCGATATCGATATCGTTCACCCCAAAATATTCATATCCTCAAACTCTTAGATTATTTCTCTGTAGAAGAGCGGAGATAACTGGGACTTGAAAGACATTCACACCCTCCCCCCCCAGCCTTCTGCCCCTTCCTACAAAAAAGAAGAAAATCAAAAATGTTCATTCCACAAGATACACTACCCCACTATACCAAACCCCCCAAATTCCCAATCTCAAATACCAGCAACAGTAACTTTAACAAGCTCCTCACTCCTTAAAAGTCAACCCCCCACCCCAACTAACCTCACTATTCTTACCTCCCTCCGTAACCCTCCCCTCGGTAACACCCGTCTCAAACGCACAACTGCCCATATCCAACTTCGTCGCCTTGCCTGTGGGAGAGATATCGAAGTCGAAGATATCCACTATTTTCTCGTTAGCACGCAAACTCCTTTTGACTCTCATTCACGAGAAAGAGGGGGATTGGAGTGAAAGACGAACAGAATAAAGGCGAGAAAGGGAAATGGAAGAGAGAATTTGAGAAAGGCACGTACTAGGTAATCCAAGCGTCGTACAAGCATTAGGAATATCCACAATCCCCGCAACATGTCCCTGAACCGGAGCGCAGGAGAGAAGGAGATAGACCTGGTAATCAGAGTACCCAAAGCGACGAAGGTACTCGATGACGCGGAGGGTGGTTTGACGGTAGGCGACTGTGACGTCCATGTAATGCTGAATTTGTATTTTTAGTCTCCTTACCTCATTCTCATTCAAGTTTTGATTCGTAGATTTTGAATTGGGGGAGAGAGGAGAATGGGAAAGGGAATGGAATAGGACAGGGTGGGAGAAGGAAAGGACGTACTTGTTTTCCATGTTGATCAACGGAGAATCCTTCGAATGTGAGGTAGCGACCTGGTCCGTAATGTGGCTCTACTGGTCCGGGGAGGTAAAGAGGTGATTTCATCCCAAGGTCTGCGATGCCCTTTTTCATGACTTTGAAGTTGATTGTGATCTGAGTTTGGCATTAGTCTTCCCATCCCCATTCAAGTGGACAAGATAACTCAGTATCTTTTCGAAACCAACGAGGAAGGGAGGCGTACCACTCCGGCCATTTCGATAGCTCCACAGAAGGAAATCTCGCCTAAATATATGAACAGCTGTCAGTCTTGTTTTCATCCTCGCTTCAAAAGGGGAGGACATAAACATAACCAACAACACCAAAACCAACCAAGAAAAAGGTAAAAAGAAAAAAAAAACCCACCATCCCCCTGACTAAAATGCAAATCCCCAACACTAAACCCCGCCCCCTTAACATGAACCGGCAAATAAACCTTACTCCCACGACTCAAATTCTTAATATCACAATTCCCACCATGTTCCGGTCTTCCAGGGATCGTTCTCGCTCCCTCTCTACCCACCTTCTCTTTCACACTTTCCGACGCGGAACCGGCATGGACATTTTCCGGATTGGGAGGTTGCGCAACGATGCGATCTAGTTTGTTGGCTGCGATGAGCTCGCCTTCGCGTTTGTTCCAGAGAGAGAGGATTTCCGCTGAGGGAGCGCATCCTAGGATTCCCGGGTGGATGAGGCCGGGGAATTTTACGTGGGGGAGGTGGCGGGAGGTGCAGTAGATGCCTTCGAAGTCCCAGATGGCTTTTGCGCTGAGAGATGATTAGTTGAGTTCATAAATGTGATAGGTGAGAAATATAGGAAATTGATAGGACTAGAAGAAAACAATCTCCCTTACGCAGTAGGATAAATCTCATCCAAAAACCCTCCCCCATTATTCTTATCAAAAACACCTGTACTGAAAACCAAAGAAAGTTCAGTATAAAATCCCCGCAAGCTCGCAATGAGAAGAAACTCACAAACCCCAAGGCTGGTCCTCCATAGGCTGTACATCACAAATCTCCACCAACAGTACATCCCCCGGCTCCGCATTTTCAATCTCAAAAGGCCCAGAGAGATAATGAATCCGCGTGAGATCAACATTCTTCATGTCATCAGCCGAGTCGTTGTTTCCTATTTTGCATCAACGCCCTACTTCTTCTTCACTTCTACTTACTCCACTCTCCGCATCATCCTATCTCATCAAAGTGTGAGAATTGCAATAGCTAGGGTAAACGTACCAATCTGCCCACCCGTCCAATCAACCTATATCAAGAAGTCAGTGCACCTGTGAGTATCTAAGATAGCCGGGAAGTAGACATACACATTCAATCTTGACCGTCTCCCCATCTTTAATGGCACCCGCAAATGAAATATCAGGATGCCAACGGTTATGAAGTTGTTTTTGTTCCTCGGCGGGTTTATCGAGGGAGACCTCGCATACCTTCCGGATACCTGTGAGGCCCATGTTGACTTGATTGGTATCTTCTATATTTCACGTCAATCAATCAATCAATCGAGAGGGTTAAAAACAACCGAATCAATTACGACGGAATCAGTGGAAACGAGGTGCTTTCAGAGAAATATGAGAAGTTGTTCGGGTATGAGAAGATGTAAAACTATTGAGGGTTAGGTATCGTAACGATCAACTCCCAAATCAAACCCCGCATCAACATGGTACAAGTAGATAGATAGTGTTAGTTGGCGTTGCGTAGTCAGCTAAACTACCATACCATACCATACCAACCATGGCTATTTCTTTCCATCGGGATTCGATTCGCCAATTGGATGCCGATAAGGATAGCATATCCCTTATCTTCGAAGACGGGACTGCCATCCCCTCCCCTCCCCTCTTTCTCATTAATGATAGCGGGGTTCCGACTCCACTCCATCCCGGCCCGTCCAGCCCTGTATTATAACGACAATATCAATATTCTACTATACTCGAGCAGAGTACCTGCATCCATTCCATCTTCAATCAAATTTAGAACATACATCCTCATTTCCAGCGACAAGTACCTCCGTACTTAAGCTCTCAAGCGTCCTTCTTCCCTCTCTAAATCCAAAACACGACACGATCGAATACTTCACAGGTACCTACCTAGGTACTCGTACTGTAAAGCTGGACTAGTTTGAAATTAAGTCGGGGAAATTTAACATGGGGCGGCGGGATCTGATTAGATTAATTGGAAGTTGATTGACTCGGCTTCTTTGTAATATATATTACAATCTGTCCTTGTGTTTACTATCTAGCACTGAAAGACTTGAGCTTCATATGTTCCGTCTCTTCCTATTCGCTAATGTCCAATTTTTTCAGGACAACAACTTCAAGTCCTAACGTCACCAGCAAGTTCATTTATACCCCTCTCAAAATAAAGCTCACCACCGCCCCGAAATAAACCAAAATCGCTTCATCTCGACCGGATATCACTATACGGTGGCGGTGCATCCGATGGAATCCCCGTCGAAGTAGCTTCAGGTCTCGACGTAGAATTCGCTGCTTGCGATATAGGTTTAGTAATCTTACTCGTATCTAAATCCGCAAGCTTCAAATTCAAGATCTCATGCTTATTCTTCCATGTCTGCTGACTGGCTGCGAACCCCTCACTTTCCGTTGGAGGTGGTGGAGGATCTGTGATCTTGGTGATTAGATAGGCAGTGGAAGCTTCAGCGATTCCGTAAATGAGAACTCCGAGTAGAGGAATGCGTTGGAAGATGTAGAAACCGACGCCGAATCCGAAAAGGATCCCTTCTCGTTCGTGGAACCAACGTTTCTTTTCTTGTTTGGTGAAGCGGATGCGTGAGAAGTAGGGCTCGAGGAGTTCTCTCATTAGACTTCTTGATGCAAAGTAACTTTGTAGGAAGACTACCAAGTATCTTCGTGGTAGAAATAAGCCTGTGCCAAAAACGATGGCAGCTGGCCCGAGCCCTACAACGGAGTTGAAGGTGTAGAAACTGGCAGCCGGGAGTACCAGACGTCCAATGTATGGAACGTATGACAATGCAAAAATTGTCAAGGAGATGGCGGCCTTCTTTCCGAATCGCATCAAAAACATTGTGATGGCTTCAGCTGTACTTGTGGTATGAGTGCTGCCATCTCGTGTAGCATATTTACGAAGATTTGGATAATATGTCTCTCTCAAGTGGGATGGATCCTCACTCTTGTGTTTGGCGTAGTACTGATGATGGCCATATTAGCCACAATTCGTTATGTTCTGTATGAAACAATCAAGGGGCTCAAGGTCTACATTCTGAAATAAGCACAGAGATGGTTGTCCATCTGCTATCGGGTTGCTTAAAGCAAAGAAACAAAACCGAGATCTTGGTATGTTTCATGGTGTACAACTATTGAGTTGGCTTCATGTAAACAGCCTCAAGTCATATATAGGAACTCGAGTAGAAAATGAAAATAAGCAATCATAGATGCTCTCTTGAATTTGATTCAGAGAAGAGCGTTACTCACAGTGTCGTCAACCCATCGTAACCAATAAAAAGGTAAGCTAGTATGTCAAGAGAAGAGTGCAGTTACAACTTACGAGTCCATAAACCTGAAAAGTCAGCATTGAAGATGAAAACGGGCCAAGAAACTTACATGTTATCTAGAGTTGGAGTGACATATCTCATCAAGGTCATTAAGAACAGCGGTACTTGAAGTACATAATTCTGAACAAAGTCGAGACCATTTATAATTGTGTTGTCCCATGTGGCACGTTCAAAGTCTATCAGAAAAGACGAGAACCAAAGCAAGATCTTGATAGCAACAACCTGCAACCCAGTCAGACCAATGTCTCCTTTTTAAATCATGTATTCTCCTCACAGGGATGGAAATGGCAATGCGGATAGCTATGCCAATAGCTACGGCTAAGGCGGCTTGTCGATAATGATCCGAGGTGAATAGAGCTGGGTTCTGGAGTGCTCGGTATGCTGCAGAATTTCTCAGTCAAATGTCCTTCAAAGGGGAAATGAGATGGAATTTCATCAAAGTGACAAACTTACCTCCAACGACGGTCAATTGTGCCCCGCGGATGATGGCATTCGGCTCGAAATTGGTGACTTGAAGCTTCTCCTTGAGCTTTTCCTGGGTGATGATGGGTTTCTGTGCCATTATTGCGGTGGCAGACTCTTGAGGAGTCGGAGTCGCTGGCGTGTAGAGTGTCTCTTGTCAAGCAGCGTACGGAGTATATTTCCAGGCTTGGTGGAGTGGTGAAAGTTGGTTGCCCTGCAAAATCAGCAACTACGTAACTGCCCAGCGGGCGGCAGCAGCTGCTGCAAGACACCTCCGCCCCGCAGTGATCTACAGGGGGGTTTCTGTTGAGCTTCAGCATGACTTCAGCACGATTTCAGCGCGAACCAGGGCTTGTCTCCGGAGAATTTAGGTACTCAGATACTGTGGTACTGGTATTATCTAGGGTATGTCTAGGGTGTTATCTAGGGTATAATGTCGGGTCCCAGGTGTACAACCTTCTTTCTACGCGTTTGTCTGACGATGTCTGTGCTGCCTCTGTACAGTAAGTAAGTACTCGCTCCACTCGTACTCTGCCCGTTTGTCGGTGGCATACGAGTAGCTTGGTACTTGGATTGGATTGTGCCGTTTATGGACAGACAATTGATTTGTACCAGTACCACCAACCACCCACGCCCACGCTCCCTTACCAACTCTCTTTTCCCTTTATCACTTCTGTTGTAATTATTCCTTTTCTTTGCTCTCCTGCTACTTTGCTTTGCACAACTTCTCTGTACTACCAACACCAACACCATCACCATCACCATCACCACCATCACCACCATCACCACCATCACCACCATCACCACCCCCTCAAGCGCCACTGTGATTCTTCAATCGCCACCATCCCGCATTCCATTCCTGTGCCTGTGCCTGTGCCTGTACCTGTACCTTGTTACACCCTCGCGACCTCAGATCCCTTCCATTCCTTTTCCCCGAGGCCTTCCATTTCGACATCCTCACTACACCCACTACACCCACTACACCAACACACCCAAACCAACGCGCGATAATTCACTATCGCCATTCAACTTTCACCCCGACATGGTCACAACGTACTAAGTGGTCGCAAGTAAAAGATCTTGCCATGGATCCTACTTCAAAGCCAACTGCCCGACGCTCTGTCTCCCTCCCTCCTCCGCGATCTGCGATCAACTCCGATCCTCAAGTCGAGATCCTCTACAACCTACCCTCTGTCCGAATTGTGGCCTTCACGACATCGTCAACCGCTGCCATGCGACAAAGTTCCAGTCATGAAAGTCCTATCATCGAAGAGCAACCTGGAACTCTTCCTTGGGTATCCCGGTCAGAGAGAACCATAGCTATCGGTACGTATTGATAGTCGCTTTTCTAATTGCGGGAGGTCAGGGGTCGAGCTCTGACTAGCGCGGGGAAATTCATGCCTTGAACAACCTAGCTTGGATCATCGTTATTCGACCCTTCATCTTCGTCTTCCCTCTGTGCGAGATGGTCGGTGGTAATTGGGAGCATTTCGATAAACAGGGTGGTGAGGAAGAAGTGAAGATTCAACTTCTCTTGCAACAAACCTTTGAAGGAATGCTACGATTGACCCTGCACATCGAAGCAATAATGAGGAAGGCGCACGTAGAGCAATCATGAAGCATTTTCTACAGAATCACTTGAAATTCCTTACTAATGGTTGTGTTTCCAGGTCCATTACGGATATATCGAGCCCCTGGTTCAGTTGCCTTTCTGAATTGTCAAAACGCTTTACAACCTATATTACCGAAATCACAATCTTGGTGTGTCGATGGAGATAGTAAATTCGTTTTGCAGATCAGAAAGCCACAGTATTGGCGTATCGAAGTTCCTAACAAGGATCTCGAGGAAAGAGTGAGGGTGGAAGAACTGAAGGTAGTGCTCTCAAAGGTACTCTTGTTTGAGAAAACACCATGCCCTTTTCAAAGACACTTTACAGTGGAACTACCAGAGCCGCCAAAAGAACCCGCTGTGAAACGACCCTGGAGGCCAGTTCAAGGACCACAACCATATTCGGCACCCATATACGAAAAGAAAAGATTGGAGGATGTCTCGCCTCCTACACGGCAAGCCAGTCAAAGTGGGCGAGCAAGACCAAAAAGAAATGAGAGACCACCAACACCTTCAAAGTCGCCCACCAAACCTCCTCGAATTTCCGTGAAATCTAAAAACTCTGGGAACTTGGACTCTCCGCCACATTCTCCTGATTCTCAACAACCTACCACGCCTACGAGGCCTCTTTCACCTCCAAGCACCATAGACTTTAACAACAGTCCACGACCTCATACTCCTGCTACAACTGTGGGACAAGATGATGATTCTACTAACGGTTCCCCCACAAACTCTGTACAATTTGAGGATATTCCGTCAAACGATGATATCGAATCTACTGCGCGAACCGATTCCTCGTTGTTGTCGCAGAAGAATTTAGACATTATAAATGAGATTGAGCTCGTTTCCGAAGAACCCGCCGAGTCAATTCCAGCCCCAAAAACACCCACAAACGACAAAGCATTCTTGGAGGACGACGACAACGTTAGCGAAACGGATGATGAGTCTGACACTCGAAATAGTCGGTTTCAACCCGCTTTTCATCCCCTGACTTTGGACCCTCCATCACAAGCTTTAAAAAATGGTGTTCGATCAACAACAGCTCCGCCTGTGGTATCATTTCTTACGAGCCCACCATCCAAAAGGCGAGAACGGTCTCCTCTCAGGATTCTCACGACAGCAGACTCTTCTTCTAGTCATTCTTCCAGTGTTAGATCTTTCCATTCGATCCCTTCATGGCACTCTCCTTTGGATCCCACATCACCACAGTCTCCTCGACCATCCTCTACTAGTCCAGCGTACCCTTATCCACATGAAAACATTGTCCTTCCAAAACGAGCCGTTCGTGTGGAAGATGATTCCGAGCTATCAATGCCAAGAACACCTGGAGCCTGGGAAAGTTCCTTTTCGGATGATGAATCGGATCCCAAGAGCCCGCAGACGTCTCCTCCGATCAAAAATGACAGTTTGTTGACAGCTAAACACCAGGTCGAAACGTCCATTTCCGGTTCAAAGATTCGACATCGCGCTACCACTAGCAGCAACTCTCGCCGAGGACAACTTTCACCCCTTCCTGCTGCGGTTAACCTCTTCAGTCCACCTGCAGCCCGTCGTCCAAGACATCTGCAGACTACAAGACACATTCCGACGGCCATCCTTCAGAAGACTTGTGAGATTCTGCTTAGTCCACCAAGTCACTTATTCCATTTGATGATCAGCATTGCGTCCAAAATCGCCGCTGGCGAATGGAGAGGCGTCTTGTTTTCCGGCTATGGAGACGTGACTTGGGACTTTGAGGAGGATTACGCGGAGGGCCCGTACAGTCCTACGGACGACTTTGGGATTGCACTTCCCAGAGCCAACCTACCTCGACGAGGAAGCAGACAGAGACCTGAAGCCATTGAAGCTGGTGGAAGTTGGGAGGTTGATTGATCTCGTATACAGATCTGATGATATCATCTTCTTTTTCTTCCTTGTGTTGTGTCTTGGATTCTCATGTATGATTATTGTATTACGAAGCCCTTTTACTAGTATTTAATATCCCGATTTTCTTTTTCTTTTCTTCTCTCTCCTTGCTTTGGGGATAAGCGAGTTTGAGTTCGGGGCGTTCTTTTCTTCTTTCTTTATGGGTTCTTTTCCGTATGGGACTGTAGGAGGTACTGGATATTGGGGTGTATTGGGGTTTTGACTTGGTTGTTAGTTATAGTGTAGCTGAGATACGATAAGATAGCTCTTGAGAGGGTTCAAGAGCAGCAAGGGGAATATATAGTAATAAACTTACTCTTACTCTCAGTAAAGCTCTCTCTAGTTAGTTATTTATTATCAAAGGGAGTGAGTGCGTAATGCCCAAAATGCCAGGGTAAAAGAGTTGAACACCAAAGTCATACGAACCTTAGCTAAATCCAGGCTTCCTATTAGTCGCTCGGACCGGAACTACAATTTTATATATATTGCAGGTTACGTAGGGAATTCGAATCTTAATTCGAATTCCAAATATTCTATTCTACTCCCTTGGAATAGAATAGAATACTCCAACAGTTATACTCTATATAATATTAGAATAGATATATTCTATAGAGGGATGGATCCCCCCGGTCTTGGAATAGAATAGAATGGCATCCCTGAATTAATACTGAACGTTGAACGGTGAAAAACTACAGTAATGTTTAAAATAAACTTTAATAAACGAGATTTGGATCCGAGCTAGTTAGCTAGCTATCTGATTCAAATTTAATCGTTTAGAGTTATAGGTAACTTATAAGATATTGATATTGATATTTTGAGATATTGAGATATTAGGTAGAAACCTTCTTTTATATTGCCAATTTATCTTACTCACAGATGTTATCTTTATATTCAAATTATTACGGTACTCCATCCTTCTCTCCCTTACCTTGTCCTTATCTTATTTATAGAAATCCCTACCAGTACTCTACCTACGTATAACATCACTAACTCTAGAGAATGTGATTTTTAGGTAATAGGTTGTAACGAGCATAAGTAGGTTAGGTGAATTCGAACCAATATTATTATTACTCCTATTCCTATTCCTTTTCCTATCGTGCCCCTCAAAGTCCAGCTAAGATAAAACGGAGAAGCAAAAAAACAAAAAGGTATCTTCACAACGCAAGGTAACACTACGCCAACAATGCCCAACTAACCAGCCACCCAAAGAAGGTGGAAACCCAAATCCACCTTATTCCAAGCTACCTCCCATTATTTCAACCCCTGCTTCCGATTTCCAATCCGGTCGAATCCAATCCATTTTCGAACTCATTCATCCAATTGAAAACAATCCCTTCGACGACGCGAGAGAGGAGAGAGAGAGAGGTAAACAGCAATCTCACTCTCCCAATCCCACCCGCCTATACGCAAATCCCCTCGCATTCTCCATCCTAACAGCCCACCCCTTAATCGCGACCACGACGATAACCCACGCCATGAGGAAGGTGATAAGACCCATGGCGACGGTGAATATGAACATGGCGTCTAGACCGTTGCTTTCCATTGCGTTGACGGTGTCTCGTGCCTATTTACGTCCATTGTCAATATCAATTCTGTACAATTTTCTTCTACTTCTTGAAAATGGGAAATGGGGAATGGGAAATGGATGGACGGGTGGTGCTTACCGAAACCATGAAAATCGCCCCACCGGCAAGTAAACAGAACGAAGTGATTAACTCCGTAGGCGGTCTACCAGGTAATGTCGAAGTAGGCGGTTTAACATAGAATATCAAATAAGTAGCTACGCGAGAAAATGCAGCGCCTACAAGGAGAGTCCCCCACTGCTTATGGATCATGGTCGAGATCATAGATTCTTGGTGGTGGGAGCTCATCATTATGCCAACCAAAAAGGTGACAAGTGCGGGGAGAGGATTCATGGAGAAGCGGTAGGATTCTGGTGGCGCTTGTTCTTGTTCTAGCTCGTTTCCCAGGCGGGATTGAAGGGTCTGGGGGGCTCGTTTGGTGGCGTTGAGGAGGGAGCGGATGAGTTTGGATTCGATCACCATTCCGCACTATCTGGGTTAGTCGTTTGGATCTGTTGAAAAGGTCAAGGGTGAAAGTACCAGACCACCACCAATAAACATAACGGTTATGGAAAGATGTTCGAGATCTTGAGCTGTCCATGCTTTTCCCCAAGCGGCCAAGTGTTCGAGGAAAATATTCGTAGCTCCATACAAGAAGATCATGAAGCTTTCGACGAATTCGGCTGAAAATTTGGAACCTTTCTTGGGCGTCGCTGTATTCCAGGCCTGTGATTTTAGTTAGAGAAATCTTTGTATTCATTATTCTGTTTTTCCTTACCCAGCCAATTTCTGCGAAACATCCGGCCCAACGTCCAAGCGAGACTATTCCAAACCAAAAGAAAACACTACCCTTGATGAAATGCGCAAGTCCGCTGAATACGGTACGACCCGTCTGGAATGTAGTTAGTCATTGTACATCCCGAGGTGTGCATATGGCTTACAAAGAAACCGCCATAGGTGACCCATCCAGTGAGAAAAATGGCCCAGCCAATTAACAAAATCAGCCGATCAACCGCATCATAAAGAAATTGAAAAATTCGCAAGGCTTTTGAAGATAGCAGACCCGGGATTCTGGAGGACAGAAATCCATGTAGTTTGCCACCAAGTACCAGCTTCGGGTTTTCTACAAAATATTCCTCTTCGTTTTCTTGAGCTGGAGAACTCAGTTGTGGAGGACTTGTAGAAGCAATCGAGTGACTTCTCAAAGACTCCGTGTTACGCTCCGTTCCTTGTCCACTATCGCCGGAAAATCGACAGTCGTCTTCGTTGTGTAGACGGTGGTGTTCGGCCATCACCTCAGCGGAGATTGGAATAAAATGACCCCTCTCTTCGCTTCGCGCGACTTCCTTTCTTCCTGCATACAAAGTTACAACTCCCACCAATACCTGCACGATAACTACCCAAGTTATAATCCATCCGAGCTTGTGATGCGCATTATTGGGGTATAAATCGGGCGTGCTGGCATTGTATATTGTTGCTAGGAAAACTGCGACACCATTGGCGACCAGAAATGCGGATTGAGTGGGTAGTCTGTATCTTGAACGAGCAATAGAAAGCAATACACCTAGAGACTCAGTTAGTACATTTCGAGGCTCTTGGAATCGCTAAAAATTCCTAAACGACTCACCAATTGGAAGTATAAACAGCCAGGCGATTGTCATAAGTGCAATATGCGCGGCCATAAGTCCGGAGTGTTCCCCATACTGAAAATATGTCTGCAAATCTGAATTGTCTCCTGAAGGAAGTATTGCTGGACGCAGAACGGCAGTATCTCCCATATTCATATTTCCGCCCTCAACATGATCGTGTGCGTTTGCTACGGAGGCAATACCAAATAGCAAAATACAGACATTCGCGACAACTCCTACCGGGGTTTTCTGCATATGTTATATGTTATTGCTGTTGTCGAAAACAGGAGGAAGGGACGAAGGAGGGGGAGTATGAGCTGGGCCTGAGGCTTGGCGGCGGGGTCAAGGAGCAACGTGAGTATTTGTATGGCGGAAGTAGCCAGTAGATGGTACTGGTAGTCTAAGTACGAAGTATGCAGGACTAGTTCGGAATCTCTCGGTGCATTGACTTGACTTAATTCAAAGCAAATCTTCTGGGAGAGTTCCGCTTTGTACGTCACTCCGTACTTGAAGTGTTTGGAGAATCTGGGAGAGATGACTTTGGTACCGTGATCCCGGTCTCTTGGTATTCTTGAGTGTCTTGCCTCGGATTTATTGGCACTGAGTGGAAGCAGTTTCGAAGTACGGAGTCGCTGAGCAGAACACTCAATGTTACTCCTATACCTTTTGAAGTGGAGTGCTAAAGGCCGGTATTTGAAATTTGAACCAGTATATGGAGTGTCGGCAGATGATATGTAAGAAGACCCGGACAGATGAACTTAACTGATCAGAAAATCAATAGACCAGACGTTGGACCGGCGCCGGGCTTGATGCATATCTATGTACTCCAGCCGGACAGCGATGATCACGGCAAGAAATGCCAGATATGATGCAGCAGCAGCATATCTTTGTTGCATCTGAGTCAAGGCCGTGGCCATGGGCTTCCCCACCACATCCACGTACTAAAGGGAAGGCCAACCTGGACTTTCGGAGGTAATCAATCCCATACCATCATCCATACACCTGGGCTGGACAGTCTTTGAACTTGTTGACTGGTAAAAAAGAACAAGCTATTCCATGTTGAGTATCGATTGTCATGTCATCAAGTGCCGTGGATTTGAAAGGGTGGTAGTCTGCTGACCTACGGTCATACCATGTGAGAGCGAGCATTTTCATAAGCAACGGATCCATGAATCCTGTGCCTCAGACGCCGTTTGGTGATGGTGGTAGTAGATGCTTTGCTGTATACGGCATGGCATTAGTAATTCTGCTTTAGGGCCACCCTAATTATCTCCGTGCAAGCCGATTTGATCCTGCATGCAAGGCTGAATATCTTGTTGGCGCTTGATATCGGATATCCTGAGTAAAAGCTTTCACTGGTTGCCAACAATGAAGGATGGAGACGAGTTGGTGGGGTTGGACGACATGCGGGAGCAAGTTCATGCTTGGCCGACAACCTCGGATGGGATGTAAACGAAACGGGAATGCCCTCACTTTGACTTGCGAAATCCACCCAACTGCCAATGGAATTTTTACATGCGATACTTGTAGTGCTAGAAGCGGGGTCTGCCCTTGAGCCGCGCTGAATGAAGATCACTTGCACACTTGAAAGAAAGAAAGGAGGATCTCGATCCCGATCGGATTTAAGCGTATTCATCGAAAGAATGGAAAGAAGTACAACAAAGCAAGAACCGGCGCCGGCGCCGGAATGTTCGGCCACTCTACATCAGATATTGAATATGGCAGTGCGAAACGAATGTTGGATAACTGATGCCAAGAATACCAAGTCGTTCCCTCGACCCTGTTCGACTTTGTTTCTGGTCCCGTCAGCATGATACTGTATCTTGACATAGTGTAGAAGTATGTCTGCCGTTTGAATAGAGCCCAAGCTCGAACCTCAGTATCGAAACAGCTAACCCGAAGTAGCCACAGTAGCTTTGCGGCAGAATACCAAACTAGAACATCGGACTGTACTCCGCTCAGCAGAGCTCATCTCCTAATTGGACCAAACGTATGGGTGGTACCAGCATCCCAGGATCAACCGGGCGGAGATCATTGTACGAAGATGGTTCAACCTTTGGGCTCCGGGCTCTACGTTACTACGTATATCGGTTTGGCTGACAGAGCATCGTCCGAGGGGGTCGTTCGCCATTTGACTCATCGGCATCCACAGCATCACACCATCGCACGATCTGATAACTGATCTGATTGATTCATGAGAACTGATGAGTGCCACTGATGCGCAGGAAAATCAGGTAAGCAAACCGTGGAATTATCCATGTTTTCAGCCCACCTTCACCGCTTTACCCGCAAGGTGGGGAAACCCCGCACTCAAATGCATCCCAACACATCGAGAAGTGGATTTCCCATCCCATATAAGATTCCTACTAAGACAGAACCCGAAGTAATGAAGTCACGCGTCATGGTAACGACCGGAAAAGTAAACTTGAAAATGTGTTGCCATAATGACTTGGGTTCTGTCTATGCATGCGACTCGGCAATATAATAAGTAAGAAATTGTTCTCTGTCCACCTATGAAATTGCTGTGATTTCTCATACTTGTTGGCTTCAGAGTATATAATAAATAAGTCCTTATAGTGAGAACAAGTACTCGGTTTCATACTCGGAATAGTGAAAAGTTTCAAAAGATGTTCGTATAATTGATGTGGTCGTTTGAGGCTTTCTGGGATATTGCCGCTTGCCTTAACTATGCGCCCACCAATGACGCATAGTCGTTGCATGTGCGAAAGAAACACTGCCTTATTTTGTACACCGCCAGCAAAGCGTTCATAGAACCTCGAACCGCCCAGGAATGCGGACAAACTGCTCCAATTGAGATGGTTTGCCAGCTAGCTTACCCAACAAGTCAGCCTACCTACTTGTCTACAAGGTAGCACGGTTCTTGACACTCCATCTGCCATTCTTCGAGTTCTCGACCACTTTGTCTTCCCCCTCCAACTTTCTGAGAATTTGCAAAATGCCCCCATTCGCTGGAATATGAAGACTTTCTGGAACATTTTTATAGATGATCTTGACAATCTCCATCGACGACCACTCATCGAGCTCGCTCTCTGCTACTTCAGCATCTCTGGTTGACTTCAACACTTGGACCACTTGATCCTCGCGTTGTTGTCGATGCTTAATGTATTCCAATATTTTTTTTGGTCCTTCATCAATCACTTCACCATGTCCTGGATAAGCACGCCCTTGGAACACATTCCTCATCTTCTCTAAGCTGTTGAGATAGGTAGATAGGTCTTCAAAGGCGGCTGTTCCGTGACCTAGCACGTTGTCTCCCGTGAACATGGCATCTTCTTCTTCGAGAATCAGTGCCATATGGTCGGCGGTATGGCCAGGACTGAAAATTGACTTTAGAGTGGCTCCCTCGACATGAAATCGCTGGCCGTCTTCAATGTTTTTCTGTCCATCGCTTGGCGTGTTTTTGTAAACGATGGTTTGTGGTGATATCTCCAACAGGTGTTTGATACCGCCAACGTGATCGTGGTGCCAGTGTGTAATCACCGCTTCCCCGATCACAGCATCTTCTTTTTGAAGCGTGGCTTTCAATGAGGCTATCCAGGCCGGTTTTCCATCCCCGGTATCGATGAGAAGTCGCGTTCTCCCAGTGCCAACCAAGTAGGTGTTTGTACCTAGTGTCATGTCAATTAAAGTTACACATGAAGGCCTCCACCGGCAAGGCTGTCTTACCTTGTAGGGTAAACTATTAAGATTTATCAGCCCAATGTATCCACGTGAAGGTAACCGGAGTTCTTGGACTCACCTTGCCGGGATTTCCACCCAGGATTCGAATCACGCTTGTACTCAGCCTTTCAACGTCTCTGAGAGGAACCAGTTGGGCCGCCATCTTGAGAAAGAATGGTTGTAGTTTGGGATAGATTCATGGCTGTGATATTCGGAAAGCGAACGATGAGTAGAAGTAGCCTCGGCAAAATGGGGAGGAACTCGGTATTGTCCCGAACCTCAACCGAGCCTACCCCATAATTTAATCCACTCAAGCCTTACCTCCCGTCTGTACGGACTGTGGGTAACAACCAGGACCGAGAGCTTGATCTCGAGATTGGGACGTCGCAATAGCACCCTCTTTGGCTTCAGGATGGGTAGCGGTAATATGCCATCTTCCAGACCATCTACGCCTGCCACTGTGGCATCTCCCATGGAATACAAAATCAAGGATCCGCAGCCTGGTGTCCCCTTCTTTGGGTGTCGTAAGTGTCCATGCATGGGAATTGGTCTTGTCAGCCTTGCGGATGTTCTGCTAATATCATGATTCCTATATCCAGCACACATCGGCATGCTTCTGACTAAACAAAAGGATAAGAGCATTCAGAACTATAGAGACTCTCTGCGGGCCATTTTTGAGCAACCCAAGATTCAGACGTCCAAGACCGTAAAGGGCCAGCCATTTACGACGCTCACTCCAAACTATCTATGTTTACAATGTAATACTGTGACAACAGAAAAAGGTCGAAAGGACCATGGCGACGAGGTTCAGCACAGATTCTGTAAGGAGCACCCTCCTTACTCGCAGGAACATTCATTGAACGTTTAGTTGTTGAGTCGAGAAATGGCTACCTGTACTGTCAGATGTGTCATGACTTCGTTTTCGATCCTACCATGGAAGATTTAAGGTTACGGAAATCAGGACGAGGAACATTTAGTAAGTACAGCATCTGCCAACGTCGAGAGTCATTGTTTGAATGTTCTGTGCTAACCAATACTCTTCAATTGCAGCTAGGAAACGAAAGCTTGACGAACTCTTTACTGACCCGCTCAAGGACGATCCTCTATTTATCTCAACAAACACAGTAGAAGCGCCATGTCGTGCCAGCGGAATTCGGGGTATATACAACATGGGTGCGACGTGTTACATGAACGTCATCCTCCAATGCTTCGTTCACAACCCTCTGCTTAGGAATTTCTATCTGAGCAATGGACATTTAAGTGGACCTCTCTGTCCATACAAGAATTGCATGAGTTGTGCAATGGATGCCATGTACCAAGAGTTTTACGCAGAGGAAAATACAACGGGCTACTCGGCTTCCAGTATTTTGGCAAGCTTTTGGCTTTCGAAGAGAAAGGCTTATGAGGAATTGGCAAGCAACAAGGAGCAAGATGCTCACGAATTCTTCCAATTTCTTACCGAAGAGTTGCACGAAATTAATGGCGGTACCAAACAAGTTGAGTCCGACGAGAATTCTAATAAAGTTACCAAACATGAGAATGGTACTGGTTGTAAATGCATTGTACACCAAACCTTCTATGGCAAACTCCAGAGCACCATAACATGTCAGAGCTGTGGGGAAATCAATACATCTGTCGAGTCATTCCTAGACCTAAGTCTGGGTTTAGAAGGACTCTCTAAGAAAAAGAGCCTCAAGGCAGTTCCATTGACGTTGCAACGATGTCTCGATGAAGAATATTGCCGACCGGAACGTTGTGAATATACCTGCAATCAGTGCGGTACCCTCGAAGCTAAGAAGCAGCTCAGTATCAAGAGTCTACCAAACGTTCTTTGCATTCAACTCAAGGTTAGTTTTCCACAGGTCCCCTTTTCTCAAGTGGTACAGCACTTACCACTTTAAATTCAGCGCTTCAAACAAAACAATGGTACAGCGTCGAAAATCGATACCAAAGTTTCCTTTCCCCTCAAGTTAGAAATGTTTCCCTACACAAACCGAGCCAAGAACCAAGCTACAATGTTCAATTACGAGCTTGCAAGATCCTGTACCTACGACCTCCAAAGTGTAGTAGTCCACGTCGGTAATCTCGAAACAGGTAAAAACCTCCATTTTCTCCCAAGATAGAAGGACAAAAGTGAACTAACGAAGCGAACCTCAGGTCATTATGTATCATATTCACGCGTCGGGAATCAATGGTTCAAATTCAACGACCACAATGTCACGTTAGCATCCAAATCACAAGTTCTCAATGAACAGGCGTTTCTCTTATTTTATGTCGTTCGATCACTGGCATGAATTTTTTCTTCTCTTCGTTCGGCGTCAATTTGCAATTGTTTTGCAGCAGGGCACAGCACAGCGCAGCATGGGGGAAAGCATCGGGGTGTTTCATGGATCATATGGATGGATATCGGGACCACACACACTGTCTGGTGGATTTGTTTAGAGGAGTTTTTTTCTTTCTTTGATTTGGGATTTTTGAGTTGGGAGGAAGTATGGGGCGTTGAGAGAGATCATGAGTATGAAATTGGTTTGATAGGGTTTGGTTGTATCATGGAAGGGAAGCGGGGTTGTACGCTGTTTCGTTTGAAGGATCCGTGGTTGATTGAGGCAAAGAAAGAAAGACTTGTTCATGAAATACATAAAAGTGGAAGCAAAAGGGGGAGACCATTCTTCAGGGGCTTGATAGAAGAATTGAAGTGCAGTAAATTAATATCTGCATTCTGCATTTCCCTCGTTAAGCTATCATGGACTCGGTCCTTACGTAGGTTTATTTCCTCGTACTCTCGTCACCGAAATCATTCCTTCTTGCTCTCCCCTTCCTTGCCATCCTTCCCACCCTTCTCACCGTCTCCGTCTTCTTCTTCTTCACTCCTAAACTTCCACGCCTCACCCTCAGAGTTGGAATAGCAAAAGAACTCGTTACTCAGTCCCTTGTCGTGGACGGGGAGGAAGGTGGTGGTGCGGATGCCGACTGGGGCGTAGATCTTGTGGATAAGGGGTTGCATTCTTTCGCCGGTGCAGACTATGATTTTGGGGCGTGTCTCTGGGAAAGTGGATGTTGATGTTGAGGGTGAGGGTGCGGGAGATGACCAGGATTTTGAGAGGTAGGATACTGATTGTGCGGCTGGGGGGTTCTTGTTAGATTGGTGGGTGGTAGAGGAAGGGATAGGGATGAGGAGGGGAAAGGGAAGAGGGGGAAGTGGGAAGGGAAGTACCTTTTGTTTGACAGTCTTCATTTAGGAAGGGGGGGTCGATTATGAAGCGGGTGATTGTTGATTTCATAGTTGCTGTTTTGTTGTATCAGTCAGTCTCTTTGAATTCGACAAACTACATTCATATCCAGAATCTCAAACTCTCATACTCATCACTTCTCCCACAGAATCAAAGAATCCAAGGGGAAGATTGGAAAAGGTGGAGGGAGCAGGGGTGACTAACGAGGTAACTTCAACGGATTGTTGAAATCATAGTACACGAATTCATTGGCGAAGACTTTGAATCTCTTGTCGTATTCTAAGAGCCAGATTTTGGGTCTCTCAGAGGGAGGGAGGGGGGATTGATTCTTTTTATTATTAGTTAGTTGGTGTTCATTGCCCTTCACCACCATTTGTTTAAGCGAAAAAGTTGGGGTTGGACGTAGGAAAAGCGAAAGGGGACGAGGGGGGAAGAAAGAGGGATAAGGGAAGGGAGGGGGGATATACAAGTTGGTTCTTGAGTTGTATAAATACACTTGGTGCTGAAACGGCAGCGATTTGCGTCTTGGCTGTAGCACCTTCGAGGAGTTCTTTGGCGATTATCGTCGCTGTTTCGTCAGAGTACTATTCATTCTCTTAATCAGCATCTCTCTATTTCCTCTAAACACCCCCCCTTCCCCATCTCTTCCTCATCACAACCCCCTCCTCTCCTCAAAAAACCCCCCTGAATCGCATCCTCACCACCTCAGCACAAAAAGAGAAAAAGAAAAAGAAAAGAAAAGAAAAGAAAAGAAAAGAAAACGTGACATAAAAAAAGGACTCACCCAAAACTGACTAACCCCCCAATCCTCCCCAAAAGCCTCCATACTCCAAACCTTCACCTTCATCCCCTCTTTTCCTTCTTTCCCATCCTCATACTCCTCCTCCGCCGCCGTCCTCAGATCCTCGAATTTTTTCTGCAGCGCATCGCGATCCGCGTAGAATTCCTTGAGGGCGTCGAGGGCGCCACCTGACAGGACGCTTTTCGGGATAGGTTAGTAGTGTGAATGATTGGGTAGGAAAGGAAAATGGGATGAAGGGGTTCTTACAGAGGTTCGTCGTCTTCGGAGGACATTTTTTGGAGGTATTAGGTGGGGGTGGGAGTCGCGATGAGAGTTCTGGGTATTTTGGGGTGTTCTCGGGATTTTTTTAAGATGACGAAATTTTGCCGACTGGGTTGAGGGTTTTGGTTTGGAAATGGTGATGGAGCAACTATCCAACAATCCGAATTTCTCCTATTCACCTCAAGATATGAGGAATAGTATCGTTTAGACCCTCTTTTCATCTTTCATGGTCTCACTTGAGCTTTCCACATGTCTTCCAGCTCAATGCATCATGTGTTCTCTAATCAAAGTTGCAGTTGTCTTTTCTAATTCTGCCTATGTACAAATCACAAACTCCGTTGTAAAAACATGTCTTTCACGAGGAAAGAAACTACTGATCGTCGAGCACATGTAAATACTTTCTCTGTTCCCTCTTCTCACGCTCCGTTGCTGGTGGCAAGTCACTGTATTGCGAGCTTCTATATCCTAGCTACAAGACTGTTAGTATTACAAAACAGTAAAAAGATGAGTAGTAGCTTACCAAGTAATGGAATGTAAGACTGCTCAACTCTGCTGGCTCTATTCCAAGATCCTTGAAAGTCTTTGCCGTAGGATCAATCTTTTGGTCAATAAATTCACGCTCAATTTCATCTGCGGAAAGCACATTCCACCAAAGTGCCTTTTCGAGAACGCCAGCAATTGGCTTGAGGATGCCTTTGGGAATGTTGATATGTCGGCGGTGCTTGATGATTTCTTTGTCGACGAGAGCAGCAATTTCTTCCGTTGAGTAGTTCTTTGGTCCGTACAACTCATAGGTTTGTTGGGCAGTACTATCATCTTGAAGCATCTTTTCGAGAGCCATACCAACATCAATAACATGAACAGGCCAGTAACGCTCTTGCATGTAGTTTGATGTGAAAAGGTTGGTAACGCCTGCAAGTTTGTGAAGTAGATGATCCTCGAAACCAAACAATGGAGCTGGTCTGACGATTGTGGTTTCTGGGAAAATGTCTCGTACAACAGCTTCACCTCGCGCCTGCTTCTTTTAGTATGGAATACTATAGTCATAAATTTATTCTTACCTTGGTACGGAAAAATTCTGAGGGCGAATTGATATCTGCGTTGAAAGAAGAAACGTGGATGAATCGGTCCACATCATACTTTGCAACAGCTTCGGCAATACGTTCAGCACCCTCAACATGTACGTCTTCCAAATCGAAGTTCCTAAAACGAATATTAGTCCCGAGGGTCCCTAATTATTACTTTTTCCACGCTTACTTGGTGGGGTAATTTCGGCCAACGAGATTGTAAACCACATCAGAGTGTCTAACGCTCTCTTCTAACGATTGAGTATTTCGGAGATCGTATTCCTTGAAATTTCGTCAGCACCTCCCTTGATGTCGGGATCAGGAGTTCCTCGTACAATGAAAACAACCCTTCCTAAATCTCCAGAAACCTTTAAATGGCGCTTTGCCATTTCCTCTCGGAAGGGCACAATAACCGTACATCCTTGTCTTGCTGTATAACTCTATCAGTCCCAATATCCCACCAGCATTTCTACTCTCGGAGTCTCGTACCAAGTCTGTTCACGATGTATCGTCCCAAGAAACCAGTTGCGCCGAAAACCGTAACAGTGTGTCCTAGAAACCGTTGAGTCTGGCGTAGCTTCCGTCGCCTGGTGGTTACATACCTCCAAGAGAAGATCTGCAGGATAAGAAATTAATATGGAATCCAATTGATCGAGGGAGGGTACTGACCTGCCACCCTGGGTCCGTATGATGGGCTTTCCGGTTCGTGTAATGGTAATGTCAGAGATGGCCCTTCTGGGGGCAGAATTGGCGATGGGCGCTTTCTTTGCCCAAGTGGCAGCCCGTAGGCCTCTCATAGCTGACGATCCGCAGGACTTCTGCATCACTGCGGATTTCCTCAAGTTCAATTGAGCGAAGCTTGTAAATTGTCGCTGTATGATTGAATGGGAGGTCGTTGGTACTGCTCCGGCAGACCCCCCGGTCAGTGAAGCTCGGCAGTACGCGCTAACTGGTGGGTGCCTGTGCCCAAGGCTGGCATGGAGGGAGCTCAAGGTTGCGATTGAACGCGAATTCCATCATCAACCTCAACCGCCGCAAAAATTCCCCTCTACCCAGAGATACTCGGTTTTCGAGATACCCGACGGAAAGAGCCCATCATGAACGTCGATACCATCCCCGATTTCCTCGCCGAGCAGCGAGATGCTGCCCCCGCAGATTCACAACATCTCTATATCACGTTCGAAGATCTGTGGGAGCGAAAGCTATGGCATCAGTTGACAGATGCTTTGGTGGGATTCTTTCAGGTGGCAGAGAGCGCTTCTCAACGACTTCCATTCTACAAGACCTTCATCCTCACTTTCGCAGACAAGATCAACCAGTTGAAGCTTGTTACCCTTGCACTGAGTGCCGCATCACAATGTAGAGGTGAGTAGGGTTATTCATAATGGAAATTACACTGCTTATTCTTTTTGTAGACTCGCAAGAGCGGCTATCCTTCCTAGAATCGGTAGCAAAGAAAGTCGACAACCCAAACTCACAAGACGCCCATGTTTACGCAACGGTGGCCGTGGCGACTGTGAAGCTGGAGCTTAAGGATTTGGAGGGCACCAGAAAGGATCTCGATAAATCAGAAAAGATTCTAGACAATTTCGATTCAGTCGAAACTATCGTTCATGCTTCCTTCTACCGTGTAAATGCAGAGTACTATCAGGTTCGTGGATTCCTAAGTGTCATCGAGAAACTTCCTAACAAAAATAGTCCAAATCCGACTTCGCCGCGTACTATAGAAACGCCCTCCTCTATTTGGCATGTATTGAATTACAAGGTCTGACTCCCCAAGAGCGAAGAAATCGGGCATATGATCTCAGCATAGCAGCTTTGATTTCGGATACCATCTACAACTTCGGAGAGCTACTATTACATCCAATTCTTGATACCTTAGCAAAAGATGATGCCTGGCTCCGGGATCTTCTCTTTGCATTCAATAGAGGTGATTTGGCTGCATACGACGTATTGGCTGGTCACATTTCTTCAAACCCATTACTTGCAGAACACCGTGATGGATTACGACAAAAGATCTATCTTGCAGCTTTGACAGAGACCGTCTTCCGAAGACCACCCCACGACCGTGCCATGTCATTCCGTACCATCGCCGAAGAGACCAAGGTTCGACCAGACGAAATTGAGCACTTGATCATGAAAGCATTGAGCCTGGGACTTCTTCGAGGAAGTATCGATCAAGTTGATGAGATTGCTAGAATTAACTGGGTGCAGCCAAAGGTGCTGGATATGAGTCAAATAAATGGCATGCGGACGAGATTGCAAGAATGGGATTCAAGTGTCAATTCTCTGGGCCACTGGATCGAGAAAAAAGGACAGGATGTTTGGGCTGCGTGATCTGGCATGGCATGGCATGGCGTCTGATTGACTTGATATGGGGCACTGGCATGTAAAAATAGATCCTTACGACCAATGGGAAAAGCATTGGCAAGTTGCCCTCTGATGATAGCTTGATTTGAGGGAAATGCTTCATAGTAGACGATGAATTCAGTAAATTCTAAATAAGCATCAAGACTCTGTTGGTTTAGAACCAACTGCCTAGATAGTGTTGGAAAAGGGAGGGCATTTGATTTCTAGTATTTATCTCTGGGGGCAAAGCTTTGAGTAGTATCTTCCCAATCCTCTATCCCAATATATCTGCTCTTACCCAGTAGATACGTCTCTCCGTCCAAACTCATCAGAGTAGAACACTCCCCTCCTCTCATATCCCTCACAAGGCTCAAGACTCAAGCAACGCCGGAATATACTAAATTCATCATACATTATACGAGACTTCACCTCCTAGTCCACACGCTTCTGACTCGACTACTTCTACTTCTTGCGATCATACCGGCTTTTCAGGTGGGGTATCCTCGATTTCCTTGGAGTGCGAATTTCTGGGATGACTGGGAAGAATGATTTGGTGTGATTGCTAGAGATGGGGGGTTCGACGGAATGTGGGAGAGATGGAGGGGGTAGGTATAGCTTTAGTGAAGCACTGAGGATGTTGTGTGTTTTGGTTAGGGGATGAGGGGACTTGTTGTCGGTGTTTTTGGGTGTTGGAGAATGTGAATGTGAATGTGGATATTCTACTAGATAGGGATTTGGGGATAGATGGGGGTTGATTGGGATCTTGTGTGGTTTTAGTGGTGTTTAGAAGGGCTTGAAGTGAGGTATGTGGACTGGTTCTTTCTACGAGACGATGATTGAAGTTTACTAAGGGGGAAGAGGAAGGGACGAATGGAAAGGGGACTGATAAAGAATATGAGAGGGAAGGGAAGGGAAGAAAATGAAATTGGGTCGTGGGTGTTGATGGAATATGATGGGAAGGAGACATGGAAAGAGGAAGGATGCAAAAGGGTTAGCTTTTATAGATGGGGTTATTGGTTCGTGACGAGGACGATTTACGTCCTTGGTATTGGTATAGATAAGAACTTTGTTGATTCGGTGCGATGATTGTCGTTGTTAGAGTCGACAGTCGTGGCTACAGTAATAGTAATGCCAAATTTCCTTTTCTATTATCTTTTTAATGAGTCGAAGACTCGAACAAATGTGATTGGAGTTTAAGAAATATCTGAAGACTGGAGTCTGAAATGATACTAATGAATGTGAGATTCCTGGTATATATGTGGTAAAAAAGAGCCAAGAGATATACTTCATATGCTATAATAAATATATGTGCTTGAAACCAGATTTTCATCTTGGCCCCCAAGTTGAGATAAGAGGGGTTTCGCTGCATCTTATCACTTTCCTAATTTACCATAGTACAGTACTTTTGTGTCATTATCTAAGTCTAAGTCTGATTAATATTCAAGAAAGTCCAGTGAAAAGTAAGAAAAGAGACTTCAGATAGACGCTTCTAGACTCATAATTATCCGAAAGCACACGAGGAAACAGGTAGCATTACGAGTACTTCGTTCATGAAATCTTTTCCATAGACTACGTTTATCACAAAAGGATTGAAGCCAGCCTTCTAGCAGCACGCAAGTTGGAAGTCGGTCTTGCAATCCTGGACACATTTCGCAGTGTTAGGAAGTACATTGCATGACTATCGGTTTGTACGGATTCCCGCTGGCTAGGGCGATGTTTAGTTTCCGAAATGGGATGGTAAGCCTCGATTGGTTTGGATTGAATACACCTGTTCTCTATTTTTGTGCCGGAATTACTGTCGAATCTTCGCTTAGTTTCGAAAGTAAACTTTTCGTTCGTTGTATGACCTAAGGATAAGTAGTTCTATACACCTGTCGGATACTAGTGGCCCTCTTCCGATCTTCGCGAGTAAATCTAACTCTTTCTCTGTTTTCTTCTCCGTTCTTTTTGACCATAGAAACAACATACACACCCGCACAGTTGTTCTCTTTGTAACGTAAAACTCTTAGCACCCTCCTTTAATGGGTTTATCCTCTCAAGCTTGGCCATAATAAGTCAGAGGACTTGGCTCAAGGAAAGTTCTTGATTAGAAAGGAATCAAACGCTCGAGGTGCCATCGTTTTATGGTATACTAGCTACTCCTGTACTTCATCGTAGATTTTCCTGTCCAAGATGAAGTACTATTCAGGGCCAACCAATGTCCTTATCTCTAGGGATGGAATTTAAGAGAAGCATTGGATATTAATAATCTGAAAATCTATTAAAAAGGGTATGTTACTAGTAATTCAGTAATGAGCCTCAATACCGACCAAGAGGTCATCAAAGTAATAGTTAATAGAAGACTTTCCCTAGCCCTAGTAAATCTAAACCAAGCTCCATACAAGCCTCCTAAGAGATCTACGAAGTTCATATCTATAGATAAGCGCCAGCATAGGCCTCTAGAAGCCAAAGTGCCAGTGCTAGCCGAGAATATTTACCAGCCCGAACTCGCTCTCGGGTCACCTTTGCAGACAGAAGCAAGCTCTAGAAATGAAACACGAGCTTTCGTGATGGCAAGGGACTTGGAAGGAAAGGAAAGTAATGATGCGCTGAACACAAACTAGATATCTGGTTTAAAGAGGGTTGGTGAGTGGGAAGTTGAACTCTATGTTCTCTACCAGGATTCCCATAAGATAGTATTTACCGTCGAATCTCTAGCTAGTGTCGAAAGTTCCTCATTCATACGATTACTCGACAAATCCCAACTATACATATCCAGAACGTCCACGTGTTTCTCTCACAAGATTTGGAATGGCATCTGCTTAGCATACTTCTATATCTATGTTATATTCCCATGAGCCTCGTCAGAGGACGGTTTGATATGGTATAGTTGTGAGACGTATCTTTGTGGTTCCCAATAGATCCTGGATACCTAGAAATGTCTTTATAGTAGTTCTGGATTTGGGAAGTAGAGTATCTGTGGGTAAGGTAGTATTGTCAAAGGGGTGGCAAGGGTGTATAGTTGAATGGTATTCTGGGAGTTGCCTGTTGATAGTTAAGACGTAAGCCGCGCTCGACGAGTAGTATAGTAGTAGATTACTTATTTTTCATTCCTCTTGTTCAGACTCAACTCACTGACGTCTTTGTGAATAGGCTATAGCTAGGTTGGCAAGGGCTAGCTAGCGAGCTCCAGGTAGGGGTTAAACTAATATAAGGATAGACAGGCTCCTTAATCTTATCATGAGTTCGTAATTCATCTTAAAAGGACCGCACCATAACCTCTATCCTCTCAACCCGCAAAACCACCCCTAGCCATCTTCTTCGCCCTCTGATCCCTGCGATTATGATTCGCTCTCGACCCCTTACTAGCCTCCTTCCCCCTTCTCGCAGCCTCCGTACTCTCCCCATTAGTACCCGCCACATCCCCTCCTCCCCTCCCCCTCCCTCTTCCAGA